CCCTACCACGCTCTACTCACACCCTACCATGCTCTACTCACACCCCTACCACGCTCTACTCACATCCCTCCCACCTCCAGGCGAGTCCCGCACCGACCTAATCGGCCGCAACAAATCGATCCTCCAATCCGCCATCGCCGACATGCAGCCCTTTGCCTCCCACACCATCCTGCTCCTCGTCGCCAACCCCGTCGACGTCATCACATACTTTGCCCAGCAGTACTCGAATCTGCCCAAATCACAAGTCATTGGGTCGGGCACCTTTCTCGACAGCGCGCGCCTGCGCGGCGTGCTTGCCGCCAAGGCCGAGGTCGCAGCGTCCAGCGTCGACGCCTATGTGCTGGGCGAGCACGGCGAGAGCCAGTTTGTGGCGTGGAGCGCGGCGAGCGTTGGCGGCGTGCCGCTAGAGCGAGCGCTGCCGCCGGGGACGACTTTGGATAGAAATGGCATCGCCGAGGGCACCAAGAACAAGGCAACGAGCATCATTGCGGACAAGGGCGCGACCAACTATGGGATTGGAGGCGTGGCGGCCAGTCTGTGCAAGAGCATATTGTCCGACCAGCGCATTATCCGCCCCGTCAGCCACTACCAGGAGGACCTGGGCGTCGCGCTCAGCTTGCCTGCTGTCATTGGCCGCCAGGGCTTGCTCCGGACCATTGACGTCGGACTCGATGCGGAGGAGAAGGCGAAGCTGAAGAGGAGCGCCGACGCGCTCAAGGACGTCATCAACGCCTAAAGTGGTGTGCATTGCGCCTCGTTGCAGTGTTTGAACGCGTCGTTGCAGTGTTTGGACGCCTCGTTGCAGTGTTTGAACGCGTCGCTGCAGTGTTTGTGCGCGTCGTCAAGTCATCGTTGCACGATACAAATGTATGATACATTGCCTACTTTGCCGCACCCTTCCTCGCTCGCACAACCCACAGCGGATCGAGGTGACCCATCAGCCTCCCCGCCGCCGACGGACTCGTAATTGTCCCATGATCATCAGTAATCCTCCTCCCCTGCTCATCCCTCGCGCAAAGATCCACAATCTCGACGTCCCTCCACCCCGCGAAGTGCAGATAATCCCCCACAAACTCCAGCCTCCCCTGCTCACCCAGCATCATCCACCTCCTCACGACCTTGTTGGGGAAGCACCGATTACTGATCGCCAAGTGTATGGTCGCACCCTCGTTGGCGCCGTCGAGCAAGTTCTTGCACACCTCCAAAGGATGATTCAAGTAGTCAATCGAAACCACACACGTCACCGCATCGAACCCAATCTCTCCGTCTCGCCACGCAGCGCGCGGGTCATGCGGGGCCTGGTTCAAATCGACGACGCGCCACCTCTCTTCGCCCCGGAACTGAAAAACGTCGTTCAGCGTCATTTCTTCGGCGTTCAGGCCCACGCCGAAGACGCGCACGTCGCCTGCCTCCACCGCTGTCGTGACCGTTCTGGGGAAGAAGGATTTCCAGCTCGTGCACATGTCGAGAATAGTCCCTTTCGTGGGTAGGACACTGGCGTAGTAGTGTGTCAGGCGCGCGAGGGCGGGGGGGTCGATGTGTGTCACGAGACGCGGTTGGCGGTAGAAATTCCCATCATCCGTCTCGTCAAGTCGCGCAAAGTCGGATGCGGTGTACGGCCAGGTGTCGTAGCGGGGTTGGTACGGTGTTGTGGGAAATTCTACAGGGGAGGGCGTGGACGCGCCTGGGCTCATGGCTGCGCTGGCGAAGAAGTTGGGCGGGAAATTGGTGAAGATTGAGGAGTATGCGCGGTGTTGTGGTGCGTGGGGAACGGTTGTGCGTGTGAGTGTGCATGTGAGTGTGCGTGTGCGTGTGAGTGTGGGTGTGCGTGTGAGCGTGCGTGTGAGCGACATTGGCATCGACATCTAGTGGTCGGGCTGATGGAGACTTTCCTACCTAGCAGCTCATCGCGCGCGCGTCACGATGGAGTTCGCCTTCGTTGGGATGGTGATGTCATCATGAAACGCGTCTTCCCGTGAGGACGCGACGAGATCGCAGAAGGGAGGTCGGGGCTATTAGGAACCCGCATTATTGGCCTCTCATCTTCGAAAGCTCACATCGAGGCTGTGCGCTGCATGCAGCCTTCGTCAAAAGCGCCTTTGGACGCCGTGGAAGTGGGTCTGGACGTTGACTTCCTCCGACTTCCGTGTTCCAATGTCCGACCCAAGGTCGAGACAATGTCCTTTACCATCTCCTCACGCAGCAGCATCGTTGCCACACCACGTATTACAAGACTTCGCAGGCTACCGTTCTCGAGTGTGCCCGTATGCTCCAATGTTGAATCGCCATACATTTGACACTCTTGAAAGCCGGGTTTTGGATAATGGGTGCAGACGGGCGTTTAGTTGCACCGCGACTCCGTGAGCGGGAGGACGGCTGACGCTCTTATAAACACAATGCGACTCAAACAGATCGCCAGACTTTGTCTATTCCCCTCAGCTCGCCAGACTTTGTCTATTCCCCTCAGCTCGCCAGACTTTGTCTATTCCCCTCAGATCGCCAGACTTTGTCTATTCCCCTCAGCTCGCATCTTCATTCCATTCTCCAACATCAGTCCCCCCCCCCCCCCCCTTCACTACACCGCCGAGCAACCATGCCGCACTCACCTCCCCACCAAGCCGATGCTGCGCTCGAGTTTCTATGCGACACACGCTTCCACCGCCGTCTCACATACACCACCAACAACACCCGTCACCACGTCTCCTACTCCGACTACGGCTGCGCCTCCAGCAGCGCCGTCGTGCTCTTCTTCGGCGGCCTGCTGGGCGGCCGCATGGCGTACGCACCGCTCGACGCCCTGGCGAAAAAGCACAGGATCCGCATCATCCACGCCGACAGGCCAGGACTCGGCGGCACCGACGCAGTGCGGCTCGAGGAACGCATATCCACGCAATTGGCCGCGATACCGCTTCTTCTGCGGCACTTGGGCATCCGGCAGGTTAGTCTGGCGGCGCACTCGTTCGGCGCTGTGTATGCGGTGAATGTGCTACTACTATATCCGCATCTAATGCATCCTGTGGCTCCGTATGCGGCGTTTTTCGCGCCCTGGGTGCTTCCTAGGCACTCGGGCGTGAAGCATTTGCAAGCCGCTGCGCTCCTGCCCGCGGGCATGATAGGCAGGTTTTCGAGCGTCGCGCGCTGGGTCAATGGGACGGTGGCGTCGGTGGTGCACATGGCGACGGGGGTGAGCAGTGGTGGTGCTTCGGTGCCGGTGGAAAATGCGGCAACGGTGGCGGAACAGCCTCGACTGGACGCTGAGGGGCTGGTGTCGGTACAGAGCGAGCGCAGCGGGGATGCTATGTGTGCTCTCGACCTCGACGACCCGGGGGCTGTGAACGGGCTAAGGACCCTCATAACCACGTTTCTCTTCGCGGAGAATATAGACGGCGCAGGTCAGGATGCACAACTCTGTCTGCGCAAACCCCGCTCCGTTCCCTGGAGCACACCGGGTCGACCTTGGGCAGACATCGATGATGCTGCGGGCCAGCTGCGGGGCATCATCGCAGACGAGTCGCACGCAGGCCGGAGATGGGGGGTCGATGCATTTCACGCCGAGACCGATGCTATGGTGGGCGAGAGGGGACGCGAGTGGTTCGATGGGTGTTGGCGGGGCGCTCCGACTGGCGCAAACGAGGACGGTGGGATTGCGTATACGAGTCAGATTGTTGCGGGCGCGGATCACGACTTCATACTGGACCCGGTGTTTGGCGCGAGCGAGAGGTGGTTGGAGCGCGTTGCTGAATCGTTCGGTACGCCTGCTGTGGAGGAACGGTCGGTAGAATAAGCCCTAGTCTGAAGATGTTCGCAGCTTTAGGTATGTCTGCACGAACGCATTGGCGTGCTTCTTTCTTTCAAGTGTCAGCCTGGAGGTACTCGGCGCCATGGCACGCAGAAAACATCCTATAACTACGCCGGGCTCTCGAGTGAGAAAAACTCTGCTGCAGGCTATATTTCTGAAAAAAAGGAGGTATTCAAACACTGCCTGCGGACATCTCGTAACTCAACAAAACCTGTACTGGCTGCAAGTCCGCTACTATCACGGTCAGCTTTTCCTCACTACGACTGCCAATCGTCAAGCGAAGAGCCTTGCTCGAACATATTAATGATTCAATCTCGGCCATGCGGCTGTCTGCTAAGTATGCAAGATCGCTCCAAGAACAACGACAAGGTGTCTACTGCGACGATCCACCGGAGATGGTCAGGACCTGGCCGTTGACCCATCCACCGTCTTCGCTTGCAAGGAATGCAACCACTCTAGCAACATCCTCAGGCACCGCACACCTCCCAAGGGGGCAATGGTTCGCCATCAAGGTCTCTATTTTCTCTGCTGGCCAATCGGGTGAACCGTTCGGAATGTAGTGCTGGGAGCGGCGTGTGGTCAGCGTGAAGGACTTTTTGTATGGACCGTGGCAGGATACTCACCCAAGCGTTTTGTGTGAACATGTCCGACTTGATGCCGCCAGGGGCGACACCGTTGACTGTGATACCGCGCTTGCCAAAGTCTGTCGCGAAGGCCTTGATGAAGCCAATAACGGCCATCTTGGATGCGTTGTAAAGAGCGTGGTCCTTGACGCCAAGCAGACCAGCGGCGATGGACGACATCAGGATGATGCGGCCGTTGTCCTCGATGTGCTTGTAAGCCGTCTGACCGACGAAGAACTGTGCGCGGGTGTTCAGGTTGAAGACGTGGTCGTACTTCTCCTCTGTGATCTCCTCGGTGACGTCCCATGACTCGGTACCGGAGTTGGACATGACGATGTTAATCTTGCCGAAGGCCTTCTTACCCTCCTCGAACAACCGGTTGATCTCGGAGACCTTGCTGACATCAGCCTGGATGGCGATGGCCTTTGCGCCGTTGTTGAAGCCCTCGATGATCTTGACGACTTCTTGGGCGGGTCCCTCGCTGGAGACATAGTTGACGATGACTGAGGCACCGCGCTTGCCCAGCTCGATGGCGCAGCCACGCCCGATACCACGACCGGCGCCGGTGATGAGGGCGACTTGCCCTTCGAGGGAGGCGGTGGGGACTGTGACGACCATGTTGAGATGTGAAGGGAGCAGGTCACGTGTTTGCGGTTGTGATGGTCCTGTTGGTTGGTTGAAGTAGGGCGACTTGGAAAGACTGGTTTGTGAGTAAGAACAAGCTGCGTTTAGCAGGCATATTTTTATATGTTCACCTTCTTCATGATGTTTCGGTGCTGCTGTTTCGGTTCCTCAGTCGCGCTGCCTCACCAGGCGGGCACGGGCGGGGACCCGAATCAGGATCCGAAAATAGCTGCCTCAGGGCGTGCGGCTCTTTGACTGCAACACCGGAGCGTGTCTCGCCCTGCCTTTCACAGCGAAGTGACCCGCTGCCATTTGTTTCCGCATGTTTGACCATGTCGTGCACTCACTCGCGACTGCCGGCTGCGGGCGTCGGACGGCGGAGGGGCCATGGTCGGGTCCGGAGATGCTGCGGCGATGAGATATTGAGCGTTGGTGAATCAGTAATGCCGGCTTGCGCCGTCTGAACTATTCGTGATGCTTTTTTTAGAGGCATGGCTGTCTCGTTCATCGAAGCTGCGGTCATGACTGCCGTCTCAGAGGAGAGTTTGTTGATTTCGGCTGACGGCACGGGTACATACGCGTCCCGCATGCAGGTACAGCTGTCTAACCATGGCAACCGCGTTGTCAACTGCAAACAACACGATGTAGTTTCACAATATAAGTGAATTCAGAGCAGATGCTGGTTGCCAGCGGGTATGGTGGTGTTGAGCACAAAGTGCTGGCAACTGTTGGTTGGACGGCCGCGGCCATTCCGATCGGAACTGCACAGCACGTCACCGCTCTTGACAGCCCCTCCAGCGCCCTCAGAAGCTCTTCCACTCGACGAAAGCCCAAGCATCAATTGAACGGACAGTATCATATAAACGCAAAATGCACATTCTCGTAAGCAAATAATCGATTGCCAATGCTATGTACTTACAATACAGGTAACAAACGATGATGGCCCGCCATCCGACGAGTCCTCGCCGTATGTGCACTCGCTCGTGTCGACACTGCAGAGCTACGGTCACACGGTCAGCGTCGTGCTCCCTCACACGCAGCGCTCCTGGATTGGCAAGGCGCATCTCGTGGGCAAGGCGATAAAGCCCACATACTACCGCCCCGCGCCGTTGCAGACCACGGGCGAAGGCCGCCTCACCAACCACGGCTCCACCCACAACACGCCGCTGCCGCCAAACTCGACCGAGGAAGAATGGATCCTCGTCGATTCGACGCCCGCATCATGCGCTCAGATCGGGCTGTACCACTACTTCGAGTCCCGGGGCCCCATTGACCTCGTCGTCTCCGGTCCCAACTACGGCCGCAACAGCACCGCCGTCTTCTCACTCTCGTCTGGCACCATTGGTGGAGCCATGGAGGCGGCCGTATGCGGCGTCAAGTCCATCGCTCTTTCCTATGCCTTCTTCGACCGCAACCACGATGCTGCCATCATCAGCGCCGCATCCGACCTGAGTGCCAAGCTGATCCAGTACCTGTACGACAATTGGGACGCAAACACACATCTCTACACCGTCAACGTGCCGTTGATTGAGGGTGTAGGCGGCCGCAAGATTCTCTGGACCAACATGTTACAGAACAGCTGGAAGTCTGGATCGTGCTTCCAGGTGGTCGAGGTCCCCAGCGAGGCGGACGACTCGCCCTCGGACATCGAGCGCCAGATCCGCAAGCAAGAAGAGAAGCTCGGCAAGAAGGAGCTGCGCGCCAACAACGACCTACTGCCGGAGAGTCAAGCGGGAAGTGGCACAGCAACACCTAGTGGCCAGCCGCACATGAGGTACACGCACAAGCACTTCAAGTGGGCGCCACAGTTCAAGGATGTGTATGAGAGCGTGGAGCAGAGTGAGCCTGGGAATGACGGATGGGCGGTTGCGCAGGGGTATACGAGTGTCACACCGTTGAGAGCGAACTTCATGCATGTCACTGCGGACAAGTTCAAGGGTGAGATCTCACTGGGGACGTGAGAAGGCAACAAGGCTGGGCTAAAGAGTCCCGTTGCAGAGGGGTAGAGTATGGGGAGATGGGAAAGCTCGTATTGGTTCTGGATAGACAAACAATCAACAACTGCCAATTAGCCCCCGGGCCGCCGATCCTGGGAAGTGCTCGACGCTTGCACTGATGCAACTTCCCCTTCGCTTCGTTTTCGCTTGTCGCCTACCTTGAGTCGCTTGCTCCTGCTCTGGCAGCGAGCAATCATCCCGAACGCTCGACGGACAAGGTTTCCGTCGATGGCGTACGCAAAGGTCCTGGCAAACACTCAATTCGACCATCATCGGTCAACTAGTGTCACAGGCAATGGACAGGTCCTCTCCAGAGCTCTTGGAGGTTCTGAACGCGACGATAATCCTATCAGATACCGATGACGGCTTCGATCAATCATCGCTACAGAACCTGTCGACAAAGGAGCGTTGCTTGGCGATGACCGTAGACTTGGATGACCAGAAGTATGAAGCGCTTATGACTATTTGCTATGCCGGGAAGACGCCATATATGCCACGATGCATTTGCGACAACTGTTGGGTCTATTTCTACAATCCGAAAGACCAGCACAGCGGCAGGTCTAAGTACACATCGAGAATGAACGCATTGGAAGCGAGGCAAGTACTCGACGACCACGCCGACGACATCTTTGCAAGCCAGGCGCGTCTTCAGCGAATTATGGAGCAACACGGCGAACAGATCTTGCACTACTGGCGGGCAAGTGACCAGTGAACACGCGGTGCATTGCTTCGCACGGCATACCCTGATATGCCGCAGAACAAGTGCATGGACGCCGGAAAACCGCTCGACGATACCCCCCGTTCAACACACTGCAAGTGTCTTCTGTTGCCCTAGCTTGATACAAGCTATTTCGCAAGGAGAAGCTTTGGTGTATACTCAATCGGCTCTTTCAAGATCCAACAGATGAAACACGGTTTAGTCACACAATTCTCCTTGGCCTCTTAAACGACTATTTCACGACCACTACAGCAAGCAAACGTGGTGCATTGGATCAAGTCTTGTACGAAGAGCTCTCTGACTACATCGCATGCTTTCAGCTCCTGTCTGCGGTGCGTATGCACCGCCCCGCCTTTCGCTCGCGTAGCGCACTCGATTTTAGGGGCACCCAAGATCGGTTTGCGTGGCGTACAGCGCAAATCTCGACACATGAGGAGCTAGGGTCCAAGAAACGCCTTGTACTGCATCTGGACAAGGTTCTACAGGCACTTCAAGACTTCTGCTGTACCACTGCACCAGCCGGCTCACGGAATGAGAAACGGCTTGTCGCATTCGACAGACAACAAGGAGCTATGCAACGCTTTTGGACAGAGTTCTCTACTGCAATGCGTAGCCGATTTAAGCAGGCAAATTACAGTCCCCAAGATGTAGAGCTGGCTATTAAAAGCATCTCATTCAGCAAGACACCAGATTATCTCAATCGACTAACCGAGGTGCGCAAGAGAGTTCTCTCTGACCTCGCTCAGGCGAATATCACCAACGTCGGAAACGCATCGCTCCCTCTCCCGTTTGCCATGGGCTCCATCGATGACCAAGAGCACATACAAAGGCGAGTCAGCAGGACCAAGCTCAAGACCAAGGGAGCACCTCGGAAAGGCGCATGAGAACTCCTTTTGATCGAGCCAGTCTTCGAGAAGCATCGCAACGTCATCGAGCTGTCTAACAAGCGCTCGCTAGCGACCTTCCGCGTCATATTCCCGTCTACTCCACAAGAGTTCAGGGCTAAGGTCGACTGCAACACTTTTGTTGACAGCATGAGCGATACTGGCTTAGTAGCCAAGAATACTGGAGGTGGAGGATCATCTGTTAAGTTCGAGGATCGCGATGGTAAGGGAAGCATCAACTTCCATCGACCTCACCCTGAGTGTATCGTTCAGCCACATATGCTGCATGCTATGGGCTGGAGGATGAATAAGCGTTTTGGCTGGAGCAGGGAGAGATTTGTGCTCGTGAAGAAGTGAGAGATGTCTGATTTTGTAGGACTAGCAGGCATTCCAAGCATGATGTGATGGACAAATAGCCAAGTTTGGACAATGAGTATATCGTCTCAGCTTTTGAAAGTGCTGAATAATTGGGTATACGACGTAATTAAAGACCAGTATGTAAGCCTATGCCGCACTGATGTACGTTAGCCTACGTCAATCCCGTAATTCATACATAATACACGGTACCTCATACTCGCTCTACCGTTGCAAGACTATTGCATTTCACAGAATCTTCCCCGCTCTATGATGCCCTTCGATCACGGGCTCCTCGTCAAACGCATGATCCGCCGTTACGAACTCCTTGTCCGCGCCGCATATCTAGATTCCGCCTTGATACAGACCCCACCACCTTCAGGCTGGACTGATGACGAGGTAGATACCATCCGCGCCCTAGGCCGCTCCGACACCGCCATCGATATCCTGCGTCACCTTCCTTACATCGATTCAAGCGACTCTGAAGTCTACTGAGACGATACACTACCCATGAAATACCTTCGCAATACAGATATCCAAAAGTTCAGAATTGTGGAGAGCAACGATGTCTTCCTTCCTCGGTAAAGCGCACCGTCGAGTCCCGGCGGTTTCGATCTAGCTTCACAAGTCAACATCAAGCCGAAGACGCGCGGATTGCCGTAGGCTAAAAGATAGAAAGAGGTCGTCCATCAGCAAGAAGCTCGTGCGACCCCCATCAAGACCATCCAGCTCTCCAAGAGCCCTTATACCGCCCTTCGCTACATGTTTCCGAGCACTATAGAGGAGCGACAAAAGGCTGTCGATTGGAGTGTCTTTGTCAATAGCATGAGCGAAACGGGCTTTACGGCAAGAAATGGCGGAGGATCCATCGTACGATTCGATCATCGTGACGGTGAGGGCAGCATCAGCTTTCATCGTCCACATCCAGACCCAATTGTCGATCCCATTATGCTGCAGGCTATGGGCTGACGCATGAACAAGTGGCTATGGTTTAGCTGGCCTCGGGAGACCGTTGTTCTGGCAAAGAAGTGAGAAAGTTGAAGCCAGAATTGGAGGGAGGTCTGGTCCCATTGGACACGCGAGAATTGGAGACCGCGGTCGTCCCAGTAGACGCCTACAGACTTGGTGCCCGTTTAGATTACATTCTTCGAGAAATAAATGGTGCGCCAATCTCCCAGCCGTTACGCATATTTTTAGCACCTAATAGCAGAAAAGAAACAGCAAGTTATAAGCATGATTGAAAAGCTTTGTGGAGGTTGTAGTGTGGTAGGTGAGCTGCTTAGGCAATGCTACGTCTTTGGAGATATATCTGGTCTAGGATAGCGGTGTTCCGTCTTCCTGAGCTTGCCACCGCATCTCAGCAACAACGTCGTATCCATAACAATCCTCTCTGATTGTCTTGTCCGTGATGCCGTAGCTGATCCAGCCTAGCAGTGCGTCGCCGACTCTTGACTCGTTCACTGCACCATCACACCGTGCAGACTCGTCCCGTAGGCTCCGCTCAACGCCCGGTGGGAGATGGAGCATTGCTCCCGCGTGCAAACTCGCATCTCTGATCTTCTCAACCCTAGGCTTCCTAACCTTTTCAAACAGTCTGATCGCTTCAGCCAATGACGTTTTATCTGGGCTCAACGTACATAGCTCCAATGCTGTAGTTAGTGCTGTTGCGTCTTCAATAGCGAGTGATACGCCCATGCTCAGGTAGAAAGCCATGGCGTGTGCTGCGTCGCCAATCAGCAAAAACCTACCGCTTTGAGACGCCCAAGCCGGCAATTTGGCAACCTGATGGACTGGCCAGTTGGTAATAGGACCATTGCTGAGATTGATGAGCCGCAGTGCGCGCGAATCAACATCGCTATAGTACCTCTGCAGTTCGGCAAGATACTGTTCCCGCGTCCAGGTGCTGGTATCGACATCATCTGGATGCGAAAGTACGAGATTAAGCTTTCCAGAACCACTGATCATGTACGTCATCACCGATTTGTTTGTGTCCGCCCTGTGTTGGTCAGTGCCTCTCATGCACAGATCCTTCGAAGGGGAGACGCGTACCAGCAGTTTCCAGCGTGTTCATCCACGACTTCCCTCGTCAAAGGATCTTGTTTGACATCCCCAACATCCGCCATCAGTCTATAGGCCGCCCAACCTGTCGCCTCCAGTTCTTCTTCCTGGGTTATGTTGCTCCGCAGACTTTTAAGCAACTGACTTCGAGCCAAGCTGTTGATTCCATCACAGGCTACGACCAGATCACCCTGTAGATTCTCGCCGCTCAGCAGCTGTACCCACCCCTCTTCAGTCCCATACTCCTGAACGCGACTGTTGAGGCGCACTTCTACTCCCTTTGCCACTACTGCTTCATGCAGGATTCTATGTAGATCTGCACGATGCACGACTACATAAGGTGCGCCATACCATTCCTCGAATCGATCCATCGGGACACGATTCAGTACCTGTCCATCTGAGCCACGCCGCAGATTCCATGCTTTGGGCAGGGCAGAAGCAGCCAGAAGTTGAGATTCAAGACCCCACGCCTTGAACTGCCGGGTTGCTATTGGGGTGAGTTGGACACCAGCACCAATTTCTGCGAGGGCGGATGCAGATTCGAGAAGTATGATGTGGTGCTTCGTAGCGGAATGAGATAATGCGAGCGCCGTTGAAAGGCCTGCCAGACCAGCACCAACAATGATGATTTGCATGCTGGAGGTTCTGGGGCTGGCTGTCGCTGTGTATTTAAGAGACGTCTAAGTTTCTGTGGGCAAAATAGAGTGTAGGTGAAGAGAGCATTTAGAGGGCTGTTAGGCATAAGCATGTGCTGACGGTAACTCGCCGACATTGTCCCAAATTCGGTCCGGTGTCTTGCATGATCTATTGCAATTCAGACCAGATACAGAGGCAGCAGTCAGCGCCAAGCACGAAGGACTTGAAGCGCGCGACACGCATTGAGGAGCTACGCTATGCAAATCGCGCAATTATCGGGAGTTCGATCCCGGTATCGTAGTGTGATTATAATAGTACTGTAGAGTGTTAAAGGATGAGCAGAAGTGGGCCGGCTGCGCCTGCCGTTCGTCCTGGCGCCAGCGAAAGGGGGGTCCAACTACCTAGCGTGTGGAGAAGTAGCGGGGTAACTCCGCCCGAGGTCACGCTGCCGGTTACACCACGCCGCATGTCAGGCGTCCACGCGATATGGCGTGGCATTCCTTCGATGCGGCCGAGCAGAGCCTCATTCCTGCCCTGTTTCGCTACTCTTCTTTATCCAATCCGTTCCTCAACCACACGAAAGCCTCCACATTGATCCCCAGGCAGCCATCACAGTACTTGCATCCGCGTGGCAGTCCTGACATCATCGCAGCACGAGATCTCAACTCAATCTCAACATGACTATAGCAGCAATCGAGCGCCTTCCAGTGGAGCTACTGCAGCCCATATTTGCATCTTCCAGCTACAACCTCGCCCTCATTCAAGCATCCGCGATCTTGGGCGCTCGGTTGTCGAGCGAATACGTCTACCACAACACGTGTGACTACTATCTCAGAGACCAGTGTGACGGCCATACTGTGCGATCTGCAGCTCAGAGAGTTATATTTGCCAGCAGATGGATGACTTGGTCGTTCTTCAAAAGCTGGATTGTCAAGACGTACGGAAGTAAGGGGTGTCTTTGCGGTCTAACACCAGAAGAAGGATGCTTCGATGCCCAATGGCCTCCAAACTTCGAAGATGCGACATCCATGTTCTTTTCACGCAGTCATCTACAGCGTCTCGCTTTCGTTCGTTGTCGACTACCAAAGAAGCTGCTTGACGGCCCTTGGACCGTAGACAAAGTTCAATTCTTGCGTTTTTTGCTTTGGACAACAAGCATGACTGTCGATTGGCAAGACCCAGAAACACGTCAACTCACTGCTGGAGGAAGACGGCGAGCATTTCTCGAGAACAATCTTGGAGCGGTAGAGCTCTTCAACCACAATCGTCGTCTCGGTAGGCCGCCAACACTGGAGACTGTTCAATTTGCCGTGGCAGACGCAAGTTGCGATCGATCAATAGTGTACGATACCTTGAGAAGTGCGTACAGATGGAGCTCGTCAAGTGAAGCTTGGGACTATTCTTCGCTACATCAGTGGTGTGACCAACGGATATGGGACGACGACATCCGAGGGGTATGGTTGCGAGGCATCTTGCAGTCCTTGCGCCATTCTAAGCTTGCTTTCTACGATAAGATCATGGACAGAGATGCCCTGTTCAGCAACATCGTCGATGCGGCGGCGGAAGCATACAGTGACAAATTCTGCGATGAATTCATCCGGAACCAACTCCCCTGGAATAAGGTAAGCTATAGATTCACATACATTCCATACGGCTTGGAATTCTTCGCTGTCAAACTTCCCATATTTGAAAAGAAGCAGATCACGTTCTATGAGTGGGCAAGATACTGAGACTTCCAAGGCTATTGTGACTCGGGGTTGGCTCATTGTTGGCTCTCTTCTGCCCACGCACCATCGTGTTGCACATCAGATACATTGGACACAAGTCATGCAGCAGGCCGGACCCCGCATGTACTCAGGGCCTAGCTGCCCGCGACGACTGAGCTGCTGTAGTGGTGATGGGAGGGATATTCAACAAGGGCTGGCTTGGCTCAATGTCCCAACTTCTCGTCAATGATCACTTTTTCGATGGTCATGGTAAAACAGTCGATGATACTGTTTTCTCAGTGCGTCTTCTTGTTTTCGATTTATTGACAATACGGCTGACGCACGACCCAGGAGCGACGTCACATCGATTGGTTCTACTGGTTACGCCATGACATGCTGAAGATGGGTGTCCATCGCGTGACGCGCGTGAACCTCGGCGCCTTCTGGAAACACCGTAACGACCACTACAAGACAATTACCGGTCTTCGTCGCAACGATCGTGGAAACTTCGCTTTCCGGCTAGAGATGTGGATCCCCGACACTAACACGAGTAGTGCCTGGAACGGAATGCTGTCGAGATGACTTATTGCATAACTTGCATTTGATTCGTATCTTTTAGCGTCCAACAAACCCAGCAACAGCGCGCAATCTGATAGCACTCTTAACGCCTGTCCTGTCTTTCCCATTGTGTTCAATGTTATTCTTCGCCGCATCAGTCTTCACCAGTACATTCAAGCTATCCCAGGAATCGAGCACTTCTACCGTCCGCACAATATTTGCCTCCGCATCTTTCGCGACTGTAAACACATTGACTCCCGGTACGCTCTTTACTGCACCTTCAGCCATTTTTTCCCAGCCTGTTACTGCATTTGAGGATGTTCCTGGCTTGTACTCGATGCCCACGAGCAGGACAGCTGGGGATGTGGTCAGGAGAAGTGGGGGTCCGGAGGTTGTCTTGATTGCGATGGGATTACTGTGGGTCTCAGGTGGTGCGGACAGCATGTTTCTGAGGGCGTCCACAGTCTGTGCTGCTTGGTGACATTCGAGTGCACTTTGAGATGTGAACCTTACACCATCAGACGGAACGTTGCGCGCGACTGAGATTCTACTCACTCTTCGATAACGTATATATCCACCCCTGACGTGTCCTCTAGTGGCGTAGTAACCAGATACTGCTCGATTTCACCATCCTGGGAAGCTGCATCGATGGCAGCATGTTGGAGAGCCTCAAGCACCTAAGGTCATTCCTTAGCGTATGATGGGGCGTGGACACATGATGCATTGCTCACTTTGCCCCTGGCCTCTGCACTTTCACAGACCAGTCTCGTTATTTGCAATATACCAGTCATCTTTGAGACCCGACGCGAATGACCAAACGAACGAACAGCGATGGACACTGCGCCATATTTAGATGGTGACCGCGGTACTAATTCCAATCTCCATCTCGGAACCATTATTCCGTGTTCCGAGGTTTGAGGACGACGACCATGTTGACGCCCGATGCTTGCAATTGTATTGGGTTCTAGAAACGTCGAAGACCAGGAGATATGTTATCACTGGCTCAAGTCTCATCTCACGACTTTCCTTTTCGCAAATCGTCGATGATCGACCACCCATTAGGGTCATGGTATGCACTGTGCGGTCCATGAAACACAGCTCGAGCTCGCCGATCACTAGAATACATAGGGCCGACCATCTCTTTGAGCCGACAACCCCAACTGTCACTACCAAGCTTGGAATTTTGTTCGACTGTGGAAGGATGCAGCTTCCATATTGGCTCTTCCTCATCGTTATTGCTGATCAAGATTACGATGTAAACCCCCTGACTTTCAAAAGCAGTTTTGCAAGCTGAGAAGTCCAGAATGGTAGGGTGGCGTTTTTGGGGTAGCAATACCAAGACATCCTGTAGCAAGGGCAGGCGCGATCTGCAATTTGCGGCCAGGTCTTGCAAGGAACTGGCATTCATGACAGAACTCTGAATATCCTCGACGTTTATGACTAAATGTTCAAGCCTCGGTAGAAACATGTGGTGGAAGCTGACCCATTCGTTCTTGGGAAAAGGCATCAGGCTGGTGTCGAGGTACCGCAAATTTGGAAGATCGCGCAGACATTCCAAATGCTCCTGGACTAGAAATTCCGTGTCCGCCCAATCTGTATGCGCCTCCCATGGGTTACTTCCCCCATCAACTAGGTAGAGTCGCTCCAGGCTTTCTTTATGCGCAGAAATCGCTCTACTGAGTGTCGGCCATGAGAGTTGCTGCCCAATGAAGTCACCGTCGTCCTCAGAACTCGGGGACCAGTAATTTAGCTCTAGCTTGAGAACCTTCAGATGTTTTATCGCGTCTAAAATCTGTGCAACGATCTGCGAGCTGACTTCACAGCACTCAAAGATCAGAGTCTCAATCGTGGAGCATCTGTCACTGACTTCCTTGTTCCAAGGCTGTGCTGCAATCCTACCGTTGTGTTGCTCGCCTACTAGGTGAAGCGTTCGTAGAGCAGGTAAGCGAAGTAACGGTCCGATTTGCTCGAATCTCAGTTCCCCCATGCCCAGGTACAAATGGTGGAGGCGTTGAAAATGCTGAGATAAGCCTGTTGGGCGTAACAAGGCTTTCATCGCCAAAAGTTCTAGCCAGATAGGTCTCCAGATAATACCATCCACTGTCTCTTGTTCGTAGTTCACGTCTGCAGCCTCGAGATATTCAAGGTTGGGCGCTAAGACAAGTGCTGTAGCAAGGTGATACTCAGCCGAGTCGCCACGGAAGCAAGCTCTCAGACCACCCGCAAGCTCTGGGATGCCTAGCCTCCCAAGCTTCTGTAGGAACATCGTCTCCGCCTTCGGTGATCGACGGAGCATGACTTGCGACGACCTTTTGACTTGGAGCGCCCAAGATATATGCTTGATGCTCTCTGCTTTCTTAGAGTCCAAGATCATTGCGTCAATAGTTTGAGGGAGTTTCCGGCGATTTCGGTTGCTGATGAAAGTACACAGGTAGGGTGTGGCGAGCCTGCTGAACTTCTTATTCGTCAGGCACAGATTGTGGAGTGCTGCCACGTGTTGCAGTACGTCTGCCAGAGCATGACAGCGAACCAGAGCTCCCAGAATTGTGTCTAAAATGAGCAATAGTACTTCCTCAGGGAGATGAGCGAGTCCACTTGGTGGTAACAGCCCAGTTTCGTCGCGCCTTTTCCGCGTCGCAATTGTGCTTGAGTCGTCCGATCTCTGTCGTTTGTGATTAATGGCGCGTAAGTCCATCGTTGATTTATTGGGAAGTTGTGCGACAAACTCCGCAACAGGGGATGCGGCAGCCAGCGAGGGTGACTCGACTTCTCGGAAACCCCACACATAACGCACGCTTATGTCATTAGCGTCATCGAACTATGGAACCGTACGCGTCGCTGCCGTCATCACTTCTGCAGCACACGGTGACAAGTACTTTACTTCCTATCGAATCTCATAATATTTGTCTCCGGGCAAGCCACAGCTCAGTGCTAGCCATACGGCGGATGCGGACACGCGCCTTCAGGAACACCGCTAAATCCATGGTACTGCTGCGGCAGCACCATAGGTTGCATGCCTGGTATTGCACCCCCGACATAGCAAGTCACCGTAGTAGTCATATATGCCCCCATGACGCTGACATGGAGAAGGAGGACCTTGCGGTGGCATACCAGCATACTCACCAGGTTCCGGCCCAACTACATGCCCTCCCTGCTGTCCTCCTTCTACTTCATTCCGTGGACGTTGTTCGAATTCAGCGTTGTCTAACGGTAGCTCTATGCATCGCTGGGTGGCTTTCATAGTATCGGACTCCCTGAGTATTGTGCCAGAGAGGCGATTGAGCGCCAGCGCTAACGCTAGAGGTGGCCAAGGGAAGGCTTGAGGAACGGCCTAAAAGAATGGCGCCTATATGGATTCATCAGGGGAAAAGGATGCATCGTGCAAATTTTGAGTCACTGCTTTGATCCGGCTCCGGCAGGGACCTCGTTACGTCTTGTTGCAATACTCCTTGCCTTGCAACAGAACGTGCGCGGAGAGGGATCGTATACGATGGCAGTATGAAGATCCGGAGGCTGAAACGTGAACAGGAGACCTTTTGATAAACACACATTTGACGAGTCTTTGGCACAGTGTCTATGCCACGTTCAACAGCAAATTCTGGCTTTCCATTCTCGTCAATCGACTGCTACGTGGACACCTGGTTCTTTCCTAACGTACTAATTGGAGTGTTGCTCTCGTGGTACTATTGATGCTGGGCAGAGTGGAGACTACCTGGTTGTATCAGGAAACTATGTATATATTTAGGGTCTGAAAGAAGGTACAAAATTGAAGACGAGACTTGATTAAGAGGTGAAAACATTTACGAGCCAGACGTTCACACTGCATTCAAGGCTTGCGGTTCATCACGATCCTATTGGTGGTATGGAGCCTTAGACCCATCTACAATCCTCCATGACCATTGACTTGAGCCTAGAAGCGACCGCCATAGTAACCGCCCCAGGGTCCTGCACCACTGCTATAGCCCTCAGAATAACCACTGTAGCTGTCCCCATATCCACCTCCGTATCTAGGAGGGCCGCCTCCGTGCCCATGGTGCCCACCGTAATCGGGACAGGTATCTTCCGGACCGCCTGCCCATCGTCCTCCCGGTGGTCCTCCACGACCTCCTTGTCTGGCTATACCACCGAGCAAGCCGCGGAGTCTCTCAACAAGCTCAGGAGGTGGTGGGTCAGAACGGTCTCTGCGAGGACCGCTGCCGCCGCCAGCATCACTGCCGGAGTCGCCGTAATCACCTCCGCGGCCGCCGCAATACTGACTGCCGCCAGGACGACCTCCATCGGAATACCCGCGTCCAGAGAATCCACTCCCTTCCAGGATAGCCAGCGTACATTGTGCTTAGTTGTGGTGATGAAGTTTGTGTTTGTTGAGTTTGTTCGTGCTAGAATTTTCTGGGTTTCGTTGACTTCAGTTGTTCCGCAGGACTACCATGGCTGAAGGACAGTCTCGTTCTTAGAAGAATCTGTTGTGACTAGATAGTTGCGTGGCAGTGTAATGATAATTGATCGACAGATGTAAGGAAGCGTGATGGATTTGGCTTCACAGAATCTGCATCATTTGCGTTGCCTGCGCGTAGTCACATGAGCGCGTAAGGTCAAAATGACTGAGATCACCTACATCTTTGTTTGACTCAAAGCGCCCTAAGATAACTTGCCACGTCCACAGTCAACTTACTACACAGTCATAGTGATGCTGGGAATTGCATTCTTCAACCACGTACCTAGTCAACGTGCGCGTATGCGGTACTCTTGTCAATACTCGACGTTGTCAGCTCCCGCAACTAGTCACCTGTCAGTGTTTCGAAGCAAAAGTGAAGCGGTGTTTCACTACAAGCTGGATCGTGATGTTCCGACTTTCTCAACGCATGAAGCCGTGGGGGTTTGATCTCTACCCGTAGAGTTCGAGACCGAGATCGAGCGCGTGACGGATAGGAGACACAAGGTTTGCGCTGCAACGAGGTAGCGACGTGAGCACGGGCGGGAGTTTGACGGGGGACTGGTGTCGAAGGAGGTGACTGGAGCTGAGCGATTCACACGCCTTGTGATAAGAGTCCTTACTCGAACAGTGGAAGCTCGGAGCCTGCTGCAGCGAGGCTGACAAAGATCTTGACAGATGGTTCTATTTGTTTTGCGCGCGACTTTTCAGAAATGCAGCCTTGTTCCTGACTCACAACGTGAAGATGGGCCAGAAGCCGGTTGCATTCTGGTTGACAGTCTGTGCCCTGGTCGTCCTTGTTGCGCGTTTTCGACCGGGTTAGAACGAGGCAAGTGTCATACTTGTCCTTACTGAGACCGTTGAAAGTGTTTACCGTCAACCTTGGAGATCAACGTCAATCATGGTTCGGCGGCTAGAATCCAGACACAGAACCAGACAGGCGGAAGTGGGGAATAGATCGTCTGCACGCATGGGTCCATTCCCCTGGTCAATATAACGTCGACAAGCCAATCTCCTCCGCATTGCGAACGATGAAGCCGTTGCCTCAGGCTGCCTGCGGGAGCGGAGAATGCCTCGTCATGCCGCCCATGACATCTGTTGAACTTGAAACATTGCGTTTAGTCGATGCTGCGCTTGTGTGGTTTCGGTAGCGGCCGTAGGCGTCAATGGGCGGCAGTGAAGAATGCGCTCAGCCTTACCACCTCGATGACTCCTGCATGTAAAGATCTGCCTTGCAGGCAACATATGAAATGAGGCTGCAAGGTTTCAGGTGCAAGGGTTGATGTCGCGAAATTACGCAGACAAGATTCGACTCACGTGACAACCAGCACGAGTTTGCGTGAACGAGATGTACTCGAGCCTCTAGGCCCGCGGACCTCGAGTGCCGGTACCTCGGACAACGAAACGCAAATCCAACTAGGACCAGAGCACGTTTCAGCGGCCAAACTCGGTCCAAATTGGGTCGAAAGCTGGCAAGCGCTCTGCAGGGTGGTGTTACCGAGATGAGAGAAAAGCATGGGCCGCGAGGTGAGACGGTTTCAAGTCAACCAACAGGCTTTCCCCGGCACATGGAACGGAGAGCGAAATAGCACGATGAGGCCACGCGAGCAGCCGTTGAATTTGAGAGGACGAGGTTCGAGGCTGACGCGTAAGAGCAGGCGGTGTTGCGTGCCTCGACGTGCCTGGCGAACATTGTTACTCCCACCACCTCGCAGTCGACGCGCGTGAAGCTTATCATCGCGGGAGGCGGCGGCCCCGGACGGATTGCGGAATGGATTGCAGGTTGCGCGTGGAAAGACGGAATCTAGTGAGATGCTGACAGACAGCGGTCCACGGTTTGGGGCTTGGCATACGCTCTCGAGTCTCGGCCAGCCTCGTGCAGCAGTGTATAGCAGCGCGCAGCACCTCAGAGGAGGTTTTGCATGGTGGCAGCAAAGTTGATCGTAGTCGCACACACATACCGGTCCACAGAACTAGATGCTCATGTCTCGGTGAAGATGCATGGATTAAATTTAGAACGAGAGAGCAGCTGTTCGTGGCTGACGAGTGGGAGAGCTGGCTGGGCGCGCCCAGCGAATGATAGGGCGCGCACCATCTCCAGCCGCCGTTAGGGCAGTCAAAGTCACCGGCCGCTACGAATGACTGGACGTCGCACCCAGACAGACGCCATGGACGTGGTGGAGCGCGTCTTGCGGTGTGCGAAAGGCCCGGCTGCTCGAGCAATGAGGGCGCTCTGTTTCGATGCAGTTGTTTGCATTGGCGTCCCTTGCTGGCAGACTGCAGCCATTCAACTGGCACTCGACTGTCACTCGACTGGCAGACTCGAGACCTTTGACAACGAATCCTGGAGTGTGCTCGACGGCGTTGGCTGCTTTGGGCAGGCCAGCGTGAAAGGCTTTACTCCACGGGCTTCGATTCTTCCAGCATCAAAGAGAAAGCACCGAGCATGCCTGAACCATCCTCTGGACCAGCGATCAGGGCAGGATCAGGGCAGGATCAGGGCAGGGAGCGGTCCATCCCTCGCCATCTGCGCATAGCTGCCGGTCGTTTCACGTCTGCATCCAGTGCTGCAGCGCGTCAGGGGCCGACTAAGGAAGTGGAGCTAGCCGTCTGCGCCTTAGTCGCTCCCTGCACAAAGCCAAGCCTCCAGAAGCCAGTAGGCATCAAATAGTCGTGCCCACTCGCTTCCCTCGTCTCCCGTCCGCTTGTCACCTTTTCTCCTGGCCCCTCCAGAGCTCTCGCCCTTTCCCTCGACCACTTCACTCTCTTCTCTGCCCTAGTGCAGCTTTGCATCTTCTATCGTCCTGCTTGTTTGGACAGCTTATCACCCACCTAATCATCCACCGAGAGATCTCGAGCGCGCCAGTCCCGTCGCTCTGCCTGTGAGAAAAGGCCGCAACACGACGCACCACCAGCCGCATCAACCGTTTGTGCATCCCGCGTGCATCTGCTACTGCTGCAACCTGCGAGCGCTCTGCATCACGCGCCTGCCCGTCTCGCCAATCGCCCCTTCCGTACTGAGCTAGACGCGTTGGACCCTGCCTTTGACAGCCCACCAGCTAGTGGATACTGCGACCGAACTGAAGCACCACCCTTTGTTAATAGCTCCAACTGCATTGCATTGCCTATCGGCCGGACTTCGATCATAACGCTACCTTACCACCACGATCAGTACGATCCTTAATCACGTAATCGCACCCCAATCCTTGCGCCCGTCTCCCGCGACTCATTCGACTCGAGACATCGCCTTCCATTCTATATCTTTTTCGGTGTGTCCAGCATACCAGACTTGTTGCAGCCTTACCCTTTCTTCGCGACCTTCAACGATTTCAATATGAGCATGGACGCTGGCGGTCTTGCTCAAATGTCCTACAACAACTTCCAGTCCCAGGGCTTCGGCAACCCGACCTCGAGCTTCGCGTCTCGCGGCAAGGGTGCTGCCCTGAAGCGTCTCAGCGTCGCCTCCCCGCCCAAGGTCGCCTCGATCGCCGAAAACGAGGTTCAGACTCCTCGCACCAGCCGCTCCCACCTCCTGGCCGGTCTCCGCACTGCGCCCAAGACGCCCTCGTCTGCCCAGCCCCCTGCATCTGCGCCCCACACCCAGCGCCAGTACAACATCGGCGGAAACCAGACCAACCGTCTCTCCAGGAACTTTGCACAGAACGGTCCCCAGACTGCCGTTGGTTCCGGCTTCGGTGGCGTCAACCAGTACCAGCAGCAGCAGCACATGCTCTACGACCAGGTTCTGGCTCCTCCCACTATGCAATACGATGATGGCGAGATGGATCCCGCCGTCGCCGCTCAGCTCCTCGCTACCGAGGCTTATCTTGCTCAGAGACAGCAGCAGCTCCAGCAGCAGCTCCTTGCTCTGACTGCTCAGCAGTTCGGCAACATGAACCTCAACGGCATGCGTCAGCAGCAGTTCCCTGTCACTCCCCTGACCAACGCCTATGGCCAGCAGTTCCAGCAGAGCGCCCCGGCTGTTCAGGAGACTGCCCAGCCCGGCGTCTACCTCGTATTCAACCAATTGACCGGTCAGTACCAGTATGTCATCGACCCGGCCTACCAGCAGGACAGCATGTCGCACTCCCCACCGCCGCCAACTCCCGGGTTCGCTCCTTCGCCTCCCAAGGTCGACACTCCTGTCCTTCACGTCTCCCCGCCCAACGAGATCAATCCCAGCCCGTGGGCACGCAGCACATCGCCTCCCAAGAAGTCTTTGACCCCACCCCAGGACGTTGTTCCTCTTCCCCCACCATCCGCGAACGCTTTCCGTCGTGGCCACAAGAAGCAGCCTTCGTCGCTTGCGCTTGACTCCAGCGCTGAGATGCCTGCGGGTCCCAAGTCCGCCTTCGTTCGCTCCGTCGGCTTCCCAGCTACCCCCATGACCGGCACATTTGGCCCTGGTCAAGCACGTGCAGGAGAGCACCCTATCCGCCAGCCCCGCGGCCCGCCCTCAATTGAGGAGCTCAAGGCTAGCCCCACCTCTAAGCACGAGGGTAGCAAGAACTTCGCTGCTCGCCAGCGTCGGCAGGCAATCAGCAATCTCGTCCGTGCCGGAATCGGCCGCCGAGGTCAGCGCAACGGCAGCGGCAGCTCGTCTCCTGCCAGTGAGAACTTCCCCTCGTCCGACAACGACTCCGACAGCGTACGCAGCGGTGGCAGCGGTAGTCTTTCCGGCAGGCCCAGCATCGGCAGCCTTCGTGCTGTTGCCAACGGCGCTATTGGCTCGGAGCGCCAGGCCTCGAAGGAGCGCTCCCGTGGGACCTCAATCGAGCGCTCATACACTGGTTCAAGTGTGAGCAGCGAGGAGGGCTTTGTCGATGTTCGACCCAGTCTCGGTCAGCGCCGCTCGACACCAAAGCTCATCTTCACCAGCGCTGAGAAGCGCAAGAGCACCATGTTTTAGACACTCGAAAGATTCATCACTAGGAACTAGTTTCCTTTGTGCATGTCACTGGAGTATCATCACGATGCGACAGTCTTATGGCCCGTTACGACTCTTTCCTTCTTGTGGCGCGTTTTGCGAAGTGCATACGGCGGGTTTCAGATTTGTCTTCATTTTTCCAAATACTACGATTACAATTCGTCTCTTCTCTAGTCCTACTGCAGGGCTCCAGGAGATCCTTTTATGAACTTCTGGTGTTTCCGACTTTTACGCCAACTGCTTTTAATGAGCATGTGGATGGCAGTATTTGTCATCTGCACGTTTTTTGGGATTCAGTATATTGGAAACAGTACCTATGCTTGATGGACAACGAGCTCTACGCCTGTGGCTAGAACTCATTGCACTCACTCAGCTTTTGTTTGTTATTATGTGAGATGGCGTAGGAAGTTGAGGGAAGTCGAAGGATGATCAGTGGTGGGCTATATAGGACCATACCTAAATGTCACACTCTTTCAGCAACTATATTTTTGCATTGGTGAGGTCTACTTGGAGCTGCAAGACGTAGCATTGTAGACACGTTGGCACGGCATTGCCGAAGGAGCATCATCACAAGTTCTGTTGGCGACCAATGTGGTTAGCGCATTCTGTTAGCCGGCAAATTGTGTTATCAGGCGCTAGCGCTCTGCACCCTCTTGCACTACATTCGTACGGATTTGCTTACATACGTGAGGCTCTGTGAAGTCGTCACGCGACTAGACCACTGCTTGAACGGTGTTCTACATCCAATGGCCATCAGGTTCGTTCATTCTGATTCGTTGTATCTATGTACCAAGAGTCGATCAGCCGTAGTGAACGCCACACTATACTTGGCGTCGTCCACTCCTCCTTCCCAGATGAGTGGTTCTTGATCCTGCACTTGGCCGCCTCAAATTATCTAAAGGCGGTTGGAATCCATACTGTGTCAGACAGCAGCATCACTTTTCGAACGACACCGGAGCCTTACTCGGGGAGGGGCATTGTGCCACTGCTTTCATGCATTGAATCCTTCTTCACCCTTCCTCCTCCTTTCTTGGCCTCGCTTTTCCTGTTACTGAATTATACTTTTCGTTTCTGCTGTTAGCTCTCGCCAGATCGAGTGCAGTCATACCTGCAGCCATGGGCAATATTGGCAATCTGAATCGAGCTTACAAACCTCACAGCAGTCCCAACACCGTTGGTTCCGGCTCTAGCCCGACAGCTAACCGTATTCATCTCGACTTGCCCACGTCAAACGGTGAGCCATCGCCCATGCTTCGAAGAGCAGCTGGAAGAATACCAAATATTGGTATTGTAGGGGCTGGCGTAGCCGGTCTACGCTGCGCAGAAGTCCTACTCAAGCATGGCGCCAAAGTGACCATCTTCGAAGGGCGGAACCGTGTCGGTGGGCGATTTTGCCAGGGAACAGTGGGCGATCATCTGGTTGATCTGTAAGCGGTCTCTACTGCACGAGCGCTCAGGAGCTGATTATCTGTGAAGTGGGCCCAATTGGATTCATGGGACGGATAACAATCCCATGCTTGATCTAGCCAAGGAGACAAATACTATCACGATGAACTGGGATGGTCGACAGTCCGTCGTCGATGCTCTGGGCAAGTACCTCTCCGACAAGGAAGCAGCAGAAAACACTGAGATTGTGTGGTCGATCATTGAGCAAGCGATGAAGCACTCCGACGCAGAGTCTGCGACAATAGAACCGCAGAAGAGCTTGTACGACTTCTTCGAGGAAGCAGTGCAAAAGCTGTTCGTCGACGAAAAGGAAGTGGACGCCAAAAAGAAGAGACAGACGATCCTGAAAATGTCAGAGATGTGGGGATCTTTCGTGGGCAGTGATATCCAGAAGCAGAGCCTGAAGTTCTTGTGGTTGGAAGAGTGCATCGATGGCGAGAATCTGTTCGTTGCAGGTACTTATAAGAAGGTGCTCGAGAAGATCGCCCAGCCGGCTGAAGAGGCAGGTATCCGATACAATACTACTGTGAAGAAGTTGATCTCAAAGCAGATTGACGAGGGGAGGGATCCGTCAGTGGCGGTAGAGTACGAGGATGCTGAGGGCACACGCCGAGAAATGTTTGATGATGTTGTCATGACGGCACCCCTGGGCTGGCTGAAAACCAATCTCGATGCGTTCGAGCCAGCATTACCGAAGCGGCTTCAGGAAGGTATCGCAGCGATTGGATACGGTCATTTAGATAAGGTCAGTCCCATCTTTACCACTGCATTCAGAATGGTTGCTGACGAACTGAGGTCTATATCACGTTCCCAACCGCATTCTGGAACCTCTCAGATGCTCCTTCAACCACCCCCGCGAGCCGCCCATCAGCCGCTGCTTCAACCCTCACAAACGTCCCCGCAACAACCGCTCCCGTCCGCCAACTCGGCGCCGCCGACTCCCCAGTCAATCCCTCGCACTACGCCGGCTTCACATCCTTCGTCGCGCCCACCTACGCTACCGCCACAAACCCACAACACTGGAGTCAAGAAGCCATGAATCTCGCCGCTCTACCCGGCTCGACCGCGCACCCAACACTGCTTTTCTACACACACGGTGCTACAAGCCAACACATCGCCGATCTCGTGTCACGATACCCTGATGCAGAAGAGCAGAAACGCGCGCTAATCGCATGGTTCGAGCCATACTTCTCGCGGCTGCCAAACTACGATGCAAAGAAAGAAGAGCATAATCCAAGCCATGTGCTAGCGACATTGTGGGCAAACGATGAGCTAGCAGGGTACGGGTCGTACGCGAACTTCCAGGTTGGATTGGAGCGGGGCAATGAGGATGTTGAGGTCATGAGGCTCGGTGTGCCGGAGAGAGGGATATGGTTGGCAGGTGAACATACGGCGCCTTTTGTCGCGCTGGGGACCGTTACGGGCGCTTGGTGGAGTGGAGATAACGTTGCGAATAGGATTGTTCGGGTATGGGGACTGGGGGACACGTCTTGACCATGGCGGTGTTATGCATCATATATATTTGCTAGTCAACAGAATTCTGCTCCAATTGCCATCTTCTTGTGAGATCGTCAGCCACATCTCAAGCTACAGCCTAGGTAGGCTGCGTCGGACATTGAGGCCCACCACCATAGCCTCCCATACCGCCACGTCCTCTGTATGTGATGAAGCTAAGCAAAATGATGATCGCTTAGATGCCGATGCCTTGATTGTATATATGTAGGGTTCTTTCACTCCCAACAGTATGGGCCCCTACCACCGCGACCTCCTCGGCCGGCGTGCCTGCCACCGGTTCCGCCGCACCAGGGTGCATGCATTCCAAACTCATCATCCTCGTTCTCATATCGACGTGTGACACCTTCATACACACCACTATAGCCAGGGAGCGGCGTGCCAGGCCAAACGTTACGATAGTAGTCCATGAACTCTCTGAATGTGTTCAAGCGCCACGCGTTACGCTCTCGAGGATCATCTGGCGGTCCACGCCAGAAGTCTGATCCGTCTCGAGGGTCTCGAGGGCCGCGAGTCGGGAATTGTGGGGGCATTTTGAGTTGTTCAATTGTTAGGCTGAGCGCGGAGAGGTCTGGTTGTTGAGTTCCTGTGTGAAGGGAAGGGGTACTTTGATGCAGCATATGTGATACAAGTTTGTGAACGCCGGGTACTGACACGTAAGCAGAATTGACAGCGAGGCTTTTGTGACTGTTAGCACTTCCGTAATGTCAGCGTTGCAATGCTGGGAATTGACTAGTGCCCGATTGCATCGATCTTCGCGGTTCTCGAAGTTCTTGATGCTCAGAGTCACTTCCTCGGTAGGTCGTCTGCTGGCAGTTGGACCGCAAAGGCTCAAGCGCTCAAGCCTATCTTACACAGGAACATTGCCAAGACTCGAGATATTGTGTTGCATGATATGCTCGTTTTATTAGTCTATCAAGATTTCGGACTCGTAGTACAGCTTGAGGACTGCAGAACATGACAGCTAATCAAGAGAGTCTGAGCAACCGCAAGCAGCCCACTCATGTGCGCTATCAAGAAAAGCGACGACGAGACCTGAGACCAACACTTGATCTAATTCTATCACCAGCGAGAGGTTCCGGTTCCAGGTGTCCGAATGGACCTCAGGAACTCGATTCCAGAGAGCCTATCAGTCCTGTCCAGCTCGTCATTCTCATCGTCATTCGGCCACCCACCTATAGGCCTATTTCCGGATATACCCCATGGGCGGAAACGAGGCTCCTCACGCTGGGGTAGACGTCGCATTCCAGGCGGAATGAACTCCTCAGGACCATCAGGACCCCGTAGCCCATCGCGTGGAGGGCGAACAGGTCTATCCCGCCTACCTTTGTTGCAGTATTCTCCTTCTCCGTCAGAACCGCGTCTATCACCTCGTTCAGGTCCATCCCCAAGACGCCGAGGAGGCGGCGGGTCGTCATAGTCATAGGGGTCTCTGCCACCGAGACGAACCTGATTCAGGAATGCTCCGAGTCTGTTCATGGGGTACTCGTCCCCTTCCTCGTCTTCGCTACTGTAGCCATGTCTACCACCATATTCGGACATAGCACCGGGACTACGAAGCGACATGCCAGTATGGCGAGGTGGAAAACCAGGTTGGCCTCCATGACGAGGATCTATTAGCCGCGTACCAAGGAATCGAGGTCGATCGTCATCCTCTTCCTCAGAGTCGTAAGCACGTAGACCCAATCGACCGGGAATATCACCGGGGCGTCTGCCAGGTAGGGGGTGATCGGGAGGTTGTCGACCAAATTGTTGCTCACACCAATCGTCATCCTCCGGGCGGCCACAGCGCGGCATTCTTGAAGATTTCATCGTTTTTGGTTTGCGGGATTTGTGGTTCGTTCCGTACTTATATTATGTGGGAAACTACTTTGCTGCTCACTCAACGTTTTGCTGAGTTGATGTCGGGAATAAGGAGGTCTGTACAGGATTATATATGATCTAGCCTGGTGAGCAGACGGTGACACTGAGTAGATGTGAACGGTTAAACAGTAGATAAATGTGACGGATATTGTTATGTGACTGTTGTCATCTTCAAACGCAAGTTATCTGCAATTTATGAGTCTGATTCCAAAGATACTATTGTGCTTCTGACGTAGGAAAAGTAGCGTCTCATGCGCTAGATCGCCCGATGGCAGGTCTGTGAGGAGGGCTGATGCTGATAGCTGCTTCTTAGATGCATAAGACACAGTGTTGCATGGTATGTAAATTCTATTCATTCTACTATTCGGCTAAGAGCTACTTGGAGCCGCAACAGCTATAGAGTGTTGCTGGCTATAGAGAGAGAGGTTGGGACTGCCTCTGTACTCTCTATACCTACGCAAGAATCGGTATCGTGGTCTGAAAACATCCACCACAGTATCCACCGTGACGCCCGTACAGACTATCATAGCCTCCAGAGTAGCCTGAAAAACTACCGTAGGAATTATACATGCTACTATTGTAGCGGCGGCGACCACGAGGTGGTTTAGGAGCCCTAGGAGGTTTACTCACCCTAGAAGGATAGAAGTGCCTACTAGGACCACCATCACTATCAGGCTCTGAGATCTTGTAGGGCAGAAAAGGACGTTCCCGGCTGCCAAGACTAGAGGAACGTGGAGGCCGACCTCGTCTTCCCGTGTAAGTACTGCGAGGCATTCTGTAGCAATCTGAGTATCCGTACATGTTGTTGACACCGATTTCGTGTTCTCGAAAGCGAATCTGTTGTGCTGATTTGGTTGAGTTTTCTGGACCAATGAGTACATTGTGCTGTTGTGCTGGAGTGTTCAACAAGGAGATGATATGTTTATTTTTTCTACAATAACTACTAAATCGACCTGTTGCTCGCGTATATTTGTTAAGTTCCATAAGACATAATGTAAGATACCCCCGGACTACTTGCAGAGAGGGTGCACTGAGCACATCTTTTGGTGTCGCTTGAACGCCAACGGGTCCCTAGTGGTGAATCCCTTAGGCGAAGGACAGTCTTCACACACAACCATCAGCCTAGTCCCATTCTTCGAATACTTCCGCTTCCAGTTCGCCTTACGCTTTACAGCATAAGCCTTCCCCTTCTCCGACTTCCTCCACTTCACTGCACCCTTCCTCCCAGCTTCCTCCTTGTTCGCCTTCCTCTGCTTTGCCTAGCCTTTGCCACTGTGCCTAATCCTTGCAAGTGTCTTCTTCCCCCTTTCTGACTGAGTGTACGCCTTCTTCTGCGCATTCGTCTTCTCTTTCCTGGCTTGGTCCCAATCTCTCCTCACGTCTGTATATTCCAAGATGTCCATGACAAACGGTATGACAGCCTCTGAGAGTGAACTACGCGTACAAAGACCGAGGTAAGGGAGATCCTCATTGTTCCAGAGGCAGGAGCCAGAGAGTTTGCCGAACTTTTGGAACTTGAACAGCCAGAACTTCGCAGTGATAGTCCCTACGAGTGCTTCTGGACTTGGGCTGCGCGTGGAAAGAGGTGGTAGGTAAAAGACCGAGAAGGCAGCTTTAAGATCTATTGCACATCAGGGCGAGAAAATCACGACCGAGGAGGCACCCAGAAGGATAGATGAAGAAACGAGGTTTTGATTGGCGGTACATTCGTGTATTCGTTAACTTCCATATCTTACAACCAAACAAGAAATGAACAGAAAGGAAAGAAAAATCTTAGGTATTCATGCCCATGCAAGCATTGACACAGGGTCGGAGGGGAGCTTTGCTCTTAACCCTGCCTGGTCGACGTCCCATCCAAACCATTTAACGGAGTGCTCTAGGGTCGAAGGGGGGCTATGCTCGGACCCTGCCTAGCCATCACTCGACTTCATGATCCAGGGTCAAAGGGGAGCTGCGCTCTGATACCCTGCCTGGACCAATCTCTCCAACCATCTACAACCTCAGACCGCGCTTCATCTTCCTGTTCGCGTTGCCCGCAGCGGTAGCAGTAGCAGCAGGCCTATCAGCCGGGCCGCCATCAGGGTTGGTGACAGCGCCGGCGAAGCCAATAGCCGTGTTGAACAGATCAGCAGTACTCTTGTCCCTGGTACCGGCAGCCTGAACCTTAGCCTTCGCATCCAGACATGTAGCTATGGCGGCAGCGTTGGCTCCGCAGACGTTTGTGAGCTGATTGCAAAGGGCATTAGTGATAATGTTTGGGTTCAGAGCATCCTGCTGGCCACCGCGAGCGACCGGGTCGGCGATCTGGAATGTGAATTCGGTGGCGGCGCGTCCGTTCTGCCCGGCTTCGAAAATCATGGTTGGTGTGCACTTGCCAAAATCTGCACCGCCTGCTGCTGCTCCACCCGCTGCTGCTCCTGCGCCGTTGTTCGCGGCGCCCAGGTTGGCGTTGCCAGCGTTCTGGTTCTGGTTGGCGTTGCCTGCATTCTGATTCCCGCTCTGTGTGCCGTTATTGGCAATTCCAGAATTACAGGCGGCACCGTTTCCGGCATTGGCATTCTGATTCGCACCCCCAGCTTGCTGATTGTTGGCAGCCTGCTGGTTGTTGCCATTGCCTGCGGCGGCTTGCTGGTTGCCCTTTCCTGCGGCAGCCTGCTGATTTCCATTTCCTGCGGCGGCCTGCTGGTTTCCATTGCCTGCGGCGGCCTGCTGGTTGCCCTTTCCTGCGGCGGCCTGCTGATTTCCATTGCCTGCGGCGGCTTGCTGATTTCCATTTCCTGCAGCCTGCTGGTTGCCCATTCCTGTAGCGGCCTGCTGATTTCCATTTCCTGCGGCGGCTTGCTGGTTGTTGCCTCCAGCATTGTTGGCAGCAGCAGCAGCAGCAGCATTAGCGCCTGCTACCTGGGAGACTACAAGGTCGCCAAATCCAGCCGCTTTGATGAGGTCGAAGACACTCATGCCGGCCGCGTTGAGCGGAGCCTTGGATGAGCTGCTACTAAGCGCTGCAACACCACCGGTGACATCGACAGCAGGGTCGATGAGAGGAGTGATGCCGCGAAGCTCTGCGGTAGCGGGAAGAGTCGGGTCGCCGCAGACATTCTGCGTGTTGTTGTTGGCGAAGGGGTTCGTGTTCTTTTCGGCTGTGACCATGCCAATAGCTGCAGCAATTGCGTCCGCGCCACCACCAAGTTGAGCGACGATCTGGTCGGCGCGCTGGAGCTGTTGCTGTGTCAGTGAACTGTTGTGAAGGATTGCGTAGCAATTGCAGCTGGAGTCAGACCTTTGCGCAAGAGTTGGCTGCGCCGAGAAGATCGCTAATGGCAGCGCCGCCGATAGTTGCGGCAGCTCCAGAAGCACCACCCTTGACAGCAGTAATGGCTGGGATAGGAACCTGCTCTTGTCCGAAGCGAGCCTCGACATAGGCGATGAGGGCCGCGATCAAGACTGCCTTGGAGATCATAATGCCGTACATAATCGTTCGTTGTTGTAGTGAGTGTCTAAGGTATATCGAATAGTACTAATGAATGTGAGACTAGCTCTTGGGTCGTAAAAGGGCCAGCCGGTGGCAGTAGAATAGCAATGAGGTAAAAAGAATGTAAGGGCAAAATTGTAAGACTGTTGACGGTGCTTGCGAGTGGTGCGTGCTGGAGGATCAGTGTGACAGAGCAGTCCTCCGTTCTTATACTCAAGGATTGCCGTAGATCATCTTACCCAGCCGCCAGTACCTGACATGACGACACATTGTGTCTCAAACTTTTGTTCAGTCCGATCAACTCCCTGTCGCAAACAGTAGAGCCTTTCAAATTGTAGAAGGCAGGGTGCTCAGTCAAGCGTTCATGCCGAGCCGTAATGCGTTCTGGAGTGTTGCAGCCGTTTGATTTTCAGGCTGTTACTTCGGTAAGCCTGAGCATGTTACCTATTTGGGAAGTCGAGTGGGGCATCGCAAGGCTGATGTTGGGGCCTCAGTCGGTACGTGTTGCAGTGGAGTTTCATCAGGCAACATGACACCTGCAGCCGCCTCTGCAGCGAAAACCGAGGCAATGCGTTTCGCTCGTCGACGAATACTACATAGACGGTTAAATCGAGTTTTCCTGAAGAAATTGAGGGCGGAGACACGACGCAGAGCTGATACACGTATTCGTGAAGATTGCGTGCTGGTATTGGAGAACGGAAAGGCGGGCACGAAGGCCGCGCGCCAAGAGATCTATGCTTTCTAGCACTAAGAATTGCGCAAGAAAGTGTATGCGGAGAGTAGGAGATTGTTCAAAACGCCGTGGGATCGATCGGGAGAGAGTTCCGGATCCATGCGATAAACTACAACCTATCCAGCTTCCTCCGCAGCAGACGCGTCCTCTTCATGAGCTTCTTGTACTTGTGCTTCTTCATCTTGAGCTTCCTCTGCCTCTTGACACTGATCAAGAGCATGCCGCTTCGCCTGCTCCTTACATGCTCGCGGAAGGTCTTCGAGCGACCGGTGTGGGTAGTGGGGAGAGAGATCTCGCACGTCTCCTCGACGGCGAGATGGTCGAAGGGTACGGGTGCAGGCGGCGGCCTGAAAGCGTAGCTCTCGAGCGATTCTGGCTGTACTTGCGCAAAGCTGTCGAGGTGGTAGATGTCCTCCTCTGCGGCCTCCTCGAAGGCGTCCAGGGCTTCGTACTGATCGGCCGAGGCTTGCACACCTGCGATAAACTCGGCCAAAGTCTTGTGAGTGTGGACGATGATGTCGGGCTCGTTGCGCCTCTGCGGCTGGAAGATAGCCTCGAACTGCTCCATAGACGCCGGGATCGGTACAGTCTGCTCTGCGGCAGGGCTGATCGAGATAGGTCGATGTTGCGAGATGAGCGTTGACCAGACAAGATCTGTGGCTTGTTAGCATACGCCTCGTGTCAACAGCTTCTACCATGACGTACGTTGTTCCATAAGGTGATCGGTTGGCTTCACGTATGGGATGTTGCGCGCTGCTGTTGCCGGCGCAGACGGTCCCGAGGCCTTCAGCTTGCTGCTCCTCCGCGACTTCTTCTCGGACGCCTTGACATCTTCCGTAGCATTCTCGGTGAGCCTCTTCGAGTTGTCCGGGGGTGTGGAGGGCTTCGAAGATGACAGGCGCCGTTGGTGGCTCGGCCTGAAAGGCTGTTGCGCAGTGCTAATCGCAGCGCGACCAACGGAGCTGGTCGGCATAGCAGTAATTGCGCTGGTCGAGCGGAACGCTCTCCCAAGCGCAGGAGAGAACATGGCCAGCAGTGGAGGGGTGCTTGCGGTGGTGTTGGTGGTTGACTGCGGCTCAATCCTGCTGCAAGGCGTCACGCTTGCCGCTAACTAAAAGGCGCTCGGGCCGAGCTTTCCACGAGGCGCGCGACCTTGGTAGAGCTCAACACCACGATGACGCTGCTGGGATACTACATTATGCATACGGTGCAAGACATCATGAGGTGCTCCGGCTACCGAGTTGGTACCTCGAGATGGTCAGAGCAGTCTCTCTAATTCATAGCTTCACGTCCTCGATCACGTTGTCTACCACATCTTGTGGGTTTTTGGCTTTATTACACTGGGCAGCTTTTGTAGATACACTGGGTGGCATAAAATTCGCAGAGGATCCGCCCGCTAATGCCGGATAATTGCAATCGTGGGGCCCAAAATCAACGTGCGCCAAGAGTGGAGAGCACTTCTGTGAGGCCGTAGCTTCTTGTCCATTAGCAGATATATACACCATCGGTGAACTCGAGGTTCTCCTGATCCTATTACTCGGCTCCCACCGCTGTAGCAAGCTGGTGCTAGTGCTGATGCTGTTCCAGCTGTTGCCAGACTGCTCTTACGGCTTTGATGGATGGAATATGTCGTCAAGATCGTCTTAACCAAGAAGAGAATAGATTACGCAGTCGAGATATCGGGGGTATAATGTTGGAAAGAAGCGCTGTAGTCGCCTGGTAGTGCTGGCAGCTGCTAGGGAAGCCAACTGGTCCGGTAGCCGTTTCGCGATGCGTGTGCCGTGAAAGTTGCGGGGACCCTCGGCGGCGTGTGGTATAGGTACGGCTGAAGCTGATTCAACACAGCGGGTCTGTCGATAAGGAAGCCTGTTTCATAACCACCGAATCAGAGTATCAGTGCGTTAAGGTTGCGCTGGACAATCATGTCCTGGACTGACGCCATCGTCTTTTTCAGCAAATCTGTGTCTGTGGCGTTGGTGTAGTGGACGTAGACCTCCTTCTTTGGCTGTCGTACCAGGTTGCGGAACTTGTTGGCGAAGAACTCCTGCCCTGCGTCTATGTCATTTGGTCCTCCGGTGTAATCAGGGAAGACCATGTCGATAGGGCTCATGCCACCAGCGACCTTTTCGCGGAACAGATCGATCTTGTTAAGGAACAGAATAAGGGCCGACTTCTCGAAGTATTTCGAATTCGATATGGATTCGAAGAGCATCAGTGCTTCGTGCATTTGGTTCTGTAGTCGCGTTAAAGAGAGCTTGCTTGTGCTTGGCGTTCAAACTTACGCCATTCCTGTCTTCGACCAGGACATGATCGTAACCACTGATGGCGACCAAGAAGAGCACGACCTGTACGTTGTCGAAGACGTGTATCCACTTCTTTCGCTCTGACCGCTGACCGCCGACATCGACCATCTTGTATGTGAGATTGCCCAGCTCGAAGATCGTCTCGGAGATACCGGTCGTTCGTAGTCGTGTGCGCAGAATGTCTTGGTCTGTGGGCAGGAAGTCCGGCATGAAGAGGCGGTCGATGTCTTGGAAGAAGCTGTCACCGCGTTAGCTGCTGCCAGGATCAGATTGCTTGTTCGCCATACTAGCTCAAGTTGTCGTGCAGCGCATATTGGTTGCCCTTCAGGATCGTCAATTGTACGCCCTTGTCAGCCCACAGGGCGTTGAAGGCGTGCAGAAAGTCCTCAGGCATAGGCTCTTCTGTGCCAATGTCCGGCGCAGAGTTGACCATCTCGGAGAAACGCTGTAGGCGCGGGTCAGCACACCCAAAATTTGCCAAGCGCGTAGAGACGTACAATGCACTCCTCGTCCTCGAAGTCTGTGTCGTCCTCCTGCATCGCAGCGTAGATGGTCTGGAAGGCAGAGACCAGGTTGTTAAAGATGGTCGCACGCCATGTCTGTCGCTCATGCTTTCCAAATCCACCAGCGTTGATGATACGCATCTGCTTCAGCACCGTCGACTTTCCACTTTCACCAGCACCTGTGTAGCGTCTCAGTAACTTCGGTCGCACTCTCGGCTATATTGCATCGTACCAAGCAGCAGGAGCTTCACTTCGCGCTCCGCCCTCTTCCTGTCCAAGCGGAGATTCTTCTCAATGTCCTCATTTTTCCTGGACTTGGGGTCCACGGGTTTCCTTCCAAAACACATTTTGCCGGGGGCCATGTAACGCACGCAAGAGGTCGTCGGAGGGCAACAGCTGGGTGGCCGGAGAGTGTAGCGGTCCACTAAGTATGGGCTGCGCGCGTGCAGTAGTGTTGAAGCTTGCGAGGGCCAGTCTAGACGTGGATCCAGGGTCCAACGCGCAATTGAGCCAGCGGGTGGCGGTACCAGAGGCTGGAGGGTGGAGCGTGACTGCTGGGCTGCACGGGATTGGTGTGGCGGGTGCAGCTCTTGTTGCGGGGATGACTGCAAAGGACAGAGGAAGGCGGACGCACAGCGCAAGATAACGAGCGAGCAAGCGTGCTGCAGGGAGTGGCAGGCGACAATACTAAAAAACCACAAGGGTGGAGAACGCTCCGGGCGGGCCGCCAAAAAGACGGCTGTAACTTGCTGCAAAAGCTGTGGATGCGTCAGGGCGATTTCCGACGATAACTTGGACGGTGGAGGTGCAGCAGACAAGCTGGGAAAGGCCAGCCGCAGAGTAGGAACAGGAAAGTGTGAAAGCACCTCACGGACTAGTGCTGCAATCCTTGCAGGCCGACGGACTTGTGCTCAGGATCTCAGGATGCAACGGCAGATTGCCAAAATGTCTCTTGCGTGCCCACGCAGCGCGCACTGTTCTGGACACGATCTGCAGCTGCCCATGCCCAACGCAGCGCGCAAAACGTGAGGGACACCGTCACAACCACGAGGAGACACGAGATCCCAAAGGGACAATGTGTGTTCGGGAGACGGCAGCAGCTTCCATCGGGCAAAGAGCCCTAGCCTGCGCTGCTGCACTGCTGCTATTCGCTCTGTTTGCAGGTAGTCCCGGGCTACATGCTGCTTCTGCAGAGCGTGCACTGTGCAGGAAACCGGCATTGTGGTCTTGGATTCTCAAAGCTGCCCCTGCCGCTGTCAACCCTGGCATGGTCGTGAGGTTCCACTGGGCGACCGAGTCGTGCAACCTTCCAGCAAAACGGAGATTGCTCGAGTGTCACGTTTAGCATCGCAGCCACGCACAGATTCTCAGATCCACCCTTGTGCCCCCTCCCCACATGCAGTCTGTCGTCGCCGCTCTTCTTCATGATCTGGATGGAGCTCGTGAGCGTACACGGTACAGCAATGCGATTTCGCGATGCATGCCAATTTGTCAAATACAGTTCCTGACCCAGTTTCAGAGGGGACCCACTTCTGTCAGCCACTCGGCTGTTCCCGGGGCCAGTCACACTTCAGCATCAGCTCGCTAACAGCAGCAGAAGATGTCTTCGGTGGCTGCATCTCCTCTCATTATAACATGCACGGCTAATAATGGACACATGCTTCTTCCTTCTCAAGTAAGCACATACCTGCCCCCTCCAGAACGAAGGCTCCGGAGCCGCGCCCGTGTCGACCTGGAATTCTACGTCTCGTCGAATTCAAGTTAAGCGGCGACATCATACCGATGGCACGAACGCAGACGACTGCCGAAACGACGATTAATGTACCAGGCGATCTGGAGCCCCTAGCAGACGGCCCTATTCGGCGAGTGGCCTTCATATTCACCGACGGACGATCCAGCCTGGAGCATCGCACGGAATTCTGCACGAATGATCCGCCGTATGCTGCTCGGCCTCATTATCGAGCTTCGGTCTTAGCCGGTTCGAAAACGTAGATGCTCACGCCAGACCCAACTGCACCTACACACTCCAGCTCGTCTTCCCGCGTTTGACAGTCTGGTGGCGCCTAAGACCCATTTTGCTTTTCTTGTATTCCTTTGGCAACCTAGTCCTGGTGGTGTTTCAATTCGCGGGTGTCTACTGGCAGTCTTCTGTGCGTGCTTTTGCCGCCTCCCGCCACGGTGATTAGGGTCACGGTCCAGCCGGCGGCGATTCGTCATCTGTCGGACGGCGCGCAGTTGCTAAAGAAGATGATGAGCGAGGCAACGGGATAGTTGACCGACTTATCTATGTCAAGGCCCATCTCGAGCGCGAAGGGCCGAAATGTGTAGGGTGCTCTGAATGGTGTGGTCTGGCCCATGCTGTAGTGATTTTGAGCAGCAGTAGGCACTGTGTAGTGCTTTTTGCAGTCCTCAATGGTTCAAGTCGTCTATCATCCTGTAGGTGTCATATATTTCCTCATACTAGTCACTTTGTCTCAGCTCGTTGCTTTGCTCAAGTCCTCTCAATCATCTTACCAAGGTCGGCCTCACTGGAATCAGCGACACCTGCGGTCCCATACCCAATTGCTCATTCCGCTTGGGCTTCTCTCCTGTTTATCTTAAGGGCGGTCAGAACGCCAGTCTCGAGACTCAAGCACGATGACCACCAATGTCACTTCTCTCACATTCGGGAATTCAATCAACGGTTAAAGCCTACATGCTCCAAATTTACAGTTCAGCTTGGGGACGACATGATCGCATCGTTACTTGACACCTTGAGGATATGCACTTGCGTTCTAGGAATCTAGCCAAGGAGGCTCGCTTTACCTTCGTACAGGTACAAGAGCTGTATCGCTTGTGGCAGGCTTATGGGCAGCTCACTTCACTATCACTGCCCTTTGTCCCTGCGAGTGCCTCCAGTATGTTCTTCGCAGGCCCGCGGAGGCTCGTTTTCGTCGTTGTTGCCGCGACTGCCGTTGCAAATGCCAAGAGCTCGCGCCTGCTCTCACCTACGACAACACCAAGCCGAGCAGCTCTTCGCCACATTACTCACTTCGCCTTACCGCACGCAGCTCTTATTGGCTCACGTTCTGTAAACCGTCTCCACCAGACAAATGTCGCAAGTTTCTCTCGTAAGTCTCTCGCTTTCACCAAGTCAGTCACTACAAACCTTGCTGAATCAACATTGGGACCCCATGTATAGAGGCTTTCACAGTGTTATCTCGCCCAAGGTACGGAATATCTGCAGGAACCCCTCGTCACCACTCAGTCGAACGCCACGAACTACCGACTAACACGCAGCCAGCCAGCTTCTGCAGCTATGGCACCCGCCTACGAAGGCCCTAAGGCTTTGGGCTTCTCCAAGTATGCCAGCCCCGCTATTAGGAAAGCTCAGATGACAGTGTCGTCAGCCGTCCCTGTCTCTACTTCTTCTTTCTTGGATACCACCATTGCAACAAAGGAGCAGCTTTCCGTCATGCACCCCGCCTTTGAAGCGACACCGCCAGCTGCGGAGCTTGCCGTAGAGCAGGGCGCTGCTCTGAAGAAGGAGGTCGAGCAACACACTGCTAAGTTCTCTAGAGCAGTGTCAAGCGCTGTTGAAAACACCCACCAGTTGCTCAATCTGCTCCGTGAGGCGACTCCTAGCGCGAAGGAAGTGGACCACCTTTGGCAGGAGCTGGAGCAAATTTTTGAGGCTACAAAAGAGGCTAGGACTGCTCTGCCGGAGTTCATGGAGAAGCAGCGCGACAATATGAGCCTCTACCACTCTTCCATGATGAATGAGACCATCCGCGAGACTCAGCAGGAAGTAAACCTCCAGCACAAGAAGATCAACACGCAGCATAACCTCATCCTCGAGCAGCAGGATGCCTTCCAGAACTACAAGGCGCAGGTCGCCTCCAAGTTTAAGGAGCTTGAGAACCTGCAAGAGCGCGTTTCACGTCTTACGCTCGAGAAGGGTAACTTACGCACCGAGGTATGTGCGATGCCGATGAACTAATCCCTCTAGACTAAGCCACGATAGGTCCATAGGTACAAGGAGCTATTGGAGCAAGAGTATGCCAGGAAGATCGAATATCTAAAGACCACCGGCGCCTTGCAGAAGGAGCTAGAGACGCTCGTGGCTTCGAAGAAGCAGGCGCAAGCAGCGAACGAAATTCTTCGCAACACGACCACCGACATGCTCGAGCAGTTGAAGACTACCGAGCAGCGGGTCACAGATCGCTTCACTAACGAGCTCAAGGCTAAGGCCGAGCAGCTGCAGAAGGAGACCGTCAAGACCAGGTCCCTGGACACCTTGGTCAATACCCTGAAGGACACTGGAGGCACCATCAAGAAGGAGCTCGAGAAGATTAAGAACGAGAACCGTTTGTTGAACGTCAAGTACAGCAATCAGACATCTGAGTATGCGACTGCTTTTACGGTAGGTCTTAGAAGTACCAAGTATTGTATCGTGAGGCTGACTGCGTCCACAGAAAATGAATGAGCAGAACAAGAAGATCGAAGTCCTCGCCACTGACATCGATCGCCTACAGAAGCAGAACGCTGACCTGCAAGCCAAGCTAGAGAAGGCTGCCGAGCTTGGAAATACCAACATAGAGCTCCAGAAGGCTAGCGAGGACTTGGTGAAGCGATTGGACAGCATTGCCGCAGAGCTGAAGAACTCCAAAGATGACGCAAAGGCTGCACAGAATGAAGCACAACTGCTCAAGACTAAGCTCGCTACCGAGGCCGCCATCCCGACCGCCAGCAACGACAAGGCTTCCCAGGAGAAGTATCAGGCGCTCGAGAAGAAGAACCGCAGCACGGAAGCCGCGCTGGCTGAGTGGACCGAGCTGGCGAAGGTATGTATTAGCTCACATGCCTGGCATGCAATCACTAATAACCTCCAGCGTTCGTATAAAGAGTACAAGGACATGCTACCCACGTACAGGGAGGCCGAGAAGTATAAGCAGGATGCACATGACAAGGAGATGCAGATCACCGACCTCAAGCACCAGCTTGCTGCTGCCAACATTTCCCAGTCTAACGGTGTGGGCGCCGCTGGTGGAGACAGTGCATACTGGAAGCAGAAGTACGAGAACCTCTTGACGGGCATCTAGAGGCCTGACGAAGAGAGACTGGGTGATCAGGATGAAAGATGCTCTAGCTTATGAAGAGAGAAAAGCAGGCTCTCAGCTGATAAAAGAAGGCTGGCAGCATGGAAAGCGAGCTTGACACTCAAGTACAGGTGAGGATCACTGTGTGTAAACATGGTTCTTCTACTCTGTGAACGCACTCAAGGATGTTTTCGAGGCCAAATCATACGTTGCATCTCACTAGAGTCATTCCTTCCCCGTTTGTGTCTCATTTGATACTTCTTACCAATTCCCTTAAATCCCCACCCTCAACCCACTTCTCCTCTCCACCACCGCCCACACCCAAGCCCCCTCCCGCTCCTCCGCCTCCAACACCCCAGCCTTCCCCTACTTCGCCAACTATACGTGCAGGCTGCCCACCAACCACAGATCCAGAAGCGATGACCATGTTCGTTGGGACCACCGTATGTGGCAGGATCTTGACATTCTCTTTGATAATGGCGAAGGGTTGGATGGTCACGTTTGCGCCAATGTGAACATGTGATGAGATGGAGATGGCCGATATGGTGCTGTTTGGCCCTTGAAGATGATCAGATCTGGACGCGCACCGTCGGAGAGTAGTAAGACACCTACCCACGAACACGTTATCCCCGATCTTCATGGGATAGTAGTGCACCTGCCCTCTGCTTATCCTCGCCGGCGGCTTGATCACACTGCCTGTCGAGATCACCGTGCATCGCCCGATGTTGATACTGATCGGTGTTGTTTCTTTCCCGGACTGCGAGGGCATGGGTCGCGTGGGCTTCAGGTCGCCGCGCAGTTGCACCTCGGCCATAATTACCGTGCGTCCGCCCAGTGTGATGTTGGCGGTGCCGGTTATGGCCGCGCGCCGAGAGACTTTGTTTCCTGAGTCCTGGTCTGGCGTCAGCAGGGGAAGACTTGTTTTTCGAACTACGTGTTCAAAGGTCCAAGGATTGAGATGATCAGCGAGATCTGAAATAGATCGTGAAATGAAGGAAGGTAGCGAGCGTCGGCGGAGAGGAATCCTTTCGTATAAGAAGATGTGAGAGATGTGAGAAGAGCATAAGGCCATGAGACAGATCGATATGTCTTGACATGTTCAAAATGTAATGGGAACATGCGGCTGTCACTTACCGTCTCGATGTACTCGCCCTTTGGCGCTGCCTTCCTTGCAGACGGTCGCGACATGGTAGCGCTAACATGCGTATATGATGACCTTTCTGCGTCTGTGTTCGACTGATTCTGGTATTTGTGCAATTCGATGTTGTTGAGTGCTGAAGTAACGGTGAACTGAAGGTCAAGGCGCGACCAATGAAACGCGTGAGCACGTGCCGGCCTTCGACAACTTGAATACTGTCGTATGCTCGCAAGGACGGCATTATCGATCCTTTGAATCGCACGCTATTTTGTGTCTGGGGTGTGGTAGAAGACGCACTGAGAAGCCATTGTCGCTATTGTTTTTTGCTAGTCTACAGGCGTTCTCATATTTTGGGGCCCAGACTGTCCGCAACTTGCTCGGATGCCCTGAATCAAATTCATTATAAGTTCAGATACACATGGGCTGTGACGCTTGTAATGCGATAGCAACATGTGCGGTGTGGAAGGTTGCATGATGTTGAGGGGCATCGCGGGGCAGCACCTTCCATCATCGAGCCGTACACAAAAATTCCGGGTAACTAAAACAGGCACGCCAACTCATACCTAAGCTTTCAAACACACATTAATTTACGCCTGAAGATATTCCTTTTGCAGTGTCTTGAACAAGGCAGCGACCTGCGACAACGCTCACAATGACAGAGCCGGCGCCCGTGCCTGCGATCTCTCCACCACCCAACCCGCCTACCGATCGCCCTCTTCACACACTCCCGCCGCCTTTCTCACAAGATGCGCTCACACCAATAACGCAAGGCGCCGAAGCTCTCATCTACAAAACCACGTTCCTCACACCCTCAACGCCCGCTATTGTGAAGTACCGACCGCCCAAGCCGTACAGACACCCTACCCTCGACAAGCGCCTCACGAAGTCGCGTCTGCTCGCTGAAGCTAGAAGCCTGGTGCGCGTGAAGCGTGAGGGCGTGAATGTACCTGGCGTGCTAGGCTGCGACGCGGATGCGGGGTGGCTCGTGCTGGAATACGTCAACGGGCGAACTATACGGCGCGTGCTAGACTCGTGGGCTCAGGAGGTCAAGGCAGAGGAGAATCGAGTCTTCACAGAGGGCGGAGAGACTGGGAAATTGGCGCGCGCGGAATGTAGTGGGAGTGAAGAGATCCTGGACCTCATGAGGCGGGTTGGGCAAGAGGTCGGCAAGCTGCACGAGCTGGGTGTCTGCCATGGAGACCTGACAACGAGCAATCTGATGCTGAGGGAGCCAGATGAGGATAATAGCAAGAAACCGCACCCGGCGGGGAGGACGACAACGAGTGCTATGCGTGAAGCAGCGATGAACGGCGAGGAGCCTCCGCCGCTGGAAGTACCTCAGAAAGAGCCCGCCACTGCTACGCACCAGTCGTTGGCTGGCGAGATCTACCTCATCGATTTTGGCCTGACCTCCTCGACGATCCAGGACGAGGACCGCGCTGTCGATCTATACGTGCTCGAACGCGCCTTCTCGGCCACACATCCTGCGGCCGAGCATCTGTTCCACGAGGTGCTGGAGGCGTATGGGAAGAACTACAAGGGCGCTAAGAGTGTGCTGAAGAGGTTGGAAGGTGTGAGGCTGAGGGGTCGCAAGAGGAGCATGCTGGGCTAGCAAGATTATCGAAGACTCAATACCCACCTACTCATACGACCTGTTACTTGCGAACATCACCAAGTGCTATGGTTGTCAGACAGCATTGCCCGTGAATTGCTGTCTGATCGGCTCGTCTTCACCTCCGTGCGGTCAAGATATTACTCCCTTTGCCGTCGCTTTCACTTAGTTGCCTCAGCTTACCCAAAGAACAATAGTAAGAGCAGCAGAGACAATTGTACCAGATGACAATGGCAAGATGCAACAATATCAAGCAAGGCTGCTGTAGGTATCAAGCTCGATATAAGTTATCGCAATCCGCATTCTAATTCTTCCGTCTCACTACACCTTCTGACTTCCATCCTCAAAACACCGATTCTGACTTTCCAAATTATTCATATACGCCATGGCCGAAGTCTCCGAGCCCATCACCATCCTCGACGCTGTGTCGTCCCTGGGAACATATCCGATAGCGTCCACATCAGCTACAAAGTCCTTGGAACCACCATCACTTCCTATAACGAGCCTCGATAACGTCCGCGATGGCATCGACGATCATCACCCTCTAAAAATATCGGCACCGACAACGACATTTTCAATGACCATGGAGCCAATCGCCATCACGCAAACACAAGACGTGCACAGCACCCGCGCAAGGGCTGTGTACAGGCTCAAGTCTTCATCAGTTGGGTTATCGGTGCAAGCGCCTGCGATGGCAATAATCGGCGGGACGAAGGGCAGCATTCGTGGACCGCAGTGTACTGTCATGTGAGGTGGAGGCAGAAGAGCGCTGGTCGCTCAGACAGGACCACTCCGAAAGGCGGGCTTTGTGGTAAGCCATTTTTTCCAGACCGAGAGATGGATGAGTGATGTGCACCAGATCATTGAAGACCGTGGGAAATATGTATCTTGAAGAACTGTCATACCCCAGAGCTTATTGTCCTGCACTGCAAAAAGCCATTCACTGTTCACTCCGCCCTGTCACTCATAAGCTTCTCAAGTCTGTTCAGTCACAACGCCGTACCCTTCACCACTCAGCCTCTCTAATACCCTGCAATGATAATCTACTCGTCCTCAATTCACCCATCCACCTGCAACGACCATAGTACATATGTCTAACACAACAAAGCGAACGAACGAACGACTCTCGCGTCTCCTGTCCGTGACCGGAATCGGTAAAGGTTCGGCATGGGCCGCCCCAGCGTCTGCTTTGAGGACAGCAAAGCTGTTGTCACGTGAATCGGCACGTGGTGCGCAGAATGTCGAGAAGATGGATCCTGGGGCGCGGAGCTTTGTGCCTGGTTGGGGTACTTACGGGCCATGATTTTGGTATGGATTGGCGTTGAATTACCAAGATGTCTTGACCAGGGCGGTGTCAAGTAGAACAGCCTTAGATTTCCTGGAAATGTGTGAAAGATTCGATATTTGTTCGACTCAGTAAAGCACGTGAATAATTCGTAAGGAGACGGTTCGTCGAAATCGAAAATTTGTGGCCGCACAAATGTTTCCTCCTGCACAGCAAACGCTAGGGCATGCGAAAGAAGCCCAGGAGTATAGAGCGTGCACACATGTGCTATGCGCTAATGGACCCTTTCACAGTGAAAGATGGCCCCTGCGCTGACCATGCCAATGAAGAGACTCTTTACTAATCGAACCAGATTTAGTTCTTCTCACCCACCCAGCCCACTACCACTGACAATCTCACACCACGATTTCAACGAAACTATCCACGCACTCTCCACGCGCTCAAGATGGCTGATCTTACTGGACCTCGACCTGCGTATGCACTCCAGGATCCCAAGAAGCTTGCAAACGTCGAGAAGGTCAAAGCGGATCTTCAACAAGCTCTGAGTAAGGTAGTTCCCGCTCCTCCAGCCAAGTACAAGGAGGCCACAGTTCTGATGCTTCACTTCACCAAGGACGATTTGGGCGTCATCTCGCTCGAGAACGACCTGGCACGAGTCTTCCAGGATTAATTCGGTTTCACATTCAGAAAAAGATTCCTGCAGGCGACTGCAGGTCCTAGCCCTGCCCATTTTCTCACCAAGGAATTGCAAGCGATACAGGCGAACGGTTGGCTTGAGAAGGTCTGTCTCTTTATAGTCGTGTTGTCCGGTCAGGGAAAACTGGTCTGTGAGGGGAGAGGAAGCCGCAAGCACGATGTCCTTTACTTTGGGTAAAGGAAAGCTGACAATAAATGTTGAACTCAATTATTTGACTTGACCAGTGGTGCAGCGGATTCAAATGGTCGCCTTTCTTCAAGACGTCGAAGCAGACCTTTTACAGATTGTGGATTGCTGCTATGCAGCCGAGACTGCTCTACCTTGGATGGAGATGTTGTGCGAAACCTCTGGCACCGATCTTGCGACGGGCGACGTGAAGACATGCTTCACAAAAGCACTCACAGATTCACTCATCAAGTTCGATTCGATGTACCAAAAGACCCTTACCATCTCACAACTTTAGAAGTTCATAATGGATAGACGTAAGGACCCTAAGCTGAAATACACGCCGTTCTACGACCCCTGCCCTGGCAACAAGCCTTCTATAACGCTCACTCCAAAGAAGGCAAACCAGACGGATCTTCAGAGCACCATCGTTATCAAACCACCCACCTCCTCTCCTCGAGTCGTCCTGACGGTTCACACCGACTCCACTCTTACGGCGGCGGATACTAAGGAGTTCAAGACATGGCTCACGACACAAGTTCCAAAGTCTGTGACAAAGCTGGAAATTGGGCTTGATGCTTGGTACAATGCAGAATCAACCATTCTAGATATCAATTTGCTATTCGAAGTGTGGCAACAGATTTCGGACGAAGCATGGCAATTCTCCAAGTTCGTCCACTCAAGGAATCTGCTGATGCACCTCAATCTAGCGGTGTCCTGGCATTGTGCCCTGCCCTTAGCGAAAACATTCAGCCAAGCTCTTCCTGGAAGCATGACTGAATGGGTTGTAGTTAGATAGCATGATGAAATAAGAGCTAGAATCAGACGTCAGATAGTCTTATGATCCTAAACTTTAATTTGCACAGACACGTATGTCTAGTAGACTGCAGACCATTACAAGATACTAGCGCGCATAGGGAATCAATACCAAGACCCAGCTTTTAACATGTTCAACCTTAATCCTCTAAGCCGAAGGGGCAGCCATAGCCATCACTTCCACAATACGTTGATCAAGAACAGGCATGTTATCAGTGACGGAAGTGCATGGTACTTCACCATCACTTATTACTTTTACCAACACGAGGAGATATTAGGCCCGGGTATATCAGTGTCAAGACGGCTAAGGTTGAAAACTTCAGCGTCAACTGTCTGCGCGGGCAAACCTGATCTGTCTTCAAGGAGGTTCAAATCTCGAGCACATCTACACTGTACAGTCTCCCGGAAGACCTCTCCTTGCCCCGTGCGTGGGTTCATGATAAATACTTAACAGATATGTCAGCGCTATTGGATTTCGGGTTCGTCAGGAATTTTGCTGTTGTTTCAATATAAAACGGCCGAACAATGCAATTTACTCGCGATGTTGAGGATGAGTTGCGTCTTTCCAACATGACAGCATGTCTTGCTCGATGCTGATCAAAGCCTTTCGTAATACACAGATCTGGCTGGACAAGTGACAGAACACTTCTGTCAACGGTGCCTTGTCACCTGTTTGTGCATCGACTCGGAGTCACCATCTCGCTCAACTGCCTTGATTGATACTACACGCTATATCTCGACTTCACAAGCCTACCATCGTCTCACCTTCCCATCGCTGACCACTACACGGACACTCCGTCCTGTCTGCCTCGCGCGGCGGCGCCGTCCGCGGCACCGTCCGCAAAGTCACGTCACCCTTGACCCCAGGCCTTATAACCGGCGCTATATTTCCTAAGATCGGGATGTGCCGGCGTCACCGCTGGACCATCATTTCCGTTCCCTGAACATGTTCCACATGCACGCAGTTCCAGTACCTAACCCAACATATGCGCGACATCTGCGCAACAGCCCATAGCAATATACAGCACCTTCTCGGCTCGGGTATACTTGCCACATAGAGTCGGGTCGCGGGAGCACCCCCGGGGCGGTGATGTTCCTGGAAAGTCGAGGCTGGACTGCCAGATTTCCCGGATGGCGATGTTGCGTCACAATCACCTTTTATCCAGCCGATGCTGATGTTCAGTCCTGCTTGTGCTGGTGCGTGACGCGGGAGGCGAAGTACAAATGCACATGGGCGTTGATGCTTCTGCACAACAGCGCACGCACTTGGCTCTTGTCTGATAGGTGAAGTGGATCTCGCTTCCTCTTCGGACCGTTTTCCAGCCCAACACCAGTGCTCGCAGCCTTGCGAACGCGCGCAAGATTTTCTCACGAAATTACCATTTCCGGACACGAGTTTGGCGAGCGTGGCTGGCAGAGACGCGAAGCCAGCACAAGCCGGCCCAAGCATTGACGGCGGATGTGTCCAAGAAGAAGCCAAGTAGCGACGAGTGAACTTCGCGTTTCGCAAGCCCCGATGCATTCTGCTCTAGGCTACACGAAAACTACTCTTGAGACCTGCTCTCAGCGAAGACATTGTAAAAATGTGGATTTCATTGCGGAACATACGCGTAACGCTGATTTCTCTCTCGTACACTCCCGTTCCACCTGCCTCAAGACCCCCCCCCCCCCCCCCCCCCCCCCCCCCCCCCCCCCTGTCGCCCTCCCTTGGCCCGCTACTCCCCTGTCCCGGCTCCGCGCCTGCAGCATGGCGCGGCGCGAACATGGGCACGACCCACACGTCTGCAGCGTAGCCATGTTCAGGGCCACCTCCCCTTTCCGAGGCGAATGCGCAGCCGTCACGGACCGCTTGTAGTGCGTCTCCCGAAAACCCTGAAACCTGGTTGAGTTGCACAGCATCGGCACGAGGCGTGAGTGCGTCATTGGAATCGCAGTGTCGGCGTGGTGGCTGGCTGTATGTCACTCGGAGGATTGGTGGTGTGGGATGTCGTGGGTGCTGAGGTTTCAGGACATGCTGTACTCTGCGTGATATCTCTGACTAGCGGGTGGTCGCTGCGCATGTTAAATGGCGCTTGCTGTTGATGGAGGATGGACTTGGCTGCGCTATACGCGCAATCGCAGGCCAAATTGGAAGAAACGAATGTATAGAATCGAGTAGCTAAACCATCGACTGTGGACTGCGTCTGGCTTCGACAAGCGTCAGCTCAAAGTCTTTTTTCGTGTATATGCCCTGGTTATCCCACGAGTCCGTCATCGAGTCGTCATTGTTTGTGCCGTTCGCATCGGAGAACGCTCTGGCGGTGTGGCCGTTATTGTTCATGTAGGCCGGGGGCATCTTGCTGCGGCGCTCCGTGCCGAGGGTCTGGGAAGGGAGTTTTTTAGAGGTCAGCGACGTGTGAATGTCGCGGAGGAGTGGACGCAGGACGGGGATGCATTGGACAATGATGGTGCCGACGATCTCGGACGAGTACCAGATGTTCGAGTGAGCGTTGCGCCAGAAGTACCATTCGTCCTTGGGGTTGCCGCCTTGTTTCCAGCCGGTGCGGATGGCGGCGATAATGGCGACGATCATTCCCAGACTCATGGTAAGGCAGAGACCGACCTTTTCGACTTTACGCATATCCAGCTTCCAGGTGATGAGCCAGGGGAAAGTGGCCATAACAAAGTCCATGATGATGTTGTACACTGGCAATGTTAGTCATGATCATATTTGACGGCTGAGTCTTCATACCATTCCCGCCCTCCTTGAACCTCTCGCGAAAGGTCCAGTCCAGATGGAAGTTGAGTCGGTACCAAACGTCGTAGCTCGGCTTGTCGATGATTCTCGCCCACTGGAAGAAGACCTTCGTGATCATGTAGGCGTTCATAGTAACGATACAGAACCAGAGAATCCATTGGGGCCAGCCTTTGGTGAGTTTCAACAGCGTGACAGCAAACGCTGTTTTGCTTAGGGCCTGCCCCATGAGGGTTCCGCAAGACGTGATGTTGATGAGGATTTGCATCCGGTCATCCCACTTGTCAACGACGTAGCCTGTCGCATATTCGATTGTAATCAGACTGTTGTTGATGGAGAGGATGATCTTGGGCAGTGTTAGTCGTCACTGTACAGCTCGGTGCCGGCGACACATACCCAGGTTACTAGCAATATCCAGTCATCCCACCACAGACCGTGTCGCCTCGTGACCTTGATCCATACGCGCAGCGCAAGAAAAAATGTAGCACCAGCATATAGAGACCACAGGCCAATATTCAGAGGTACCTCGGGGTTCACGTAGCCATGTGTGTTTTCCTCGTCGTGATTCCGTGGTGAGAGCATGTTTACATGTTGGTCCAGGGCGCCGAACATTCGAAACAAAAAAGCCGACAGTAATAGAATGAAAGGTTAAGAACGAGAGGCGGTAGTCGGCAGCACAAGCGATAATATCAAAAAGACACAAAAGAGGGGAAGGGAAGGAATTCTCCCACGTACATGGCCATCCGAGGATCAGTGGCTTTTCAGATTCGAGGCATTGCCATCAATCAGCGGAGATGGTGGCTTCTAGACCAGGATGTCGAAATTAGGACCGCTGAAAAGGAATTGGTGGAACAACCGTTCCTTGCCTGTCGGGCCTTGTCACCAAATTGTCGTCAGCGGCCAAGATCCTGGGGAAATTCATGGCGTGCTAACCAGATGGAGGCCCGGTTTGTGGAACGCTCAGGGAATACGCCGGCGCGGGATGGGACTGCTAATTTATCGCAGCAGCGTTAGGCCTAGAGCGGGCTTGTCCGTAGTGGTGAATCGCCAACACCGCCATCAGCTGCGCTACAGCTTGCTACAGCTGTCAAATGGTCATGCATCCTCCGTCGGAGGAACGTTTAAAGTTCCATGATCTGCGCGGTTCAGCCAGCCCTAAGACACGTGCGTCGCGGTCACAAGAGCCTTGCGTCAATATAGGCCCATACAGTGCGTTCCAAACATTGGCGGAAAGAGTCTGGTAGATGAATTGAGGCGTTGTCCTGCACATCGAGCGCCGCAAGGTGAGGCCGAGCCGCTCGTTCCCATCTATCGAGACATGTCCCGCATGATGCCGAGTCTAGTAGCGCGGGTGCCGAACAAGCACGACCGCTGCACACACCTCGATCGCTGCCTCATACAATGCCTCATTTTCAGGCTGCGTAAGTGATTGGGTGGGGGCGTTATGGATAGTGTTGAGCAGCGAAAGGCACGCTCATCGCTAGGGGTTTCAAGTCCAGGTAGCCGCGCCCGCCGGGGCCCACCGACACGACACTCAAAGTCGGGACCGTCGCCTATCCCAGAACAAGGCAAGCGCACGCGGAGCCCATCATGAGTCCCAGCTTTCACTTGCGCCACGTCCAAAACCACGCTATTTCGTGCCTGTCAAATTCATGCCTCCATCCCAGCATTTGACATCATTCATGCCGCGCTGGTGGAAATTGTGTTTATTCTAGAACACACGTTCCACGGTTTGTTTGGGAGATACCGACGCTGGTTCCCCTTAAAGGCCCGCGACACGTCCGTGACAAGGAGCGAAACCGCACTGCCCGTGGCCCGAGGCGGGATCCTCAGAGTTGCTGGATAGGGCTCACTGAACGAGGCGGAGCATCAGCTCTTTGGGAATTCGCAATCCGTCGTGATTTTCTTCTTGATCGGTTCGGGGCTTTTTCCGTCTTGTAATGCCCAGCGCCTTGGAACAGATCTTCGCGGAGTAACTTGAGACGAACGTAAGGTTGTAAACACGACGTGAAACTAGAGAAGGTTTTGGAGGTGTTGATCGCCATCTGCGCCCAAGACATTGAAAGTGGTTGACACCAAGCATGGCACTGATTGTGAGGGTAGTAGATGATGATGTCTTCATTTATTGGTGTGGTCTTCGTGAGAGCCATGTCAATGCTACAGTGTCTATCTAATCAACTGCATGTCGCTGGTGTATCTTCAAATCGTACCTCATTGTTCCATGTCCGCAGATTGCGCCGTGGTATGCAAATGCAGATCGCTTTGTAACGCCTTCCCAAAATCCAATAGCGCAAATCGGCAAGCTGCCGTCAAGTCATTTCTTCATACCTCAGGAGCCTCAGGTGTCTGCACGAGACTCTGACTCGTCGCATCAGGGCTTGTGACCTCTAAGCTCGTTTGTGTGGTGTTCGACTGAGACTTCGTCGTCTCAGGAGAGAGCTGTGTCTCAGCCTCGTTTGGAAAAGACTCGAAAACGTTGGTGTTCTCGTCGTTGTTGACGACCTCCTCAATCATCGAGGCAAAGTCCACAGTGATACCGCCAACAGTCATCTTGAGCATGGCGGGGGTCTTCGTGCCGTCCGTCGAGTCTGAGTCACCCATTGCGTCATTGTCAACGTCGAGCATGATAGTGTCACTGCTGAACATATTCGGGTCGTTCCACATTCCAACGGACGATGTGTTGGGATCCTCGTACAGGTCGAAACCAAGTCCGAACATGCCACCCCTGGCAGGCGAACTTGATGCAGGCATGTCACTAGACAAGAAGTCGTCGTTGAAGAGGTCTGAGAACTGCGCGCCTCCAGGGCGACCGGGAGTGTCGAAAACAGGGAAAGCAGAGAGGTCGATGCCTTGAGAAGGGGAAGAGTTTGCGGCATCGGACAGCATCTGGTTGAGCTGCCTGGTGAATGGGGTCTCCGGAGCAGCTGTTGCCGGACGCATAGTCCGGGGTGTGAAGATGCATCGGGAAGGTGTCAATAGCTCATTACCACCATCAGCTCTCCGTCTTGGTGTCAATAGCAGACGACGACGGGAGCCTGGCGTAGGTGTTTTAAGGAGGTCTTGGAAGAGATCGTCTCTCTTGGGTGTAGATTTTTTCGGAGTGGTTTTTGCAGGTCCCGTGGTCTCGAACAGATATGCTATATCATCGAGTACGTCATCCTGCGCAGGTGGTGGGCAGTTTTCTTTGTCGATGTCTCCATCATCTATACTCATTGGCGCCGTCTGGTCACCCTGGGCAGATGTGGCCTGCAAAGGAGCCGGAGCGGCCTCCTCCTGCGCAAGTATGGCAGGGTCGATAGGCACAGTAGGAGCCCTATTGTAGACCGGCGCATCCATCGTGGCGGGAATGCAGTCGTCTATGTCGAGACCGCTGGACACACATCGTCTGCATGGTCGCTGACGATCGCACGACTTTTTGAGCTTCTTGCACCGCTCACATCGGGCGCCTTCGGGTCCTCTCTCTTTCTCGTTGACTGCTTCATTGGTCGGTGAGTTCGCTTCGCTCAACTCAAGTGACTTGGCTGCACCGTTCTTACGTGGAGACGGAAAGAGAAGTCGACGAGTAGGTCTAGGAGTCAGGTCATGGTCGACGTCCACAGACGAATCCTTAGTCCTTCGGAAGCCCGCTGGACTGGACTGAATAGCCCGCTGCAGCGCGGCTTCCGCCTCGACATTGGTATGCACCTCATCCCGGTTCTGAATGTGGTCGTTCGCGGCAATGCTTGAGGCGCGTGGCGCAGTCGATGGCGGCGGCATGTCTTTCTCAACTTGACTCTCTGGGCCCACAGCATCGGAAGGTGGCACAACGGCATCTGATGCAATGTCCCCACCCTGACACATCGACTTGCTGCGCGTGCTGGGCTGACGCTTCCGGTTCTTGGCAGCCTTCGCGCCCTTCGACGATTTGTCCCACATGTGTTGCGGACGCGATTTGGCGTTCTTGACCAACCATAGGCCGCATGGATTGCACAGGTTCATTGGCTCATAAAATTTGGCTGCCTTCTCTTCGGGCGTGATCTTGTTCCTGTAGATGCGGTACATTGGCTTGCCACCATGTTCCGGATCAGTCTCAATGACCTCGTAAGCCACGATGCCGGTAGGGGAGATCACGATCCCCTCCGGTGTACCATATTCAATCCGGGTGTATGGCCGTCTCCAAGTCGGGGTCTCGATCTCTCCGCAATTGTGGCAGTGATCGGGCATATCGCCAGTCGCAACCGCTTTCTCGAGCTTGTCCTTGATGTACTTCTTCCGCTTCGCATGTGATCCGCTTCGCGGCGCCTCCAATTCACCGCCTTCAGATGGTGTAGGAGCGTCTGACATTGGCTCTCCAGCGCCAGACCAGGTTTGAGATCTGGGCATGCCCCTCGGCTTCGATGCCTTTGAACGCTTTGCTGGGGCGTTCGGTGTAGCTTCGCGACTGTAGACCTGCACTCCGGCATCGCTCTCGGGAGAGCCCTGAGACATGATGGAATCGGGCGAGCCAGGCTTCGCAGGCGCTTGTGCTTGCTCGACGGGAGGGAATGGGAAAGAATCTGTGAAAGGCTGACGCGCGCGTTCTTGCAGCGTCTGCGAACGTGGCAGACCCGGTGCATATGCTTTTGAAGCAACTGATCGGGCAGGGTTCGTTTGGGCGGTCTCGGACTCAATGCTCTGGGCAACCTTCTTGTAGGGCTCCCGTGTAAAACTCCTAGAAGGCGGGACGTAGCTTTGAGGCAAAAGATCAGAGGGTCCCGGAGTTACCTCTTGCCAAGGCTTGTGCGAATTGTCATAAGGAGTGATCTCCATCCTAGCAAGCTGGTTGCGGCGCTTCGTCGTACCATTCGGTTTTGCCCCCGACGTGCTCCTCGTTGGTGGATCGCTTCCATCTGGTACTGTACTGCCTTGTTCAACGTTATCATCTTCCCTGGTCATGGGCACATCACTGACAAAGCCCGAGTCCGTCAATTGTGGGAATGTTGGCAGCGGCGGACTCGAGGGCGTCGGCGAGTTGTGTCGAGATAATATGGGTGGCGAGGACGGTATGTCTCTGGGCGTGCCATCAGGGCTTCCGTCCCTCTCATCATCGCATGAATCCGCAGCGGCAGTCGAGAATGCGCCTGTGTCGTAGGGTGATATGTATGGACGTCCTGCATCCATAGAGCTATGACGCAAGACACTTGGTGCTGGTAGCCGTCGTGGCTCTCTGGTGCCGAAGGCTCGGTTGCCTGGCCGTGGCGTTGGCGCGCGAGGGTGCATCTCGGCGTCAGCAAGGTTCGAAGCTGCACTGGCCGCAATCGGTCGGTGAAGCCAGACGGATGACGCAGTGGCGGCAGTCTTGTGAAGAGAGTCATTGCGAGCTGTCAAAGGTGTGTTGCGTGGCCTTGTTGCCTGGGTAATGCGCGCGCGCTTTCTGGGTGGCCCATCATCTTGGATCTCGATGATGTATTGTGGGTCAGGCTGGCACTGCCGCGTGTGTGTCGACGCGTCGCTTCGAACAGATGCTCGCGATGAGGGACGGGGCTCTGGGTTGTACGGTATATGGCGGAAGGAGGCAATGCTGTTTGCAGGACTGGAGGCTCGAGAGTGCTGAGACATGAACGAGTTGGTCGACTGCTTGTAGAACGAGTCGTTCTGGAGGGGCTCCTGCGATGGGCTGTGGCGCGTGAGCATCTGGTGGAATGGCTCGTAGCCACCAGTCGACAATCGGTGTGAGTCATTTGCGGGGTTGTTCGGCCTCGGTTGGGCCAGCTGACCGAGGGTGGGATTCTCCTTCAGGAAGTCTGACCATGCATTGTAGTCGAAGCCTTCAGGCATGATCTGACTTAGGCTGTGATAGCGCTCCATGTTCTCCACATACTCCTTCTGCAAGTATCTGGGCACGGGCACAAGCTTGAGCTTCACCTCCAGTGTTTCCTTGATACCATTCGAGAAGAGACCGAGGATGTTCTTGCACACGCGACCAGTGACCATCGACTGCGAGTCTTCAGCAGGGGCGTTGGGAGTAGGCGAGGCCGAGGCGAGGATCCATGACAGCATGCCTTGGCCGACCAGAGGCGTTTCGTATTCGGAAAAGTCGTAGGCGTATACGGTGTAGTCGTGGCCGAGCTTGGCGGTAAGTTCGGGGCTGCAGCAGTGAGTACGGCTCCATGCAGGTCCAGCACCTTGTCTAGGGAGCATACCTAGCAGCGGCAATGGCTTGGATGCATGTCTTGAGCTCAATGACGCCGATCTGGGTGTCTTCGTCAAGGGACACCACAGGAATGCTGAGGGCGTTGGGCAGACGAGCCAGGCAGTTGGACTTGTTCTGGTCGTCGAAGGTGTAGAGGACCTTGACTGTGGGTTTGCTTTGATTAGACTGGCGCAACTAGCGGAGCTGGACATGCTTGCCTCGCATCGGACGACGCGGTATGTCGCCCGTGCTGTCGTCGTCGTTGGCAGACGGCGATGCCGACGTCTGCTGCATGGCACCATTCACCACGGCCATGGTGGATGGAGTCGACATGGCTGCCTGCGAGTTGGCCGGGTGCAGGCTGGCCGGGTTGTGGAGCAGACAGAGGGCCGCGGACGCGTTATGAAGGGGTCGAGTAGAAATCGAGATCGCGGGATCCGCACTAGCTTTAGAGAACGCGAGGTTGGGTGGACATTGCTCGAGCACGCGACGTGAACCGCGCAGCGCGAGGAAAGCTCCAAAAGATCAGATGAAAATATCAAAGAAAGCTCCGGGCAGGTGCTCATATACACTTTGGAGGCAGGTCGAAGCTCCAGCAGGCAGCGCTGTGCGTGGAAACAGAGATTGAGGGCGTGAGCGTGTCGCGATGACGCTGTGGTGGTCTCTCAAAGCGAAGAAGCCCAGGCGCGCTTCCGCCCCACGCGTTGATTGGTTCGCGTGGCTGATCTGAGCCCCATTTTTATCTTGGCATCCGAGCGAGCGGACTTCAACTTCTTGCCGGACGCCTACAATCGCCGAAACGACTCCATCCAAGCGTGTTGCCGTGACATTCGCCCCTTCTACAGCTGGTCAGTCCCTCTTGTTCCGTCTGCGCGTCACGTGTGCTCAGCTCCAGGTCTGCGCGACACCTCTGCGACCGGCCACTGCTGTTCTCCACCAGCAGAAGCTGCTCACAGCATCAGCTGCTCACAGCACCAGCTAACACACCACAAGACTCGGTCGTCGCACACACATCACCACCCCCCGTCAGACCTCGCACATTGCCAATATGGTTGACGCAAAGGTTCAGTGCGTCAGCGCTCCCTACACCCCATCTGCACGCGCTGACAAATCCCAGGGAGCTTCTCGCGAAGCCGCGCTCAGAGTTGACGTACGTCTCGAACACGCTCCCGACATGTCGCAGACACTGACAAGTCTGCAGCGAGTATGAAGTCGCCCAGGTCGAGGAGCACGAGCTCACCACCGGACCCCTCTCCATCTTGCAGACCGCCGTCCGGTCGCGCACACAAGTCCTGATCTCCTGCCGAAACAATCGCAAGATCCTCGCCCGCGTCAAGGCCTTTGACCGTCACTGCAACATGGTTCTCGAGAACGCCAAGGAAATGTGGACAGAGACCCCGCGGTTAGCGAACGGCGCTCCGGGCAGGAAGGTCAACAAGGACCGCTTTATTTCGAAGCTGTACGTCACAGTGCCAACATCCATCTACTGACTGCTGACGTTTGCAGCTTCCTCCGTGGCGATTCAGTCATTCTTGTTCTGTTGTCTTAAGCGCGCTGGGAGCATGGCGGTGGCAGGTCTAGGCACGACATGCATCACCATCTTGGAGTTTGGGATGAATTAAAAGTTACATATCCATCGCACCGCCTGCGAGCACCACCGAACGAATCAATCAAGCGATACCCTCCAACTTCACTTCTTCAAACCCTCACTCAGGCCCAGCAGTAGTTCAGCAAGACCATGGGCACCGGGATCTGGAACCTCCTGGAATCCTTGACCTCCGACGTACACGGTTCTGCCTAAGCTCGCCTTCATACCCTTTGTCCCTTGTGCTCCCTTCTGTGCGGCTGCGGCCGCCTCGTCGATACTACCCGTCTTCGACAATGTCTGGACGAAGGGGTCCAAGGCATCAATCAAGGTCCGATCGCCGGGCTGAGCTGGCGTGTACTTGCCGAGCGCCTTGAGCGATGAGTCAAGGGCCTTGGCCCAGATCTCAGGCGTAACTGGTCCTGGAGAGGAAGGTGCATTTTGACGCAGTCCGTGGGCAAGCGCGTTCAGGAAGATGGCGTAGATGGCCCCACTTGTTCCGTCCATTGAGACCTCGACAACCTGGATGATATTGTTGAGGAGAATTAAGACGTCGTCTGTGCTCTTCGACGTTTCCAGCATCTTGAGAATTGCTGCACATGTCAGTCTAGGCAACAAAACACGTGATGGCTGGTAACCTACACTCTGCGCCACGCTTCAGGCCAATGCCGCAATCCCCGTCGCCGACTATTGTGTCATACTTCGTGACGTCTGGCTCGACTGAGATGATTCGCTCTAACGCCGTCTTCAGTGCTGATTTAGCTTGTGTTGGGTCAGCTGACCACTGATTAGCATCACGCCCATCGACCGATTTACCCGCAACATACCTCTGAGAGTGCTGGGCTGGATGTCCTCAGCATCTGTCTGCTTCTCCTCTTGCGCCGCCTGCCCTCGCATCTGCCAGGTGCCGCTGCTGATGGCTGCCGACCAGCCACTTGCCTCGGCCGGGGCGTCCAGCAGCTCCAACAGGGAGGGACCGCCGCTGAGCTGCAGGCCTGCCACCTTCAACAGACTGATGCTGAAGCCGAGGCCGTTCAGACTCGTCATGAATGTCCCTGACAATATCCGGACAGGTTTGATCTTGTAGCTACCCTCCAGCTGCTCGACAACCTCGTTCGTAATGCCTGCTAATTCCAGCGGGCTGACACCGCCGAGGTTGTTGACCAGAAGTACTACCTCGTCCTTTTCGCTGATGCTCGAGAAGCTGCGATCCTGGTCTACGGTATTCAGGCAGTGCTCCAACATCGTCTTCACCAAGCCAGGCAGGTCAGTCAACTTGCGCTCAGACCCAGGCTCGTTGTGAATACCCATTCCAATCTCGACCTCGCCCTCCTTCAACTCATCGTCCTCCGGCTCTCTGCGTCCAGGGACATGCACGTGGCTCAACGAGCTGCCAATCGAGACAGTGTTGTCAGCAACAATCTGCGCAACTCTCGTGACATCCTCAAGGCTCGCCCTGCACAGTATTAGCACCCCTCCCTCCCGCCAGAAAAGCAACACTCACCCACGCGCCGCCAGAGCACCAGCAACTTTCTGCACAAGCACCGTCCCCGCAATCCCTCTTCTTCCCACCTTGCCGCCCCTTTCCCGCCCAACCCCCGCATCGTCCCCCACAACTACCATATCAACCTCGATCCCCGCCGCGCGCGCTTTCTCAACCGCCATGCCAAAGTTCAACACATCGCCCGTGTAGTTCATCACCACGACCAACACACCCTTCTCTTTGCTGACCCGGTGCAGAATGCACCGACGCACCTGCTCGGCGCTGGGCGAGGCGAAGATGGTGCCTGCCACGGCGCCGCTGAGAAGCCCGGGCCCCACGAAGGAGGAGAAGGAGGGTTCGTGGCCGGAGCCGCCGCCGGAGACGATGCTGACCTGCGCCTTGGCATTTGCGGTGTAGATGATCTTGTTTTCGATGTCGCAGCGGACGGCGGGGTTGGTGCGGGGAATGGAGAGCAGCGCGGTGCGGACGAGGTGCGTGGGGTCATGGATGAAGTGTTTTGCTGGTGGTGTCAGCTGTGGGTCGTTCTTCGGTGCGTGGGGAGCTTGTGCCGCGTACACGACATGTCGTTGCTGATGGCTGTTGTTGTCCCTGAGTCTGTGGGTCGTGGTCTGGGCGTGTTCACGATGCTGTCGATTGCATACAGTCGAGCTGGATTGTGAGGTTAGGAATCACACGTCTTTCAATTGATCTACATACATCATCGGCCCCTCCATCGCATGACCTAGACTCCTCCCGCGCTGTCGTGCGCACATGCGGAGTAAGTCCGGTTGTGCCTGAGCCGTCAGGAGCTGGGGTGGGGTTGTGTTGAGGGGTAGCTTGGAGCTCTCCCCGCGTCACCGGAATGCCCGAATGGGGAAGTGGTATGGCAGCCCCTTTGGGTAAGAATGTTCAGGCTCGGTGTCTTTAAAATGCCGTGTATTCATGTTTTTCTCCCAAGCGCGCTGGTGTTGAGTGATTCTCCACCGTGACTTTTGTGTGTGGGGGAAAATGAAGTTTTAGGTCGCTTCTGCCATATTCATGGAGGCTACGGCTGCCTTTCGCGGACGGTTTCGGTACATCAAGATGCTGCCGTGTATTGCTATCGGCAGGTAGTAAGCAGATTTGAGGCAGCCAGAGCTGCGTGGATGCAGAATGCGATTAGGAAACAAAAATAATGCACAAGGGGCGCTGTAGATATACTAACGCGGGCACAACCTAAGCTAGGGAACACCGCGGGTTTGATCCAAGGCCTAGTGTTGAGTGAGGTGAATCCGAGGACTTTCACGAGCGTACCGCGGACGGCACCACTCTACGAGGAAGAAGATGGATGCTCGGTGTCATGCTCAGCGATGGATTTGAGGTGGTAGTGTGCTCGCGATGTCGAGCTATCACTCGAGGCTTTCGAGTAGGGTAGTGACATTGAAATTAACAGTGACAGACTATCGAAGAACAAAGCCGGAAGACGTATCTCTTTCCGCAACCAGTAGAAGGGGTCGGCTGTATGCCACAAATTCTTTAACATCTGCGAAGCATACATTGAACGTCTGTAAATTTCTCACAATCTGATGCTTTTCGGCGGCCACCCTGACTCGAGAATTGAAATGATCGGTCTGCTACTTGGGAGCCTTGATGTTCTTGGTTCTTTCGTCTCTTCTTCATTCCTGTTTTCTCTGGAAGTACCCCATGCTCAAGGTAACGATACACAGACTTACGATGCTGTCATAGAGACATGAACATAAAAGTGAGCTTGGTCTGTATCTCACTTCAAATTAGTGTACAAATTTGTTGTGGTGGGGAGAATTAATACTCCGCGTATAGGGCTGCGCTGGATAAGCTCCAGTAAAATTCCAGGTATCGCGGATAAGATGAGTACACCGCTAATCCTAATGGTCATATGCCTTTCAAGTCGAGCTTTAGAGACTACTAGGTATGTGGGGTATGGAACCATAGTCTTATCGAAATCTTCGTGTACTTCAGGGTATTGGAAATCTACTTAGAGTGTCTCCTGCAGAGGCGATGTCATCGACTGAGAGATAATCTCCAGTGTCACAGTGAAGTCTCAACATCACGGGATTTACTTTGTTGCTATCGTCCTCTCTCTGTTGTAGCTCCAGCCAAAAGGAAACCAACACCATGTCGGTACGTGCAGAAACGAAGCGTTGAGACAAAATATTAGACACGCACCTGGGATGTCAGAAGTACAGTTCTAAAGTCTTATCCCATTGTCCTGGGTAGGAATCTCTGTAAATCCAGAAGTTGTCGCCATTTACAACTGATCATTAGATTGCACCCTAGTTCTCTATGAATATTGGCACTCTTAGGTGTATCGTCGTCTCGCTTGTCTTCGGCCAAGTACCACGCCGCGAGTGAAGCATGCAGGCAGAGAGCCATTCGCAACAAAGTTCTTCACAGTCTCGGTGTAAGACTTATCAAACTGTGGTACGGTAAGACCACTGTCGATCACCAGATGCCGTCTGACCCTAACCGTCGATATATGCCAGGTGTTACATGGTGTACTGCCGAACGCATCGTAAATGAGAAGATGAAGTTCGATACTGGTACGCGTTACACTGACACTGTTCGAAGATACTTAAGCTGTGACTTTGGTTGCCAAACCACAAGCCTGGAAGGGAAAAAAATTCTAGCAAGCAGTCTATGAGGGCGTCGTCATATCGATAGAGAATACCCTAGTCCAACATAGTGGGCAGTGATCGTGACCAGTCGCAAGAGCATTTCCAAGAGGTTCGTCGCATTCTAGTCACAATATGTACATGCCTATGCAAATACGATCAGAGTTCAGTGATCTTAACTCGTATTGGAGGTAACAAGCTCGTGAGTCTTCCAAAACTTCAACTCATCACCCACCGCGGCATCTCCACAAGTAACCGATGAGCATAGGTCACCGATGTACCCTTACACTAGTCAATCGCAGGATCTCTCGCTCTCTACCAATCTGGAGCATGTCAAAGATACTGGAATGGGATTTGGAGAGTTCGATAGTCCACCATCGAGCGATGATGGTATAAGAGTTCATTCAGACTCTTCTAACAGCGACACAGACTCAGACGACACAATTTTGCAAATCCATATCGATGGGGAGATGACAAGCGCGTACAGCGAGAGCAGAAGAAGCTCTACTCTGACTTTGTCCAATTTTGCAGGCAACGAGAACTTGGTGATACAAATATTTGCTTCAATGGATCTACGCCCCGAAGAGCTAGACGATCCAGATGAACACATCGCCCCTGAAGTAATGACCGAGGACGAACAAGTCAAGGCCGCCTCATCAGAAGTTACTCCAGCCCCAGTGGTAGTGTTGGCGAACGACACGCGAATCAAGACGACAGAAACTTTTGTACTTGAAGCCGAAATGCCAAGTCTGTTAGGCGACCTAAACATCACGCACGTATTAGACGAGACGCCAAGTGCACCAGCAAAAGATACCGCGTATGCGGACTCAAGGATTGCGGAGGATGTGGTGGCAGGTTCAGTCTTACCGTATGCCTCTTCAGAGCATGTCGGACAAAGCGAGCCTGAGCTACAATTCATCGAGGTACTTGCCACGAACGGCAATATCGGGATCGCAACCGGCGACACCTTCCACGGTACTGGAGCCCGACGAGATATCAGAATTGCCCAGTAATTACGCGACTATTCTTCCTGAGAGAAATTCAAGGAGAAGGCAATTAGTATCAGCGCTAAAAAGCAGACGGGATAGTTTGACAATATCCGGAGCAACTCAGGAGGACCCAGAATGCTCGCAGGATGTACCAAGAGATCGACATTCTAAGGTTCCGCAAGGCTGAACTCCCAGCAATAAGAACCCATTAATCTTGCTGAGGTTTGCCATTGGACGAGCAAATGCCACTGAAGAAACCCAGACCGCGAAAGAGAGAGGAAGGTTCTTTCCAACCACATGAGGCTGCGGAAGTGATAACGTTTGAGCAAACGCCTGTAATTAAGCCCAGATCACGGAGGAAGGGAGGACTTGATTCTCAACTGAAGGAACAACTGAGTCTCGCAGGGACACCAGAGGATGATCACTCGCCCCGGACTGAACCTAAGCCACAGAAGAGAAAGAAGAATTCGTCTCTTCATGTGATCTTTTCGGAAGATCCTTCATCGAGTACGACCCTTTCTATGAAAAATGACCAACTTCCGAGACTTGAAATAAGTCCAAACGATTACATCCGGGATCCCTGGGACTCTGCGTCAATAGCGACGTCCGTCATGTCTAACAAAACTAAGAGGACGTTGAATGTGTTTAGTCTGAACCGATAGTGGGGGCCGCAATTACAATTTCATGGAGGTTTTCTACTCCCAAGGCAAGGCAGAGGCAGTGCGTACTTTACTGCAGGAAGGGTGCAATCCTGGCAAAGCAGGTCCAAAGGCGCATTGACGTTCAGGACCAATTACCTTCGCAGTCCAAGGAGCAAGTAAAAAGCACAACAAATGCGTCAAAGCACTCATAGGGGCAGGAGTAGACGTAAACTTTGTCAACAAAAGGAGCGGAAAGACACCTTTGCACCTGGTCATCGAGAACCCCCGGTTCAAGGGCTACAAACACCTTGTCTGCAACCCCAACAAATCCGACATTCGAGGCAACTGCCCTATTATGGAGATATTCTATGGAACCGATAGCGATCCTTTGGATGATCATCGTAAGAAGGCTTTGGCTCTCTTGTTGCGCAATGAGTCTACAGATGTCGAAGTGACTCAACCAGGTGTACTCAACACACCTCTTCATCTGGCAGTGCGTCGAAAAGATCCGTTCGCTGTTGCAATGCTTCTATTCAAGTATGCTAGCGTCAATGCCAAAAATGCGGCTGGCAGCACGCCTTTGCTTGTTGCAGCCAATCAGCTTCACAATCCTACGATAAAAGACCAGAAGCACTTGATGAGCATCCTCCTGCATGCCGAAATCATCCTCATTAATGAAAAGGCCGGCACGAAGGAGCAGACTGCCCTGCACTATGCTGTGAACGCAGGAGTGTCTTGGGCTGTGGACATGTTGTTGGGACATGGTGCTGATCCCACCTGCAGAGGCAGCGAGGACCGCGATGCTTTGACATTGGTCCACATTCGCGCAGACAATGACAATTGGAGTAGTTACTGAAGATCATGACAGCATCTTGTCACGGCTGTGTCAGGCATCTGTGAAAGAGGAGAGGGACGCGGATGTTGCGCCTCCGAAAAGTCCTAAGAAGAAGTCTGCACGCAAGGACAAGCCGGCTTTGGCCAGCGCTGAATCATAGCGGTAAAGCGTTCTTCTCTTTCCTGCCTGTTCATCGGTTCTCTTCGGAGAGTCCGTGACCAATAATTCACATAGGAGACACAAATACGCTTAGACAATATAATTATTATAGTAAATAGAAAACGATACATACGACCACAGGACGTTGAAAACAAGGCTTCCCGTTCGCTCAGCCCTATTTAAGCAACGTACCGGCGGATTAGTAGTTAGGTGGGTGACCACTAGCGAATACCCGCTGTTGTATGTTTTTGCCAGTTGTCTGATACCATCTCTTGGTGGTCGGAAGTGTTCACGATGTTGTTTTTGCCTGCGTCGATCGCTTGATTGAAGGTGTAATGTAAGTGAACTGTTAAGCAAAGTATAGATAGGCATTTGTAACTACATGTCTTTGTGTATGATGCTGCCACATACAAGCAAGGTACCAACATGTGAATGTAAGCGAGCCACCTTCTCAGTCGAGCTGTCAGGGTATGTGATGTGTGGTTGCTCTATGAAACTCAGCTAGTGGACATGTCTACTGCAATATGAAGCACGAGTCTTGTTTACATGCAATCATCACATTGGTTTTCAAGCAGAATGAAACGTCTCAATTCATGGCTGGCGAGCAGTATGGTTTGAAAGAGTCGATTTGACAGAGTCTGTGCTGGTGTGTACCTCAGCACATCATTCTCAGGCTACGCACAGAGCGACCTAGGGTATCTCAGCCTAAGTGTCCGGTATCTTGTCTTTTCCGTAGCCCATTCAATTTCTTAAAGCTCGCAATATCCCCCGGCTACAGTCCAGCACACCAAGGCGCGCTTAGATCTGAAGCCTCTCAACCTTGTCCTTGAGGGTGCGGATCTGGCCCATGAGGTCGGAGGCCTCGTTGGTGGTGATCGAGCAGGCGATGACGGCGCGAGCGACACCGCAGGCGCGGCCAAGAGCCATCTTGGAGGGAACGTAGACGTAGGGAACGTTCTTGTCTTCGCAGAGGAGGGGCAAGTGGAGCAAGATCGCGAGAGGGCTGGTGTCGGCGGCAAGGACGATGACCTCAGAGATACCGCGGTTGAGGGTCTTGGTGGCCTCGTTGGCGCCCTTTTTCAGCTGGCGGTAGTGGGTGGCCTGCTGAACGAGGTCCAAAATCTGCGTTTTGTCAGCCATCATCCTAGACCAAGTCGACTGTTCGACGTACCTCTTGGCTCAAAGCCTGGTCAGCCTGGGGCCATGCAGCGCTGTAGACATGTTAGCTGCTTGTGTGATTAATGTGCGAGTGCGAAATGGGCATTCGCTAGGTGGGAGCGAAAATTACGTACGAGGTGTCAGCCATTTTGGAGGTTGGGTGTTGGGTGTTGGGTGTTGAATTGTGTTGGAAGGGTTCACTGCTGTAGCTCGCCTGCAAAAGGTTCACTGCTATGCTCGCCCGGTCGGTATGTGGTGAATCTAGTGGATGGAAGTCGTGGAATAAAAAAGTTGAAGCTTCCGCGATCAGTCGGCGATTGGTGCGCCGGTAGTGTCCTTGGCACACGTCTCAGCTTCACGTGATGGGGCAGGAGGCCAGTGCGCGCCAGCCAACCGCGCAGTCTTCGCCAACATCGTCACCACTGCCATCGACACTCCAACGCCTCCGTCGCTGCATCACCCCGTCCGCCCATCTCATCAACGATCAAGATCATCTCCTCGACCACCCGCTGATCCATTACATATCCGCCAAAATGGTTTCGGAGGCTTGGTGAGTGCCCGTGGAGCTCTCGTCCAGGCCACAGCCAGCTTCGAGCTTGCCTTTAGGCAATAAGCTCATGAAAGCGGCGTGTCTGTGACATTGGAGTAGCCAACTGTATAGAAAACGAGAAGCGCCAGCTAACACAACCCTTCAGCCCTGTCTATGCCGTAAGTTCGCGACGACGCCTCTCCTTCGCCTCTTTCCGCAGTCAGCAGTGCGACGACACACAACACCTTTATACCCCGATGCATCGCCAGCGACGACACTCTACGAATCTCGCAAGATGCTGACCTCCTCTAGCCCTTCTTCGGCGCGATGGGCTGCACATCAGCCATCGTCTTCGCCTGCTTTGGTGCCGCCTACGGTACCGCCAAGGCTGGTGTCGGTGTCAGCGCCATGGGTGTCCTCCGCCCTGACTTGATCGTCAAGAGTACGTCGCACGCGCTCTGAGAAGCCCTGGTCTAGCGAGATAGCGGGGCTGTAGCGGTAGATAGGCTAATACGTTGCAGATATTATTCCCGTCGTCATGGCTGGTATCATCGGTATCTACGGTCTCGTCGTCTCTGTCCTGATCTCCAACGGTCTGAAGCAGGAGGCCTCCCTCTTCACCAGCTTCATCCAGCTCGGTGCCGGTCTCTCCGTCGGTCTGTCGGGTATGGCCGCTGGATTCGCCATTGGTATCGTCGGTGACGCTGGTGTACGAGGAACTGCCCAGCAGCCTAGGTTGTTCGTCGGAATGATTTTGATTCTCATTTTCGCCGAAGTCTTGGGTACGTTCTATATCCTCGTAATACTGAGCGCGCGCTAATCGTTAACAGGTCTTTACGGTCTTATTGTTGCCCTTCTCATGAACTCCAAGGGTGCTGAGGGTAGCTGCTAAACGTCTCACCACGAACCACGATAGCAGCCAACGACAACTCACCTGCATCATACGAACATTGGCACCACTTGGCTCGAATGAATACCACACATCATATCTTGCATGGCGCTCGTGAAAAGCACGCGCGGCATGCTGTACGCCTACTTTTTGTGTATTTTCTTAGCGGTGTCAGCCACACCCGGGAAATTGAACGACGAGAACGGGGAAGAGTAGATAATGGAGTCGAGGGACGGCAAATGCGATCCATTTGACGGCGTGTATTCTAAGGTCTTTTTCAATCTGTTGCGCTTAGAAATGAATGCACTGCTTTCTTGAGGCTGTCCATCCCAACTATCACCCGTCACACGCGCGCTTAATCGGCTTCACCAGAATCAGAATGAGCCCGCGTCACGGAACACCGAACAAAGCCTTGCATATCATCGTTGACATTATGAACTGATCAGCATTTACAGGTTACGCAATACCAAAAGGGAATACCCACGCCAATGCAGAATCCTCAAAACCGCTGCCGGTCATTACAGTCGTGACGTTCAGTCTCACGCTGCCAGGATCTCCCTAGCATGCGTCCTGATCTTCCTACTCAGTGCCCGTGGAGCCCCAATCGTCGCCCTCTTCACCTCCGTACTTTGCGCCTTCGCCTTCCCAAACTGCTCATTATTCGCACACGGGCCGTTCTCGGGACACGCATGATAAATACTCATTGCAGCCCAGCCACCACAGGTCTGATCCGAATTGCCAGTGCACCTCATGCTGCACGCGCCCATGATGCCGTCTCTGGGTGCGTATCTGAAGTCCAGCTTATCGGCACAGAAACATTCGCCTTTGTACTCGAGGCCGGCGTATGTGTGGCCCTCGGCAGAACAGAAATCCACACACGACTCGATGGTCGTGTTGTCGCGACTCCAGCTCGGGCCCGTGAAGGCGCGGTCCCCGATATTGTCGCGGCCGCAGCCGATGTACTCCCATTCCTTGGTGGACGTGAGGTCGATGTAGTTCGTCTGCCTGATCCCCAGTTCGATGCCGTCGTTGCACTGTTGTGGTACTACTTGGTTCCCCTCATAGGTGACGGGGTTGCAGCCAGGCAGCTTGTCCAGGTGCCCGTCATTGACTTCGTCGACTTGCTCGGGAAGACGGCACTCCTGGCATTCCTGCGCTGTGAATTGTGTCAACACCGGGCACTTCTCGACTTGCCCGCTGTCGTCGGTGCATTCGTCGATTGCACGCTGCAGGACGTCTACGTCCCAACCGTTGATGAAGTCGCCGTGGAAGCTGTAGCCGGTAGCGTCGCCGTTGGAGAAGACAAAGGGGTGTTGGTTGCCTTCCCATTGATCGGAGAACTTGGCGGTATCGTAGAGCACTTCGTAGAAGATACTGACCATATGTATAGGGAAATCGGGCGGGCAGGCGCCGTTGTTGTATTCCTGGCCAACAGGGTAGGACATGTGGGATTTGTGGTCGGGCGTGTCGAGGTCCTTGCCGTTCCAGCACGATGGGAAGAAGACTTGAGCGCGCAGGCCACCGGGACAGTTGTAGTTGGGCATCTTGTTCGTCTCTGGTATATTTGGCCCACTGAGACAGCTGTATGAAATGGCTTTCGCGGCGGAGTCGTTGCCAAAGCTTCGTATGGATGGGTCTCCGGCGACCATGCGGAAGCCCTCTGGAAAGGCATGGAGTTTTTCATTCAGTTCGTTACCGCGACGCTGAAGATAGTATGCTGTCATTCCGCCAGTGACATCCTCTGGGTCGCCAACCTCGGGGACTGGCATGAACGTGCCGTTCTTGAACTTAACATACAACTGAGGCGTCCAGTAGTTCGACATGTCTTGCTGAAGGGTTTTAGGGACTATTCAATGAAGTCGAGGGAGAGATGTCATACCTTGACGGTACACGTCGAACAATTGGATACTCGCATACCCTCATAGGTCATTGTAGGTGCGAATCCAGCACCGCCTGAGATGGTGTGTACATGGCCAGCGACACTGCCCGGAGTGACAACGGGGTCAAGCCGTGTTCGAACAACCCTGCCTGGACATGATATGCGAAAGAAAGCTTCCGAAGAGCCCGCTAGGGTAGCCAGCACAGAAAGTGTAGTGAAATGCATTGCCGCTTGCTGTGTATGCCGAAAAGAGCTGATGAACTGAACGAAGCAGCCGACTGACAGCCGGCAGCTAGAAGTATAAGTATTCAAATTGTTTGGAGACAGGACTGAGTGTGACAGTATTTCAAGCCTCAAGTAGTGGGTGTAGACAGCCGCGCGCGTTCGTACGACTAGTTGTCAAACATGCACATGGCTGCCCATACTTGGAGCTCTTTGTCTTGCGAAGTCAATGCTCGGCGAACCGACTGGGGGTGGATCGTGAAAGGAGCTTGTACAGCTGGCTTCAGGCAGCCAACTCGGTCAACACGTTTTCAGACAAGGTGGTTATAAAAGTGGCGGCAGTTGTGCGCCCTGCGTAGGTCATGCGTGCGCTGTGGTGCGCCGTCTGGGCAATCTTTTCCACTCTGCATTGCTATCGGGACCCTCACGGCCATGCAAAATGCAATTAACGTCCATAGCCCACGAGTTTTTGTTTTTGTTTGGAAGATGTGTTGCGGAGATGGAATGATTGGTTCACCTCCCACTGACAGGATCCGTGGGCCTAGCGTCGTGGACTAGCTGCTGAGCCTTACTGCTGGGCGGTAAGCGCAGAGCAGTACATCTGCATATGGAAGGAACATTACTGTATGCTCCAACGGCTTTGAGATAGCTAGACGCCTGTCATCTGCTGTGGCTGCATGCTCTTTCATCTTCCCTGCAGGCAGGTTTGTGTAAGTCAGGGTCAGTGACACAGGCTGAACCACGCAACACCCACCGGTCTGCGACGCGCCTGGAGCTGCCCCCACAGATACCTCACTACGCATAGCAGATATTAAAGCCTTACTAGCGATCGGGAACTATGACATTCTTGGCTCAAGCATGGTCGCCGAATCGGCATCGTAGACGCCTTCTCCCTCCGCTCAGGAACCAAAGAAACACTGGCTTCATGGCTGCTCTGGGGAATGAACAAACATCGAGACCCTGATTCGACCACGGTTCAATCATAGGATTAGCTCACTAAGCAACTCGGCGCAGCGCTTTCCTTTGATTCCATCTCATAGTCACACAACATCATGCAATTGATCAAGGGGTTTACTGGATGCAGTTGACATGCATAGCGCAGCGACAGGCAATGCGCGAACTTACGCAGGTCCGCACGAGGCTCCACGTTTCTGCTTGCCACATCCGCTTTCGTCATCTTGAGTCTTCCCAAACCGAGGTCATCAATGCTTATGCACACCCCGCGACCGTCGGACGGAGCCGAGGTTACACAGAGCCGTTTAGGGGCGTAAAGCTATGCCCGTATGCTGGGGGTATGTTACACTGATGATGGAGAAGGTCTATGAGGTTGCCTGCCTGAAGTGATGTTAAGCGATCTCGACAAAGGTGCTGAGACGGATGATGGGTGTGCCCCCGAAAGCCACTGCAGTCGTAACCGTAGGGGAAGGCATACCGCCACTGCAGATCGATCGCGAGATCACGTTCACGCGCGAAATATGTGTCACACGAATTTATCGAATGTCTCTGAGTGACGAAGGATGAAATCGCTCTATGGGAAAAGAGCGGTAATGCTATGGGTGGCGTGCAAAAGTGTCGCTGGAGTGAGTAGGCGCCTCCCAGGTTTGCTGTGATAGTGATCTGCATGTGATATGAGATGCCTTATTCGGGCCCGGAAGCATGCGGACCATCGAGCATTGAATGGCGCTACTCAGCAGTTGTCCTTTGTCCTATCAAAAGCTGGTCAGAGTGACTAGGATGTGTTCGTTGTTAGCCCTGGTGTGCAAGAAGAATCGCACGTCCAGAATACACTTTGACGTGAGATCTCCCCATCGAAGTTGGAGCATTTGACATGCCGAGTTATTGCTGCCTTCGTGAAGTTGGATGAGACGGTTCCGGCGTCAATCAGTGACTGTTGAATCAATCTTGTCGAGATCGCGTGTCGCGTTCGCATCAGCAATTGTAGGACGCAGGTAAAGCGAGCAGTACCGTGATGTGATATGTGAAATTTTTGGTAGTATAGAATCTGTCGACGTGCCGCCAGAAGCCGATATTCGGCGAACGAGTCGTCCTCTACAGATCGTCCTTATTTCTCACCAGGGTACAACAAGCCATTATCCTTCCTGACATTCTCCAGGACCCTCAAGATGTCTCTTGACAGTGTCTCGTAGTTCTTCTCCGCCTCGCGATCCCTATTGTTGATGACCCGTGCGTGTTCTTCGGCCTCCTCTTGCAGGTTGAGCTTGACTCTTGTCTCGGGGCCAGCGAGCTGTGTCCTCTTCTTCGTCTTGGCGTCCCATAGTGTGACAGTCTCAATGTCTGTGATGGTAGGGACGATGATTGTGCCTTTCTCACCGTAGATTTCCGAGGGTGCGTCGCTGTTGTAGGTCTTGCTGTGGCACAAGTGAACGACGAAATTGCCGTAGTCAAGGATGAGACGACCCCCTCCATCTGCACCTGTGGCGATAATGTTAGGCCAGTACTTCGCGCCCTTTGGTGCTCCGAAGAGGTCGATGGCTGCAGATATGCAGTACACGCCCAGGTCGGCGAGCGCACCACCACCCATCTCGAGGTTGAAGATGTTTGGTGTCTCGCCAGCAAGGACCTTCTCGTAGCGGGAGGAGTACTGTGCGAATGTTATGGAGGCGCCGAAGATGGGTCCAAGATCCTTGATCGACTTCTTTAGAGTCTTGAAGTTGGCCTCCTGGATGTGGCGGAAGGCCTCAATGAGGAAAACATCCTTCTCTCGTGCGATCTTGAATAGCTCGTCGAGCTCTGTGACTGTGCTGCAGGATGGCTTCTCCAAGATGACATTCTTGCCAGCGCTCAAAGCAAGCTTGGCCTGCTCGAAGTGCAGAATGTTGGGGCTGGCAATATATATGGTCGACAGGTTTGAGTCGTTGACGAGCTTGTTCAGGTCGGTGTAGAGCTCAACTTTCTGGCCTTCATACTTTGCAGCAAACTTCTTTGCGGACTCTTCTGTGCGGGAGTAGACCGCAGCAAGGTTCCATTTGCCGGTGGCTTGAGCACACTCAATATATGAATCTGTGATCCAGCTTGTGCCAATGATGCCGAAGTTGATGGGTGCCATGATGCTTGTTGAGAAAGAAGGTCAGAGGACTTGGTAAAAGCGATCGGTCTGGTGGAATCGTGCTGCGCGGCAGACTTCTTATACACACAAGCTCTGTTTACGTGGGTTTTCCTGTTGGGCAAGCTGGTCGAGGGGCAATTCATTCCGCCCCACCATAAAGAGCTTCCGAAGGGTCTGATGTCAGCGTGTGCATGACCCTCATTGGTCATTGGGCTTCCCGTGGGGCGGTAGCTCCAACTGCTGCGACTTCCACATTTGGCTACAACCACCAAGAAAGAGTCGTGTACCGATCACGCAAAGCGAGTAAGACGCGGCGCATTTTGCCAAATATGTGATATTGACGAGGCGGACGAGAACCGAAACCCTGCCTATTTGGTACTTGCTATACAAATCCAGAGCTCCATTGCGAGGAGGGTATCATGCTAGGAACGACGTAAGCTGTCGTGAAAGTATCATACCATATGCGTGCGAAGAGTCCGTGAGTCACTCCCAGGAACGTGTCGACTGGGGTGAGGTCTGCTGAGGACAAAATGAGAGACTGCAGGATCGCCCAGAGAAAGCAAACGCTAAAAACACTGAGTGGCAAGACCAAAACTCCAAGTATGCTATGATCCCAAAACGTCCATCAATGCAGTGTGTAAGCGGCTCAAAGCCACGTGAGATCGTCGGCTTCTTGGCCGGGTTCATTTAGTCCTCCCAGACTGTGCCGAGCGATAAATCGACGCGTCGCTCGCCTCCACAGACACTCCAGCGCTTCCTCGAGTCCCTCTTGCCGAAGTTGAAGCTGCGGCCACGACCCTCGGGTACATCCAGGCTTGATCTGCGAGCTTCACCACCATCTTCGCGGTCAGCAGCCGCCTTCAACTGTGCAATGCGTTCTGCTTCAAGAGCGAGATCCTCCGCATCTGGACTGTCTTCGATGGTTTCGAGGGATGAGATGGAAGGGCTGCGAGAGCGCATCGAGGTCGGTGTGGAAGGAACCGACGAAGAGGCAAACGATGAAGGGTAGTGTTCGTTGAACTTCGAAGGCGCCAGCATGGGTGAGGAGGCTGTTGACGTTGGCGTGCTGACAGAAGGGGTGCTGGTGGGTGGTGCACCAAATGGTATAGCAACGTGATAGAGGGGTGATGCGGGCCGCCTGCGCCTGGAGAGGGAGCCAGTGCTGCTGTACAGGCTGAACATGCCGCTGCTGGCACGAGGTGTGAGCTCAAGTTCTGCATCCTCGGCAATGTCGCAGACGCTGGGTGCGCCTTCAAATGAGCCCACAGAAGCTGGGCGTATGCCAGATCCATATCGTTCCTGCAGCCCTGATGTTGCCAAGCGAGGCTCCACTGTGCGTGGGCTGCGTGGCTTGGGCGAGCGGAGAGGAGACGAAGGGCGGTCGAGAGGCATGGGCGAGGGCGAGAGAGTGAGGCGTCCAACTGCTGACTGGAGTGTTCCTGAAGGCTGCATGACGATAGGGAGCGAATGCGCTCGGGTCATGGGAGGAGCAAGTGCGCTGTGGCCACTTTGAGAGCGTAGGTGAGAGCGTGCGTAGGGCGACCGGTTGCGTGGCTTCGTCTGAAATGTCGAAGTGACGGCCGGTGCAGGATCAGTCTGTGAGCGAGGCGTCGAGGGTCGCCGTGACAACGTGCTGTCGTCTGACGTGTTGCTGAACTGGCGGACGAGTGTGTTCGCTTCAACCATGCTGTCGGTGTCTTCGAGGAGAGTGCCGGTGTGCTTGGCTGGTCGGTGTGAAGGGGCCCTGGAGGCGGTGGAGTGTGACATGGTCTGCTCGTCCTCCTCGTCACTGGGTGGAGACGCTGTCGTGCTGGAGGGCCGGGCGGTGGTAGCGGGTACTGCGTGGGTGCCGGAGCGCAGTTCTATAGCGTTCAGGCGCTGGAGGAGTTCGTCGTGCTGCGAGTCGGCCTGTGCTGCGGGCGAGGACGAGAAGGGTGCGGCAGTCATGGCGACGAGGTGCGAGAAGGCATAGTCTGGCGCGCAGGCGGTCAGGCTGGAGGGCTTCAGAGCTCGGAGGTGCAGATGGCGTTGGCGAGCAGAGCAGGGGCTAGTCTGCGGTTGTTATGGACGCAGGTTGCTCCTTGCACTTGTTTCAGCCGCCGGAAAGTGACAGTCGGGCGTGACGATTGGCTGCTGTGTTTGGCGGCACTCGTCCCGCAAACACACAGCGGACAGACGGCGTGCGAGGACGGGCGCGACTGGTGCTGGCGACGTCAGAAGCGTGCTCGGGCAGCGCACTGAAGCTGTTCTGCAACTTGTAGGGGCCGTCCAGTATGCCAACGGCTATGGCACTGTGCTGCCAAGGCGGCGCTATCGATACGGTAGGAGGCGCGCTCGGCCGCGATCAAGTCAGGGGGACCGCTCAGCGTCGCTCAGCGGGCTGCGGCGATACCCTGTAGGCACTGTGGATGACAGCAACTGAGGCCCTGAAACAGAGTCCGCTCGTGTAGAGTCCACAGTGAAGATAATCAGGAGAGCCGGACATGCTGAGGAACCGCTTGACGACGACTAACGCGCCATCCAGCGCCGCCTTGTCCCTCGTTAGAATTGCTGCTCCAAGCCAGCCTCCAACGCCTTCGGAGACCCTGCATATCGACGTTTTCGGGCTAGGAACGCGCTTTCTTTGGTTCCGGCATTTGCCTTTCGCCGAACGCGACCAGGCACTTCAACAGCAGCCCTTTTGTTGCCATCCCGTCCTCGCCTGACCGCAGCCGCGTTGGGACGCCGCTGCTGTATCTGGATTCCCGCCTGCCATCTTTGATGATTTGTGGATCGTGAGGGCGTTCATTCGTTCCTGTGGCTTTCTCCACGCCAATTTGATTCGTTGCGGAGAAATTACTCGCGTCAGATCCTGCAATAAGCCTCTAGACTAGCTTGCGGATCCACGATCAAGGGTCCACGCATGACTGTGACATTCCAATATGATTGACCAAGGGCGCCTCTCAACACGTATTCGATGCATGTTCAACTACCTATGGCTGACCCTCCCAGTACCTGAGCGATTCCTCCAGCTGCTCAACCACGCCCTCGTGTACCGCCGACTGGAACTCTTCGTTATCAGGATCAGCGTCAAAAATGCCAAAATCACACCAGATGCAATGTCTTATGGCATCACTGTACCGCCATCCTAGAACGGACTCTGTCTGCTTTGTTTTGACGATTCGGTTCGCGATGCACCACTCGACACCTGGGGTGCCATCGCACTGCAAGTCCTCTGGCTCCTCAAGTCCTCGCATCGGCTTCCCATAGCAGAGCTCGATCAGCACAATGCCAAGGTTGTACAGAGCCTTATTACGGATGACTCGATACGTCGCCGTAGGAGCAGTCACAGTTTGTTGCGCAGCGCTCTGGGACAAGTCACAACAGACGTAAGGATGCTCGTAGACTGAGGAGGCCGGGAGTCCTGGACGTTTGACGAACAGAACCTCGGTCTGTTTCCAATCCTCGTTGAGCTACGGCGTCTGGTACAACTGTAACAATCCATACGCTAGGTTGACGGCGACTCGAAGTTTGTCGCGCATGCTGATCGGCGCGAGATGGGACTGAGGTCCGGTCAAGACTTCGTCTAGTGTGTAACTCGCCCAGTCTTGTCGAATATGGTCCGTCGTCAGCGAGTACACACCGTGTTTTTGCTGCGAGGTGTCGAGCAGAAATCCTACACATATGTCATGCTCTGGCGATAGCTGTGCAATCGCTACGCACAGGTTCTGGATCTTGCACAACTTCGAGTCAGGCTTGACGGCGGTCGCTGATTGAGCGATGGCAGTATTCTTAGCAGCGGTATCTGGCAGCCGCGACAGCTGTACCTCGATCGAGCCAAACCGCACTGACCGCTTCTTCTTGCTAGAGCACTCATTGGCACGCAATGCCTTAGGAGCCTGTGGCCTCTCTTCCAGGGCATTAGGGACATATCGTATCTCCGCCTCTTTCCAAGAAGGAAGCGAGTTGGTCGAGGCATCAACCGCCTGCGTGAAGATGAAATGAAACGGTGCACACGAAGTAGTGTCTTTCTCCGTCCGCTGCGTCTTGACCCTATTCTCCATACGCAGGTTGGCAACGTGACTGTGACAGGTGCACTGTACGCTCGAACGTAGCGTATGATACAGTGTCTTTGCGTACTATTGGATAGCTCTAAAGCTTTTAGTCGCGCGACGTCTTGAAGGTTCGAGAGTGAGTGACGTTTCAGTCAATTGTGTCAAACTGTTGTTGTAACGCTTGAGTTTGCGAATCTGATCATCGTAGGTGCTTTTGCTGATGCTGAACTTGAACCGGCGGTATTCTTGCTTGAGTTGGCTGGGTTCGGTCAATTGCGGCTATCGACGTTGTGAGTACGGGGCCTTGGTTGCAACGGGGTTCTACTCCGCACGTACCTTTTAATTCGCATCTAACATAAGCTTGACTTTCATATCTGCTAACACTGCCTCCATCCCTCTGACATTGGCGAAGTAAACATCGTATCCCTCCTCTCTTAGCCTGTTCCTGAGCAAAACGTCGACCTCTGGTCTAGTCGTGGGGTCGGCCATGAAGGTAGTCATCTCATCAATTTGTACAAGACAGACAGTATCTTAGATACCGCAAGATACACCGAGAAAGGCTCGCAGAAGGATTAGATGGAGTAAACGAATCAATGAAAGTAGTTGAGGGAACTGTGGCTTCCTCCATCCCAACTCAGATGAAGAGCGGTCAACAAGCTCCAGAACCCGACATCAGCGAAGACTTCGACGATCATGCATCGCAAACATCCTTCGCCTCATCGATGTCGGGCAGGGAAAATTTGAGACCCCCACCTCTACCTCAAGCAGGACATGATGGAAAGCCATTTGAATGCATGCTGTGCCGTTACATCGTGAACGTCAATCAAGACGTCGCTTGGCAAGAGCATGTTTATAACGACTTACAACCATATGTAAGGTTTGAGTCATCGAAATCTGGCGATAAATAATCTCTGTTCTAGGTTTGCACATTTGAAGATTGTACCAACCCCGATCGCACATACGGGTCAAGAAAAGAGTGGTGGAACCACGAGCTGCAGGAGCATCGTCGACAGTGGCGCTGTGTCGAAGGGTGTCGCCGGCTGTTTTGCTCCAGAGAAACATTCCAAACGCATCTGAAGCGTGACCATGCCAGTCCTCTCACCGACAAGAGCTATGAGGCTGTTACTCAATGTCATATCTCTACTGCAGCTACAGACGGCAAAACGGAGTGTCCGCTATGTGAGTTCCAACCGTCCTCGGTGAGGCAGCTACGTGGCCACCTGGGTAAGCACCAAAGGGAGTTATCACTGTTCGCGACATCAACAGTCGTGCATGATGAAGACGATGAGGACGACGATAAGGAGGCGGTCGACACACCCGGTCAAAACTCAAGAAGTGGGTCCTCGGATTCTGATCCTGATCCTGAGGCCGCTGCTCATGAGCCCAGCCAAGTCTTGTCAGGTGGAGACCCCGACACAGAAACTGATTGGGACAGTGCAGACGATGACCAACACGGAAGCGACATTTTTCTTGTTTTAGCGGGTGGGTCAGATCTGCACGCTGGACTTGATGATAAGGGCCTGCCTTCTCCTTACAGAGCTCTTGAGATCGAAGGAGATAGCAGGACGAAGGGTGGTCTTTCGAAGGACAATAGTGAGTTTTCTCGAAAGTCCATTGAATTTTTCTAACCCGGAGTGGCATCGGAGCTGGAAAATACTGGAGGCAATGACATCCTAGCCACGTACACCATACAGTCACGTTTTGTCGACGCACTGCGAACGCAGACAGCTGCTCCCAAAAGTCACTCGGTTCATCTTTATTGGTGCCCATATGGTCATCCATACAGAATTTTTGGAGGCATCACTGAGCTTCAGGACCATGTGAGGGAAGAACACACGGAGCAAATCACTGGCTTGAATGTATTCGAAGCTTGCACAAAGATACTCAAACGCGTTAACGATGTCAGGTCAGATTTCAGCTCTGCGTTTCGCACTTTAATGTTCTCATTGACCTCTCTCTGTAGCCAAGACGAAGCGGACTACAGAAGCATGCACCCAGTACCCGATATATCGGGCTCAGATTTAGATGCACACAACGAGCAGCAAGCATTCACATCTTCTGAAAAGAAGCAACGAGCGGTTCCAGAGTCTACACGAAACCAGAAATTGAGCCCTCGAATGTCGAAGCTACATCATGGTCTGCGCAAGACTTTGCGAATAGAGCTGATCCCGCCGGATCGACAATATCTCCCGACTCAGCGTCAATCACATCTGCTGAGAGTGTCGTACCACCTTTTCTGCGTTGTAAAGTGGAAGGTTGCGGCGGTGTGTTCACTAGCAGGTACCGACGAGGGAATTTCGCGCGCCACATGCGGTCGAACCATGGCAACGGGGAAGTTTTTAACTGTCTTGCGTCCGGTTGCATGAGGACGTTCAAACGCCGGGATGCTCGTCTGAAGCATTACCGTGAACAACATCCTGAACTCAGCACACAGCCGCTTCCTTCTGGAGATCTAGAAACCTAGCATCATGTTAATTTCTCATGAATAACGTAATGGGTATCTATAAAGAACGTATCATTACAGTCTGCGTTCGAATACATGATTAATTCTTCGTCTCCCATCTTGTCTTTTACTCTGCGACACCAAAGGTGGCCGAGCATGGCACGGCTTACCTTAGGTACGTTTGTTATACATTAATCTGCTCAATTAGATATTAAGCTATGTATGTATGCGTACATCACAACGGTTGCACCGCCTCCCGAGCAGGAAAGAATAGGCGTGGTGCATTCAGAATGTACACATTTCAGCTTCTATCATACAAGTACCATATTTGCGTTCTACCCCCAGCGCATATGACAAACTCGCAGGTATACAGAACGTGTCAATTGCCTGTATACGGCCTGCTACAGATCAGTACTACGCACCCCTTGAGCTTTGGCGCAGTACACCGTTCAGCAGATGTTCCGCAACGTATGAAGTTGCCAGGAACGAAGGTCGCGCAGCGACCCCTATGTTAGAAGTTAAGCGCTGAATGTATTACCAATTTCCCGACGCTTGTTGAGCTCGGTAATTTTTTCAGTATTTTTGGGGTTGGCATGCCAATCCTTCAGCGGGTAGTGCCATAGCCTCTTAGAAAAGCTTGTGAAATGTAAAAGGTTGCTTATGACAGTAGTCTGCTTATTAGTCTTGACGGATTTAGGTGAAGGGTGAATAAATATGGTGTTGAAGATGACATTCTCACAAGAGGGCGGTAATGACTACTTATTGAGCCGGTGGTTCAATGGGTCTTTTTGTCCTGCGGTAGCCATGTCATGCTTTGGTCAAAAGCAACTTCGTTGGACGGAGACCACTCCGACTGGCAGTCTGCCTTCATGTTAAGTCGTGAAGTAACCTCCTGTTGGCCAACAACTGGTTGTTCCCGTATAAACAGCAACTGAATCGCAGGACATACGAGTAGCCCATCTGGGTACGGACATGCGGAGCGGAATCTGGAATAGGTAATTCACACATGCATTCTTAGTCAAGAGCACCAGTGAGTGACTCATTGTTCCAGGTTGTAGTAGAAGCAATCAGTAACGGCTCGCGCAGAGCATGCGCTATTGTCGTGTACCAACCTGCTTGTCTAGGTCACATGCTCCGTACGCACAAACGGCAGAGTCCACAAGCAGACAAGTGCCGGCGTAAGGCATGAATCCAATCTCATCAGATGCCTCGTGGGCGTAACACTGAGACGGACCTGTACACGGTTGTAAAGAAAGTTTTCACGGGTCTACAAATGACCAACAGGTGAGTGCCCTGGACTTTGTAGCGTACTCCGCCATTGAGCGAATGTTTCTTGTATCGTATGACCCTGTAAACAGCGTTTAAAAAATGTCTCTGTGTATTACATCATCCGCAGTTTCAAAGCACACCATGATGGCAATGGCAAAGAATAGACCTGCGAGACCTAACTGCATGCCGTTGTGCCGTCGTAGTGTCATCTAGTCGCAGGATCATTGGGCATTATTGGGCGCCTCTATGTGCCTCTGCCTGCCTGGACTCGAGCCTAGGATGCAGCATAGGCTGATTGAATACGCTCGCGGAAAAGGGTGCGGAATAAGTTGATTTGATGATTTATCATGATGCTCCGTGGTGTCAAATGAGAAAGTCAGCCGAGCTTGGGGTTGAGATTTAGGCGAGGTTGGGTGAGGTGAGCAAGGGCAGGACGGACCGCTCAAGCCACGGCGGACCAGGGCTCCGTTACCTACTTGACGGCACTTGCCGGAACGACGACTACAATCTCCACTCTGTCCATTTTGACCGCTGTAAATTTGCTGTTACAACAAGTCAAGACGGGCAACTGTGACGGTCATCTCGCTTATCTTCCAGGATGATGTGCAGCTTCAGTCGCAAATTGTGGCGCGGGATGCCGTAGTTTACCTACAATCAGCCTCATGGCTCCCCGAAAAACAATCTGGACTAGACGCAGGGTTAGTGGCATAATGTCTGGCCAGTCAGAAGACACGGAGAGCCAGCGACGTGTTAATCAGTATGTATCTGGCGCTTTGATCCTTCCGAGGTTACAAGTACACACACAATAGCTTCATCGCAACGCCCTCGAAATTGTCCATGGCGTTCTGGGACACGGTTCTGAGCACGACAAATGCCAAGTCGTATGGCAGACGACTCATACCGAATATTGTCGACGACAATTCGCGGCAACAACCAGATCGAATATGCTTCTCGTACCCGGTGAGCCACGCAAACCTGGACCATGGATTTCAGGATGTCAATTGGCGGCAAGTAAGTGTAATCATACCATTATGGCAAAACTGCGTTGACGGTGACGAGTTTGCGAATGCTGTCAACAGAATGGCATATTTTCTCCAAAGAAATGTCGGGGTGAGCTCTGAGTTCAAAACGATTATGTACATGGGATTCCCAGATATCCGATTGTACATTGTTCTCGTAGCCGCGTAAGTACGATTTCGCCACCATTCCCCGAGCGCACGGCATCACGAAAACGAAGTAGCTGACATGTTCAATTAGCATGAAGACAGGCCACAAGGTATGGCTTCAGCCCCCCCTATTAGCTACCCGAATAGCAGCGAGATTGAGCTGACATGTAAAGCCACTATTCAGCTCTCATCGAAACAGTCTCGCCGGCCATACGAACCTTGTCCGCCAGACTGATTGCACTGTTCTGCTTTATACGGCTGGCTTTCCTATATCAGGCATCCTAGAATGGTGTCGGCTTGACACTGTAAAAGTTCCAGAGCTGGCTGCGCTCCTAGACGATTCACCATGCGAGTCTTTTCCGTACAGCAAGACATTCGAGGAAGCAAAGCTCGATCCTTGCTTCGTCATACACACATCAGGGTCTACAGGTTTGCCAGCGCCAGTGACGTGCACCCACTGGTCAATCGGTACCACCGACCAGCACCACCTTGTCGCTCCTCTAGACGGAAGGCCGACCGTATGGGGCGACTTATTTGATGCCAGACACCGCAACTACCTGGCATGGCCAATCACGTCGAGCTCAGGGATCGGCGCTGGCATCACGGACGTGTGTTTCAGCAATATCACTATTGTCCTAGGTCCACCTGAACAAGCCACTGTAGACACTATCGAAGAGATGATACGATATGCGCAAATCGACTCGATAAGCTGCGTACCGGCAACTCTGGAGGAGCTGTCGAGAAGACCAGATGCACTGGCAAACATGCGCAGTTTGAAACACATCACATATGTTGGAGGTATGTGGATTCCTTGGAACGAAATATGCAAGCTGACGCTACACAGGATCGCTATTGCAAACTGCTGGGGACATCGTGTCTCAGTATGTCCCGCTTGTGAACCTGATGGCATCGACCGAGACAGTCTCTATGGTTCAACACGTCACAGACCGCGAAGACTGGTCGTATGTCTGCATCAATCCACTGCTTAACGGCATAGAGATGCGGCCGGTAGCTGATCTATTCGAGCTCATCTACGTCAAAAAGCCACAATGTGCAGACTTCCAGGGCGTCTTCAAGGTCTTCCCTCATCTACTAGAATTCTCGATGCGCGACCTATACTCGAAGCACCCAACAAAGCCTCATCATTGGAAGCATGAAGGTCGGAAGGATGACATTATCGTTTTTAGAAATGGTGCGAAGTTCAATCCGATGCTACACGAGCGTTTGATCGCACAACATCCAAAGGTCCATGCCTGCTTGCTGGTTGGTACCGGTAGGAATAAACCTGCGGCTATCATCGAATTATACGCACAATATTATACAGAGGACACATCAGCACAGAAGGCCTTGATCAAAGAGATCTGGCCGCAAGCTCGTAAAGCGAACGATGTGGCAGATACCGCTGGCCAACTCGAACAACGCTATATCATCTTTGCTAAGAAGGCGAAGCCATTTGAGATGGGACTGAAAGACACTGTTCAAAGATACGCTACGACCCGTCTCTACGGACAGGAAATTGAGGATCTCTACACCTCGATAGCAGTGGGAGGGCTCGGTACCCTTTTCCGGACTGAAGTTGGTGTGTCATGACCGGCTTATTCTCGCACGAACGCTAGGTGCCAAGCCACCACAGCATACGACATTCAATAAGAAGGCTGCATCAATCTCGCGTACTTCGCGTCCTTTGCTCGCTCTGTAATCCCAGTGGTGCCAATTGGTTAATTGATCTGATTGCACTAAGCCACTTCCGACGGAGATGTCAGCACAGTATTTCGGGATTCGTCCGACTCGTCCACAAGGCTGCCAATGTCTGCATTATTACACCGCATTAGAGATGCCTTCAGTGGATTCGGACGCTTGAGAGACTCCGTGTGGCCTACGCTATGACCGATACGTGTAGGGGAGACAGGTATAAGTGTAGCCTTGGGCCGGCACCTTGCAGCTAGGTAGAGCAGCACCCGCGCTTCTCATCAATTTCGAGCAGGCATTACAAGGCACCCTCATATACTATTTACACCAACCTATCAACCAGTCTTTGTACGTCTTTCTCGACCTGATCGCCAAGCATGGCACCTAAGTCATTTCATATCGTTGCTCTCGAGCCCATCATATTCGGCTTGCAGAATGCAGCCGCAGTGATACGCAAAGGTGAAGCGTACGCCGAAGCCAACAATACAGATCCAAACGAGTATCTCACCGCACGCCTCTATCCTGACATGGGCGACTTCTGTTACCAAGTCTACCGCTTCACCGACACCGCAAAGTTCATCGTCGAGCGCTGCAATCCATCGGCCCCTACTATCACGATGCCCGATGAAGAGAAGACGTTCCCGGAGCTGCTAGCGCGCATCCAGAAAACGCTCTCGTACGTCCAAGGTATTGAAGTTGAGGTTCTCGATAACAGAGAAGATTTTCAAGTCACGCTTCATCTCGCGAAGCATTTGCCGAAGGGTCCTATCGAGGTCAAGTTCACTGCGTTTGAGTATGTACAGCGACAGGCCCATCCGAACTTCTGGTTCCACGTTGTCACCATGTACGATATCTTGAGGCACAAGGGTGTTCCGCTGGGCAAGGTGGACTATTTGAACGGTGCGGGATTGATCCCGATCAAGTGGCTGGGTGCGTAGTTGAGATCTTAAGATATTCGGAACTAAGGTAGAGAGTGGGGTAGGCATTGGGAAGAAATGGATTATTACGTCTATGCGCCCTCCCTGAATACAAAACGCCGGTCGCTGATGCATCATTATGTCATTACCTTAGGCGTGTTTGGAACCTAATACCCAATCAGACAGAGATGGCAGCAACGAGTACATCCATCGCACTCGAATGCGTGCTCGCGTTCGCCGGACTGACAAATGGCCCAGACCAAACCACACTTAGCGTGTTCCCTTCATTCTCATTCCTGTTGTTTAGCCAAATACTGTCGGCATTCGTTTTGATCGAGTCTGTAAACGCATCATCCGGCGCAGCCTCATGGAGCATCTGCAGATTGCGCATGAAGACGCCTTTGAACTGAGTTCCATCTCCACCGCAACCAGGCTCGCAAACATCGTGTATGACGCCATTATCATCTGAGAGCTTTTCGATTGCGGCTTTGGCGATCTTACTCGCCAGGGGAAGGTAGGTGTCGTTGGGAGCCGCTTTGTTGAGCTCGACGAGGCCACCGAGGATGACGCCTTGGTTGTAGGACCATGTTTCTGAAGTCATGTCAGTTGCTTACTCATGATCAAAGCCATCCGGATGTACTCACGGAAGCCATTGTTTGCACAGCCTTCAGTGAGGCCGTCGTTGATAGTCCCTTGATCATTGATCATCCCACTGTTCAAGAACCACTGGAGGGTCAACTCCGCCCACTCGACGTAGGTGTCCTTGTTTTGGGCTCGGTTCGCAAGGTGTGCCGCGGTCGACAGAAATAGTTCATTAGCGATGGCGTTCATGTAGTCCTTTTTCCAGCTCCAGAAGATGCCACCGTTACCACAGCGCGTCGGCCATGCCTTGGTGACCTGGCCAAAGATACCTTCTGCCAACTGGAGGTATTCGATCTTCTGCGTCACGTCGTAGGCTCCGATCCAAGCCAATGCCCACCAGAGGTCATCGTCGTAAAAACCGTCCAGCCAGTCTTCCGGGTTCGGAGTAGTCGCAAGAGCAGCCTGAGTAGCTGCGTCTTTCGATGACGGTGCGAAGTTTCGCAGGCTCTGAACGTCGACATATTGGCCCTCATCTGCGTCCCAGCCCAAGGGGAAGACGGTCACGGGTTCGTGGACGCCCCAAGGGTTGAGAATCTTTGTGTACCCCGATTCCAGACCAGTCTCATTGAACAGTGTGAAGGTGCCATTGCCTGGGTCGACATCTCGTCTCCTCTTCGTCTCGTTCTCAATACCCGGTTGCGGATTTTTTGCAGGCGCTTGGACTATTGTGTTCGCAAATACCCTTCTTGCGAGGTCTTGTAGTTGCGCATTATTTGGGTCGATCTTTGCGAGGTTTGCAATCATAGTCATAACGTTGGCGCCTCCCCACCATCCTGTTGTATCCCACAGACCCGTACCGGAGTTGTACCAGATCTGTAATCTCGACAGGGCGAATTCAGCACGTTTGGTGGGATCAGAAACCGAGTCGTACAGGCTTTGTGCGTATGTGTTAGAGGTGAAAGATATGCCGAGCAATAACGAGTGTACGAGAAACGATGGGTACATGACGACAATAGTAGCTGATCGTTTCCTTTGTACTGCAGCTGAGAAGCAGTGTATTAATACGGATATTAAGAGTACTGGATGGCTGTTGACAAAGGAGTGTGGAAGAGGAGAGACTCAATTGTGCATCTGCGAACAGAAACCGTCGCGCGACATCTTTGTAGTAGTAGCGACGCGTTGTGCTTCCTGCTCCCTAATTTCACCGCCTTAGACAGCGCACCTGCCCATATCCGCTCCTTTGCTCAAGAGCCGCATGGTATACCTTGGCGCTATACATAGCGAAGCCTTTTCTGCAACAGGTGCTGTTTCACACCCAATATGTACGGATCTGCTATTGGAGCTTGACCAAAACGGAAGATGGTGCTGATTCCTTTGGGCATCCAACGATATGCATTTGCAGCCGCGACGGATAGCACGAGCCACAGCAGCATAATGTGCATCGAGATTCGGTAGAGCGGAAGCGCTGGACTAGGCGCGTCAAGGTGCAAGCGATCGCTGTGTCGCACAGACACCAATGTGCGGATACGCTATTGTTGGATGACGTGCAATATCTTCCCTTAAGAGTTTATCGGTGAGTTTAAGAGTTGTGTCTCGCAGACGTCAAGCTGAGTCGGTCCTACCATCACCAAAACCTCGGAATTTGAGAGCAGCCACACGTGCCCTGACGAACGCACGAATGTCCCCCAAAACAAGGCGAACAAGAGCAGTGATTGCGTCCATACTGATAGCGTTGCAATGCCATAGTGCTAATGAAGTGCAAGCTGGTGTGAGTTGGCCGACAGCCTCATCGTTGCTGGCGAACTACACCGGATTATGCATGCGAACAAAATCGCGAAGCACCAAAGGCGTCAGAATAGAATGTGCTTGACAGAACGACGGTCGCGCGAATGATGCGACCTCGCCCAGGTGATTCGACCCTCAAGCAATGAGGACGTCGGTCCCCATCTCCTTTACCTCGTCTACCCAGCAGTTGTCCGCCCCCAATTCTGCTCGGTCTTTGCACATCCATATGGTTTCCAGCACCCTCTTGACTGTATGCAGATAGCCCCAGTACATCTCGCTATACAGCGTGTCCAATATGTTCATAATCCACTCGCGCTGTGCAGGGTCCTCAGATTCGGCACCAGCCAAGAACAGCGGCCAGCATATGCACTTGAAGACTGCGTCGCCAGGTTTGAGGTGTGATATATGCTGAACGACATCGTTGGCGAGCATTGTCAAGTTGACAAGGGCTGTGTCGCTGGCAGGATCGAGGAGCGGGTGGGTAGCAGGGAGCACTCGAGCGAGGTAGATGCAGACTGCAGAACGATGCGCGGAGGCAATACGAACACGCTGCTTCAAGTCTTCGAAAGGTGAAGCAGGTTCGAAATCGAATGACCACGTGATGGGATCGAAGTCAAGCGCCCGTTGCAGCAGAACACCTACTTGCATCTGGATGTTGTCTCTCAGGTTACCAGACGTGCCATCGCGAGAGTCTGGGAGTTCGAAGGATTCGAGCATGATGCGAAGAAGAGGTGATGGCATCGAAAGGTAGTTGTTCGTCTCTGCATAGCGTAAAATCGGCTCTAGGTCAATTGTATCCGGCACGAACTTGGACATCGTCGAGAATGACAGGGTAGACCCGAGAACGTAGAAGATCAGGAGGTCAGAAAGGATGGTAAGACGTAGTCTGCTCATCGGTCGTTGTAAGTAAGGAGGTTCTCCTAGAAGCTTGATCAGAGACAGCGCACCATCCATGTGCACTTTCCACTTGTCCTTGCCAGACTCGACGAGAGTGTAGTTGACGAAGAGCAGGATGGTCACCAGGACCAGGTCAATGTTGGCCGGAGTGACAGAAGCAACATTCTGTGCCAGTAGTGATAGTGCATTGGTCTTTGCAGTGAGTGCGTCTCGATATGAAGACTGCAGTGGTCCACCGAACCTACTGACTGCTTGATAGTACGCGACGAGACAAGAGCTTTGCTGAGCTTGATACGTTGATTGGCCCATAGGATTACGCGATATATTGAAGACGTGGAAGGCCGAGTTGGCAACGATGATCTGCAGCAGTAATGGGTACGCGGATGTTGCTGGTATCAGATCGCGGATGGGATTGCGCCCTGGCATGTCGTACACAACCATGTCCTCGCACAATTGGGTTGCAAAATGGTATAAATAGTAGCGCGAGTGGCGGTCCAAGTCGTTGACCAGCGGATCGACCAGGGGCCGGTGAAGTACCATTTCCGCATCTTCTTCGGCTTCTGAACCGAGAGCGGGGCCATCTTTTGCAATTTCGGCTGACGTTCCGTCCGCGGGCTCCGAGGGCGCTGGCAGCGTCTTTGCAACGACAAGATCAGACTCCCATGTGATGGCAGGTGCGCCGTGAGGCTTGGCTTCCTCTTTCGAAGATCGATCGGCTGCATCCCGTCGCTCTTCATAAGACTTCCCCATCATCTTCCCCCGACTCGCGACCCCGCGATTCCACACAAAGAGCTTGCCATAACCCAAGCATTCGGTATCAGACGAGAGACATTTGTGGCAGACTGGGGAGGAGCGATCGCACTTCCAGCGACGTCTGCGACAGTTATGGCAGGCTTTTGTGGGCAGGTTGAGCAATGTCGAGCTCATTGGACAAGCGCCATGCAAGATGTGTAGAAGATACACCGTAAGGGACCGTGGATTCTCGAGTAGATGCAGATGAGCTTGGCTGACGGTTGTCGATGTACGTCCTATCCTAAGGGTCCTTGAAATCACGTTGGCCGCCGGCTCCGCTATGGAAAGGCTGGAGTGTATATCCGTACGGCGAGCGAGATCGGCCAAAGTCGCCATCCTCTGGCCCATCGGCCACTCACAGAAGCCCATTCGCTGACAAAGGCATCCTTTGGCCTGTTTGCTGCACGATCGCTTAAGCAGTCGATCTCGCCACCTGTTTATGCTAGCCGCAACGGGCAGGCCAAGCTCATCTCTTGCATATCTTGGCATCTCGCTCCACTTCGTCACCACCATTCGTGTGGACGTCACAGACGCAATTGAGCCGTGGTGGCTTCTTATGATGGATTGCTCAGTCAAAATGTCGGGCACGTTGGAGATCCAGTCATTTTGCGGCCGTCACGGACGCCGACCGCCAGGATATAGAAGAGACGCCATGAACGACCAAGAACATCGACGCCCAAAACCAATACACGAACATTACCCATCACATCCCAAGAGCGACTACAGTATTAACAACTGCGATACCGTCTATCATACACTGTTTGGCTTCACTTCTCACCTCGAGTCGACGGCCATCTTCTGCAAGCCCCTATCACGACTAGTCGTTTCTAGCTTTATCGATTTCTGAGATTCTCATATCAGGCATTGCTGTCGCCTTCGTTTGGGTGCACGACCATGGCCGAATCGAAGGAGGGTCAGGAGGATTCCCCTCCACAATCAAGGGAGGGCTACAGCGCATCTGAGATCGAAAGACTGGGACGAGAGCGCCCTGCAGTTTTCAGTTCGATATGGGTTGAGCTGGGCTTCTGTGTTGCTCTCCTCGGATCGATGTTCGTTGCCGAGTACCTTATCTCTGGCTTCAACATCCTGCTGCCATCGTTGATTCCAGCTCTCAACATTCCAAAGCAAGCAGAGACATGGCCCGCCAGTGTCTTCTCCCTCGTCACTGGTGCTTTCCTGCTACCAGCCGGGCGACTAGCTGACATGTATGGAGGATACATCGTCTTCGTCAGTGGATTCGTCTGGCTCCTGGTCTGGACCATCATCGCAGGGTTCAGCCAGAATTACATTATGCTCATCTTCTGTCGAGCACTGCAAGGCTTCGGTCCTGCAGCATTTCTGCCATCTGGGATCATGCTTCTGGGGAGCATTGTAAGCTTAGGGGTCCGTGCGCTGCTCTGCAATACCAGCTAACCAGTAACAGTACCGTCCGGGACCGAGAAAGAACCTCGTCTTCAGTCTGTACGGCGCCTTTGCCCCTGTTGGCTTCTTCACCGGTATTTTCTTTGCTGGCGTTTCAGCCCAGTTCACAACATGGCGATGGTTTTTCTGGATCGGAGCTATCATCCTCGCCATCATCGGTGTAGTGGCATACTTCTGCGTACCGAACAGGCCCGAAGACAAGCATGGCAAGGGCGTCAAGATGGACTGGTGGGGCTTGGTGACGGTTGCGCCAGGTCTTGTCCTTGTCATCTTTGCCCTCACAGACGGTAGTCATGCACCGCAGGGGTGGGCAACACCCTACATCCCTGCTACCTTCATCGTCGGCTGGCTCTTCTTGGGGGCCTTCATCTACATCGAGGGCTGGGTCGCTGAGCAACCATTGCTCCCGGGCGACATGTTCCAGGTCAAGGGCATGAAGTGGCTTGCAACAGCTCTCTTCTTCCAGTACGGCACGTTCGGCATTTTCCTCTTCTATGCCTCTTTCTACATTGAGGAAGTCGTGGGCGCCAGTCCGCTTCTCACTGCTGCCTGGTTCGCACCCATGTGTGTCGGTGGCCTCGTCCTCGTCACCGTCGGTGGCCTTGTTCTTCACCTCCTTCCTGGACGCATTCTCCTTCTCATCAGCGGTACCGCATACATCCTCTGCACCCTCTTGTTCGCCATTCTCCCCGTCCACTTCAGCTACTGGGCCTACATCTTCCCGGCCATGCTCTGCGCCACGCTCGGAATTGACATCACATACAACGTCAGCAACATCTTTCTCACAACCTCGATGCCCAAAAACCGTCAGGGCCTTGCAGGGGCCTTCATGAACAGTCTGCTGTTCCTCGGCATCGCCGTCTTCCTGAGTTTTGCAGACTTGGCCGTGAGCGAAACGGAAGAAAGGGGTCCGCGAGAGAGCTACAAGATTGCGTTCTGGTTGGCGACCGCGCTTTCGAGCGCTGGTCTCATTCTCATGTTCTTGGGTGTCAGAATTGGCAAGGCCTCGAGCGACTTGACTGTCGAAGAGAGGCTGGAATTGGAGAACGAGCTGGTGAGGAGGAACACGAACGCGAGCGCGCAGTAGAAAGTCGTGTTGTGTTTTCATTTCATTTTAGATACCCAAGTCCGATATACAGATGCCATGTCAGGTAGCGACTCGTAGGCGCTGGATTGCGCAACATCAAGACCATCCCGAACACTCTCAGAAGCCCGCCAACATCTGCTAGTCTTCGTCTTCGTCTCCCTCTCTGTCGCCCTCCGGCTCGGGGACCTTCGTCCTAAGCTCCTCAGGCACTGAAGTCTTGAACGTCTTGTTCATGTTGGCCTTTTTCTTCCAGCCCGCAATGTTGCGCTTCAGGCCCTGCGCGACATTGATGTCGTCTTGGATCAGAGCATTGCGGATGCTCTGCGCACCCCCGGGCGTGTAAATGCCCCGCTCGCGACCCGCGGCGGCCAGCTGGTTGTAGCTGTAACCTTCGTAGGTCTTGCCGCCGGGGAGAGGCGTCAAGGGATCGACCTTCTCTGGGCGCCTGCGCTTGCGCTTTGGAGGCTGGGCGGCGGCGGGTTGCGCAGATGGAGAAGCAGACTCGGGTGATGGCGGTGCTGGAGGCGATGCTGAAGACTCTAGTGCTGGCGTTAGAGAAAAAGTATGAAATCGCAGCGCTAAAGTCTTACCGCTCATGGCTGGACGCACATCAACGCGCTCCTCCTCGGGCTCGGAGTCGTCGGCTAGCTGCGAGGCGACACTGTCGTCCTCGGAGGCGTCTTCGTCGCTCTCCTCAACAATGCGGCTCCCGTGCTCGTCGATGCGGCCAGCCTCGAAGTCTTGGACGATCTTGAGCATCTCCCTGTCGCGCTTGCGGCGGTTCTTATCGGCCGTCTCGAGGGAAGCCATGGGAGGCTGGACGCCGGTGTAGTTGAGGAAATTCGAAAGATACTCCGCTGTGTACTCGCGCTTCCTGTCGAGCGGCTTCAGCAGCTCGGTGGCCATGTGCTCGTCTATTTTGTCAGCGCCTCGCAGGAGCGCAACGTGCTCTTGCATCATCTGGGCTTCGCGGTGAGCTTGCATGTCTCCGTAAGCGGAGCGGTGCTCGGCGTTGTCAATGTTTGACTTCTGAACTTTCTCCTTGGGCGCCATTGTGGTTGAGTTGAGTTGGTGGGTTGGAAGTTGGGTGAGGTGGAAGGAAAGGTATTGTGAAAGTAATTATATAGGAGCCGGCGCAGAGGGCACTGTGCTGGTGAAGTGAACGTTTGCTGAGATAATGTGGAACATTCACCTCCACACCCCCAGACCCACGTACCCGTGCCTCTAGAGTGCCTTTCACTCTGATCTTTTCTCGAGCTTCCGGGGCTTCTTCTTGGCGCCAGCTGGCTCTCCAGACGGCGCCGCAACGTTCTCTGACTTGGGCTGTAGCTTGCGGGGCTTCTTGCGTTCCTTCTCTCCTGTCGGCTCTGCAGGGTTGGATTGAGCCTCTTGGGGCTTCTCCTGTGCAGTGTTGGTATCTCGAGACTTCTCGCTGGTATGATCGGGCTGCACAGTATCGTTGGCATCTCCGTTGTCGCCGTGTGTCTCTTTCTCTTCACTGTGCGATCCTCTTGTCTCAGATGTCGCAGAGGTCTCTGTCTTAGACTGCTCTTTTTGGTGCCCATCATCCTGCGTCTTCTGTTCGTTAGAGTCCCCATCGTTTGCAGACTCTTTCGAGTCGCCCTGAGAAGGCATAGACGGCATCTTCGCCTTCACGTTCTCCAGAACCTCCTTCTGCTCCGCACTCGGCCCCTCCTTCCCCAAGCTCTCCAACTCCTCCTGACTCGGCGCATCCTGCTCATTGATATGCCCAATCATCTTCTCAAGCTGCTTCTTCTGAGTCTCAGTAGCTTTCCAGCCCGGCAAACTCCCCGCAATCTTCTCAATCATCTTACTCCCTCCCTTCCCCACGTCCCAAAACGGGCCGTGCATCCACCCCGTCGCCGCACCAAGTCCTGCACCCAACCCTCCCAACGCCGTCGATGATACGCCGCCGACCAACGTCCCTGTGATTGCACCCAGTGAGGCGCCTGGGGCGATGCCGAGACCCGCGCCCACGGCCATGCCCTGGAAGGTGCCCGAGCGCAGGTACTTTGCAGTCTTGCCGAGGGATTTGGATTGAATTTGCTGCTCGAGGGCTTGTTCCATGAGCTTCTGGCGTTCTTCGGGGTCGCCTGCTGCTGCGGCGGCTTGCATGAGTTCCGTGGCCTTGTCGTGGGCTTGTTTCGCTTGGGCGGCGGCTTTGGAGGATTCCTTGCGGACTTCGTCCTCGGAGTAGCCATTGTGCGAGGAGGCCTCGGGGTTCTTGTCTCCCTTCTCGTTTCCCATGATGTTGATGTATGTGTGAGGTCTTTTGTTGTGTTGGTGTTTTGCGTCCTGTTAAAGATGAGATGGTTCGAGACCTACGTCATCGGCGCCAGATCTGCACCGGGTTCTGAATGCCTGTTTATTGGTGTCCACCAGCGGGGAGCAGGATCGCTTTGACGACTGCGATGTGGGTATCCAGGGAGCGGACTTTGCAAGTCAATTCGTGTCAAAGACTTGATCTGACGGATGAGTAGAGGTAATGCTGAGGTTTGGAGGTCAACGCAACCACTTGACGGCGAGCTCATATACGAAGAGGCTCGTTTTTTGGCCAATGAAGAAGTCGATGCCCTGAACGCGCCTTGCTCCTGCACATAACAGTGATAACTTAGCAACGTTGAGACTCTATAAGAAACTTACCATAGTTGAATTATATAAATGAACTAAGAGCCTTACGACGTTATAGTTCCTTTAAATATGATGAACTTGTTTGTTCCACTAACAATTATCAACAAACAGGAATCATGTTTGCCTCGCTTGATCGGCCAAACGAAACAAGCTTCTTCGTATTCACGTCTGTCCCATAAGCAATGCTTGCCGAAACATTTACAAAGCCGATGGAGAGCTTCTGACGCTTCTCTGACGCTTCATGTCGACTTTCTCAGAGGGGCTTGAATCATCAGCGTTGAGCAATTAGCCATTTGGCCCAAGCAAGGGACGGAGAGTGAACACGCGAATCCATGTAATGATGTGAGATTACCAGTTCTATAAGTCGAATCCAATGCTCCGGTTGCAGCAAGGTTGCAGGATACCCAAACGCCCGCTATGCAAGACCTGCGCGTACGCCGTAGATGCAGTCACATGGTGCCCATATCACCATGTCGTCGTAGATGGCTCGTATTGTATTCAGTCGTCTTTGCGCTCGTTGTCCTTCCACTCGTCCCATTCCCTCGGCTTGCGCTCGCGACTCGAGCTCTTCTGGCCCTTGCGCGGCGCGTCCAGAAAGCCGTCGGGGAGGTCGTTCCAGTTCTTCGTCGCGGGCACGATCGTGGTGTGTGTTTTGATTCTGCGGTCCGCGGCCTGCTCGTCGCTGGAGACGTCGTACTCGTCGTCCTCGTCGTCTTCGGAGATGTAGCTGTACTGGTCGAACTTCCGCCGCGCCTCGATGGTTTGGAGCGGGACGTCGCCGTCCGCGTACATGCCCTGCTCGCGGCCCAGAATCTGGTCGGCTTTGCTGGGGCTGCGGCGGCCGTCGCCGTGGGCGGTCACGGGGCCGTGGGTCGTGGCGGAGAGGTACTGGGTCTGGTCGGCGTGCTGGTAGGAGACTCGCGGGGAGGGAGGGTTGTAGCCGCCCGGTTGCCAGCCTTGGGTCACGCGACCGACGCGGCGGAACTCTGCCTCGGTGGGCGTGTCGACGCCCCAGCCGGCGGCGCGCTCGCGCTGCTTCTGCTGCTGCTCCTCTCGCTCGCGGTCCTGGCGAATGCGGTCGCGCGCGGCGAGCCACTTCGGGCTGGGTTCCCACGACCACCCGTCGCCTGTCGTGTTCGTGATTGGGACGAACCACTTCCAGGGCGAGGGGCCAAAGACGTGTGCCATGTTGCGCCTCCAGCCCAGATCGAAGGCGTTGGGCAGCTGCTCGTTGTCGCGCTCGTCGAGGTAGTTGTCGTAGCGATCCTGGTACTGCTGGCGTTCTCGGTGCTCGTAGGAGTTGCTTGCGTGGTGCGCGTAGGAGTTGCTTGCGTGGTGCGCGTAGGAGCTGCTTGCGGGGTGCGCGTAGGAGTTGCTTGCGGGGTGCGCGTAGCCGTTGCTCTGGGCGCTCGCGGGCGGCGGGGAGCGCGCGGGCGTCTCGCCTTCCTCGGGGCGGGTGACGCCGGGGAGCGCGTTTGCGTGTATCTCGCGCAGCTGGTCGCCGATGCTGAGGCGGCCGTTGGCCTGGGCGTCCTGGTAGCTGCGGTCGCTGAGGCTCTGCTTCATGGCGTGGCGCAGCGGCGACAGGTAGCGCGTCTTCTCCAGGCTCTCAATGGTGGTCTGGCCGCGGACGGTGAGCCACAGGTGCCAGGCGGTGAAGCCGGTGATGACGATGCCGATGATGCCGGCCAGCACGGCGAGCAGGACGTCGTTGATGGGCATAAACGACTCGGTGTACTGGTTGTCGCTCAGGATCTCGCGCCACACCCAGGTGGCGGCGGTGGCGAAGCACAGCCAGCAGAACAGCGTCAGATACAGCAGGAACAGCAGGAACGGCTTGTAGTTGCGCAGGCCGACGCACGTGGCGAGCCAGGGGCAGTGGTGGTCCATCTTCAGCACGCAGCGCTTGCAGGTCGAGCAGTGGTGGGCGCGGTCTGGCTTGTTCGCCTGGCACTTGTTGCAGAAGCGCGCGCCGCCGTCCGAGGCCTTGACGGTCAGCGACGTGTACTGCGCGCCGCCGCCCTCTTGCTGCGGCAGGTTGCTGTAGCCGTCGCGGGCGGCGCGCGGCGACCCGGGGTCGGTGAAGACGGCGGCCGTGTAGCTCCAGTTGAGCAGGCCGTAGAGGACGAGGCCGAGCGCCGAGGTGAAGTGTCCTGTCGCCCGTGTCAGCGTTGCACGCGTGTCTCGACGGTTGCGGCCGAGCGGGTAGGCGCACCAGTCCAGGCGTTCTTCGCGGGCACCAGGCCGATGCCGACCTGCACCCAGACGGCCCACGAGGTCAGGCCGTAGACGAAGAGCAGCGGGAAGTAGGTCATGGTGTTGCAGCAGTAGCGCTCCACCCGGCGCGCCCATGCGCGAGGGCGCATCTTGGGCGGCGACGGCGGACGTGAGGGCGAGCCCAGCGTGGCCATTGGGGTCCTCGTTATCGCGCGAGACCGAGCATAGGGCGGTGCAGCGGCGTCACAGAGCGAGCAGAGTGCACGATTAATTACGGGGGCAGACGTTCGGACGCGCAGGCTAGCGCAGGCGATCGGTTCGAGGGGACAGACGGGTGCAAGGCTGCTGCGCAGTGGGTTTCAGGGCCAGGTCACATGTAGCAGCGCCGAAAGGGACGTGACAGCACGAGGCAGTCGAGGTAGCTGAGGCAGTTGAGGTAGGTAGCTGAGGCAGTTGAGGTAGCTTAGGCACTTGACGTAGTCTAGGCACTTGAGGTAGCCCAGGCACTTGAGGTAGCCTAGGCACTTGAGGTAGCTGAGGCACTAGAGGTGGCTGATGAGGCAGACGGAACAGAGTCCAGACGAGGCACTGCACTGCTGCCGTGCCCCGGACCAGTGTTGGCGCTCCAAGGGCGCCCGCTCGTGTCATCCATGGCCGCCTCCTCATCAGCCTTGCCGACCAGCGACCGTCTCGACGGATGACTAACCAGGCGCCGTCGCCCTGCAATTACACACAAGACATCACCGCGATGGGTGCGTTGCGGCGCTGCGGCGCTGCGGCGCTGCGTTATCATGTCTTTATGCATCGACTCTTGCCAATGGCTGCCGCCCTTGCGCTGCGCCTGTTGCACTTCTCCCTCGATGCTTCAATGCATTCAGTGAGACGTTCGTCCACCTGGCTACACGGGCAGTCGCACACATGCGTCCCGTATCCAGTGTCTCCACCGCTGCCATCGCCATCCCTGGTGACCAATGCGGTTCAATTAAACGTAGCTCGCCACAACTGATACAGATACGCCAATCGACACTGCCCATGCCTGTCACAGACGCTCCCCGGTGCGCCTGCGGCCACCCGTGATAATCCATGACCTGCCCTTCCGGGGCCTGCCACACGGTCCTTGCTCAGCTGCATCGCACAGCTGTCGCTGCCTGCACTTGCTGCCTGCACTGATTGCATCGGTTCAACTGCCCGCGCCTGCGTCTTGTTCTCTGCTGCTGACGTCTGGTGCTTCTGTCTCCGCACTCTGCGAGCATGCGCTGATCTACTCCTTTGCCATTTGTCTTTTCCACCGCGCACCTCGCCATGCTTGCGACCAGGAAGCGCCCGCTGCCCCTGCTGGCTGCCCTCGTCCTCATTCTCGTCGTCGTCTTTTACCACAGAGGCCATGCCGACCGCCTGTACCAGCAGTGGTCGGCCTCCATCGAGTCGCATCCCGTGAAGCTTCCCTCGAACAGCACGCTTGGTTTTGGCGCTGTCGTCGTCGTCTCGAAACAAGGCTCTGATCGCCGCCGCGCCCTCCTCCAGGCTGCCAACGTGACCGACATTGACCTCACCATCCCAGAGCAGCCGCAGTGGACCGAAGGCGACGTCCAGCGCTTCATCAACGGCCAAGACAATGTTCAGCGAGGCTCGATACTAGCGTGGTTGGGCCACCACAATGCTCTTCGCTGGTAAGCAGCGCCCGCACCTGCAGCGCTTCTCTTGGCTGCAGCGCTTCTCTTGGCTGCAGCCTTATACTCCATCGCAGAACCCGCAGCTGATTCGCTCTTGCAGGTTCCTGGACTCCGGCCACGAGACTGCACTCATTCTGGAAGACGACGTCGACTGGGACATCCGTCTTCGCAGCATCCAGATCCCACTGGCAGCAAGCGCTGCACGCCAGGTTCTTCCACCACTGCGATCCTACCACCCTTTTGCCAACTTTGGCAGCAAGCACGTCCACTATTGGGGCAACCACGATGACTGGGATCTGCTCTATCTTGGCCACTGCGGCGACTACTTTGACGAGATCACTGGAGAGGGACCGAAGACCGCCAGCAAGCGTTACAACTTGACCGGCACACCGCACGTCCTATACAAGGACTACACCCTGCCCACGCGATCTGACCTGCACCCTTTTACACAGGCCTTGTTCGGCGGCCTGCAAATGCCTGCGCACTCGCGAGTTTTTCACCGCTCCAAATTTCCCCTCTGCTCTTTTGGATACGCAGTGACCCGTCCGGCCGCCGAACGACTGCTCAACGACCTCGCACCACCGAAGCTTCGTAAGAAGGGGCCTCGCGCATTTGACGTTTCGCTCCTGCACGCTTGCAACAAAGGGTCTAAGACGCCCTCGCCTACAGCCAATTGGAACAACCCGAAACCTCACCCAGACCCCAAACTACGATACAAGTACGCAAGTCAAGGCCTCCGCTGCTGGACACTCAACTCCGAGCTTTTTCACCACATGCCAGGGCAGAGCGAGATCGCAGAGATTGGCGCAAGAGCTGGAGAAGAACAGGCCGGCCTACCACCCGTTGATCTGGCCGGCCAAGCGCAAGTCATCTACCGGAACGAGACGACGAACATCGACTGCGGTTTCTGGAGCGGTGCATTCGCATTCGACGAGAACGATGCCGATCGGCTCCGCACACTGCAAGAAAAGGTCGGCAGAGAAGGCAGGTGCCTGAAAGAAGGCCGGCGAGAGGTGGACGGAGCACTGCAGAAGCTCAGGAACTAGGAGCCCGGCGCTTCGCAGTGGTCGCGGTCCTACGACCCTACGCGCGCGCTCATCGACTGAGTACGCACTATTGTACATTTAACATATCAGCAGCATCTATTAGCGATTGGCTATGGCGACGGGAGTTTCAGGCGTATTTCGAGCATGGCATGCTCATACGAATTTCTGATACCATGCAGCAAGGCTTGCACATATGGCGCATGTAGGCTTTTTGGATTAAGCTGGCTTTTGGATTGGAGCAGCGCAGCGCAGCACGAGAAACAGTGATACCACAGTAGATGCAGATCTAGAATCAATACCCACGGTCCTACGTACACCTGCCAGTATCACACCGCCGCCTTTGTGGTTGTGGGTCACACGGAGAGTGCCTCGGCTACATACGTGGTGCGGACGCATGTCGAATTTCCCGTTGTGCACAGCCCCGTTTGACATTCCATTCTTTGGTGCAATTCGTACACTCTTGAGAAAGCAGGTACCAAGCATGCACGCCCCGACGCTGCTCTGCTCGCCCTCGACTCGCCAATGCCGCTCCTACTTCGCACTGGCCCACGACCGGCTCTCAGCGTGCGACCCGCTCTGAGGCTCGACGTTTAGATCGAAATCAAAATCAAAATCAGCCCGATCATGGCCTGTCACGCGTTTCCTGCCGCAAGCCCCTGGGACACAGGCACGGTGACCGGGCCCTGTTCTCCTTCTATGCATGTGTTGGTTCTATGCACGTCTTGGTTCTGTGCAAGTGCTTCCTGTGCAAGTGCTTCCTGTGCAAGTGCTTCCTGTGCAAGCGCCCGGCACACCGCTCGCCGAGGGCCTGAAGCCCTGCTGAAAGCCCTGCTGAAAGTGACGGGGCTGGCAAGGGCACCATGCGCGCGTATGGGTATGGTGGAATGTGAAAGGTCGGATCAACGGTGTGGGCCGTGCTAAGCTTTTGAAACGTGGGCTAAGCTTTGCGGGCCTGTCAATGGGACGATCGTGCGTGCATGCGGGGACATCCCTGTGGTCGTGGAGCCACGGAATGGAGGGTGGAGAGCCGCCTGCGAAACGTGAAGGTGGAATGCGCAGTGTGCTGCGCGTTCAAGGCAGGAGTTTAAGCCTCAGAGAATGTACGAAGACACGATAATGGACATGTATAGAGTGAGACCAGGTGGACTAATTTTGGTTCAACTAAAAACTATGAATGTAGATGTATACGGGTATGCGCTGTGATGATTAGACCTCCAAACGCCAATGCTGAAATGCTTCGAAAGTCGGGGATGCTCGACAGACTCCTGAGTATGTACATCCATGTGTACGCAGTATCTTGGTGGTATGTGATCATTATTATTCAAAATTCATGCTTCAAGCCTCGAAGTTGTTGAGCCAATGCTTGACGACAACTCGACCCTCATCGAAAGACTTCTTGTCCATGCGGACGATGATGGCGGCGTGGGAGTGACGGTGGTTGTGAATGTAAACCGGAAACTTTTTGAACCCAACGTTGTCGAGAGCTTCGATCATCTTAAACTGATCCTGTCGCAGTGCAAGCGCAGGGAACTCGAGGGGAGACGCTCGCTTGTTCTCCGTGGTGGCCTCTACGTCAGTAATTAGGTGTCCACGCTCGAATCTGGGCGAAGTTGGCTGTGTCGGGGACACCATCTCCTCGCTGTCACTGCCGAGATACTCCTGCTCGTGTGCATTGTTGACGTTCTCGAAAATGTCCTCAGCTTCCCTTCGAGCGGCGTTGAGCATAAGTGGGATGCGGTAACGACCAGCCTCAATGCCAGCACTCCCAGCTTCGTGGAGACGAATGCGCTGCTGGCTCCGGAGGGATTGGACAGCGGAGTTGCAGAGAAAGAGCGTCGTACCAATCGGAATGAAGACGACGAGGAAGGCGAACAGAGGAAGACGGGTAAAGACTGTTCGTGTTGAAGCAGTCAAGCGCTGTACGAGGGCTGGCGTAGGCTCCTGCTCCTTGGGCGAAACTGGATCCTCGCTATCGATGATCACGTCCTCGTAGCCTGGGATGTAGTTGATCTTGAGCTCGTCAGGCCTGATGAATGGGTCTGTCTGCGAGATCCCGGCGGTGTAATAGGTGACCGTGCGATCGTTGACGACATTGGCGTACAGGCTTCGGTGCTTGAACTCTGCCAGAGCTTTGATGAAGATAGTGTCTGGGTCTGCAAGAATGGCCAAGATAGGCCGGCCTGTGTCGCGGAATTTGTCGATGCCAAAGAGTTGTCTGCCACTGGCGGAAAGGGTCCTGGCGCCAAGTACGTTCCAGACATGGCTAGTGTAGCCTCTCAAAGGAGTACGGACACCGAGGTGAGGTGTAGCGAAAGTCGTGAAGTTCTGCGGATTCTGTCAGTCCTAGCCGATCTCCTCTTTCTTTCAGGTCACATACCACCGGCTCGATTTGCTCAAAGATGCCCTTGTGGTAGAGCAATCCGATAGCATAGCGGGCTACAAGTCCGCCGAACGAATATCCAGTGATGCTGAATTTCGTGATAGTGTGACCTTCCTTTCTGAGTTCGTCCAGCCTGTTCTCTACTTCGTCTGCGACTCGCTCGCCGCCAACCTCGGCACCATCGTATGTGAAGCTGCCGGCATTGCTCTTGGGGACGAGGACGTCAAGGTCAGGATATCGCTCCTTGACGCTGGTTGTGAGGTACTTGAGGTGATCCGGGTTGCCCCAAAGACTGGCACGTTATCAGCGTGAGCTCCTTCCTCAACAAGGCGGGAGGCGACTCTCGCCTCATGAATACTGACTTACCCATGAACGAGAACGAGGAGGTGGGTGGCTTTGTGTGAGTTCTCAGTTGACGTGTTCGCAGCCATGGCCATAAGTGTGAGGTTTGAAAATTGTTGTCTTAGGTAGGAAGGGGCGAGGTGGTGTTTATTGTAGTGGACATATTTCACACTCGTCCGGGAAGGCGGTCTTATCGGACTGTGCTCGGAACGCAGTCGCTATCACCTTGGCGTTTGCACTAAGCAAAAATGACAGATGAGAGTGATAGGGGTGGATGCGGTATATATAGTTCCTCCAGCACGAGATTATTACTCACATGCGTTTCGTGGTGCCTCGAGCGCGGCGAGTTTGGAGGATTCTCCAACGTCTCATAACGTCATGATTCGGAACGAGGCGAGTCGAGCCGTGTTTGGTGCGCGTGCCCGCCGACGCGTTCCCTGCAGCTTGGCGATCTGGCGTTTGCGACTTGCAGCATGCGCCACAACTCACTCTCACCGAGCTGACTTCGCATCTCAAGGACTCGAAGTGGCTGCGCTGACCGCCGAAGCTAGAAGTTTATCACTGCCGTGAAAGCGAGGCATCTGAAAGTGGGTCTTTGAGATAGCTATTGGGGAAGGAATGTAAGAGTGATCCTTCGCCTCTCCAGAACCTAGCCATTCTTTGCTGCCAGACGCTTTCCTTTTGAAGCCAACGTCTACAAGTTTCCCTGCACATCAGTTGACGACGTCACTTCATATTTCACGCATTCTGCTCACATGGTACGTCTTGACCATGGAAGAGTTCACCGTCTTCATTGCTCACTATGTCTGGCGTTTAGCAGTAGTTGATCAACAATGTGGCCCTCAATACCCGCTTTTAGAAGCTTTAGCAACACATCGTGTCCTGCGGGTACTAAGTGCGAGCTCCCTTACTGCATCTTCGGCCATGACATTGTCAAAGCGCGTAGCACGCCTCCCACAGCAACAGCGAGCAACACGACAGACAGCGAGCCAGCTGCGAAGCGTCAGAAACTAAACGACGATACTGCCAAGGGCGTTGCCTTACGCAGCGCGCTAGATGTACCTACAGCGCCGAGAGCTGTATTCACGGGCTTATCCGCTGGCAAGGACAAGGTCATTGTAGCAAACAAAAGAGCAGATACCGCCACCGCAACATCATCAAACTCAGCAAACAATGGGAGGAACGTCGATGCTCTACCGCGATCCGCGACACAGCCAGTGTCACCACCACCGAAGATATCAGAAGCCAAAGCTACCCTCACGCCCACGGGTCCGGTAGCTTTGTTGCCACGCAAACTGGTGAAAGAACCAGCACTCTTCACCAGACGATTGGGCCTCCTAAAGATGCTGCACGGGTTCATGAAGCCACTGAATGACAAGATTGCGAAAGCTGTCAAGCCCGAAATCAAAGCCTTGCACATGGACGCAAACCAACTCAACAAGTTGGCGGTGGATGAGGAAGAACGTATCGCGATAGCAAATCCGGGCGTGTATGAGAACGTGCTGAAGCAACGACTGCTCAAGGTCAAGAAAATGACGCCGGAGGGATGGGTCAAGGAGAGATTTGACGCTTTGGCAAAAGAAAAAGGTCTACCACCGAAGAAGACCCCACCAAAGAAGGTTGATACCGGCCTTACACCAAAGGGAGAAGTGAGTGTTCTTTCGACGCTCATCTGTCCGCAGGATGGCTTGGACAAGCACGGATACGTTACGGCGCTCCCCACAACGAAGCAACTGGAGGAAGCGAGATCAGCACAGGCATCGGCGGACTTCTGGGAAGTGTGTGATCGTTGCAACACGCGATTCCAGGTCTTCCCCGAGCGCCGAGAAGAAGACGGCGCACTCACCACTGGAGGCCAGTGCACACATCATTGGGGCAGGAAGGTGTATCCTAAGAGGTCGAAGAACGCCGGACCGGAACCGACTACCTACTCCTGTTGCCACGAGTCTGTTGGCTCTCCCGGGTGTACTACGTCCGACACTCACGTGTATAAAATCTCGGACCCAAAGCGACTTTCTTTGGTCATGCCCTTCATCGAGACGCTGGAAAACGACGAGGCACCAGCAGACACGGCAATCTGCTTTGATTGCGAGATGGGATACACCACGCACGGCCTCGAACTCATGCGTCTCACAGCCATTGCATGGCCGACCCACAAGCCACTTGTCGACGTACTCGTTCGCCCCATTGGCCATCTCTTGGATGTGAACACGCGATTCTCCGGTATCACGGTAGAACAGTTCCTCAGCGCAAAGCCATATGACCCAGCGGATCCGAAGCCTAGACGAAACGATATCCGCATCGTCGAGTCTCCTTATGTGGCGCGAGATCTCTTCCTGGCCCACGTCACGACGACAACGCCCGTGCTCGGTCACGCCCTCGAGAATGATCTCAACACTCTCAGGATCATCCACCCGAACATCATCGACACCGTCCTACTTTTCCCGCACAGACGAGGGTTACCACTTCGCCACGGCCTGCGCGCTCTGGCCAAGGAGAAGCTCGACATTGACATTCAACAAGCTGGCGCTGCCGGACACGACAGCTACGAGGACGCGAGGACGACTGGCGAGTTGATCCGCTTCAAGGTAGCAGAAAAGTGGAAGCAGCTCAAGCATGACGGCTGGGAGTTGCGTGATGGTGGCGTCTTTCCACCGATGCCGCCTGGTGCACCGCCTTCACAGGCCCCTGCTGCGCTGCCGATGATGCCGCCGGCTCCGATGGCTATCTTGGGAGCAAAGTCAGCCGGGAAGCGGAAACTCGACGAGGAGGATGCGGCGGCAGCTACAGGCGAAGAGCCGCCTGCAAAGAAGCATGACTTGATCTTGGAAGACCAGTGAAGAGATTGAGACAGAGACATCTTGCTTGTTCAGAGGCTTGAAACCACTCACAGCATGATCGGTATATGGACGTGCAGCATAGCATGCGTAGCTGCGGGTATCTCCGGCCTCCAAGGGCTCTACATGCTCCTCTAGACAGCCTCGACACGGATGTGCGTGTCTTGTCCCTCTCGTATCCTCAAATCATCCATGTATATGTGTACAGTGAACTGGCTCGAGAACCTTCGCCGAGCTCCACGTCCCTCTGGCGCGCTTCCGTGTCTGGATATCCGCTCGTATCTTCCCTATGCCTGTTCACCCCCTCCCCTCCTGCCCATGAACAACCAGCCCCTGCACCCCTTCCAAGCTCTCCTTGACCGGCTCATACACCACATCGACGTCCAGATCCTTCATGACGCCAATCACAACGCCCACGCTCTCGAAGAAGCCGTTCACAGCCACGCGCAGCATGCGGTTCGTGGTCGCCGCGTAATTCACGACGAGCGTGTTCTTCTCCCTGTCGCCAGCGAGGCTGAAAGCGCGGCGCACGAGAGGCGAGAGCTCGGCGTCGACGGACAGCGCGCGCGAGGCGGTTGCGGCGTAGTGCGCGGACGGGAAGGGGATGTGGAGTTGTCTGCGGCAGTTAGTCATCAATTCGCGAGCGCGGGCATGGAACGCAAGGAGTACAGAGTGCAGGGGAAGTCCGACGCCGTCCACGTCTGTGTGTCCGCCATGGTCGAATGGGAGCGCTTCATGGGACTGCTGCACCGTTTGACGGCGATGAAAAGGTTATCGATTGTGTTGCGGCTAACTGCTGCCCCGCGCCCCACACTGCACAACCAACTGCGTCGAGACCCTTGCAGGAAGCTATGGCCACCAGACCAAAGCGCGATGCGTTCACATCGTCATCGATCGCTCATGGCTGCTGCGACGTGCAAACGCATCATGGCCGGTCCAGCGCTGCCCGCCCGGAGACCACTGCACTGCAATTGCCTCTGCACCACCACCACCACCACCACCACCACACATCCCCCGTGACACCATCCCGCGCCTGCCACCAGCACCTCCACACCAACTGACACAGTCACGATGCTCCGCACCTTCACCCGCGCCTCGCGCACCTTCCGCGTCGCCAGCGTCCGCCCGTTCTCCCAGTCGGCTACCCACCGCGCCGAGGGCAACGCATCCACAAACGCCAAGACTGACACCAGCATGCCGCCCGACGGCGAGCACAGCGTGAACAAGGCGAAGCGCGGCGACACGCACGATGTGCGGGCGAGCATGCTGAGCGATGGGCTAGGGCACGTACCCTCCCCCCTCCGTACTCAATCAACATCTACACGGGTTCTGGTTGCAGACGCAGAGACGGGTTATGGCGAGAGCTGACATCCTCCAGCAACGCGAAGCAAGGCACCGGTGGAACCGCGACCGAGGAACGCGACTCGGCGGGCGGGATGCAGAAGGCCAAGGAGGAGTTCCCCGAGTCGCCGGATCCGGCAATTGGCATGCAGGACGAGAGGGGTGGCCGTGGTGGACGGTAGAGGAGCATGACGTTAGGGGACAGAGATGGAATTTTCGCCATGTCTTCTCCCGCTCGTCGATCCTTGGAGTACTTTGTAAAACAACTAGGCTCAACGCATGCGCTGTTGCCACGGCTATCAGAGGAGTCTGACATATCCCTGCCCACCAGCTCACTCCCGCCCATCCTCGCCCTCATACATCCATCTCCCTCCCCCGCCTGACAAGCGCGACCTCCCTCCCACTCCTAGCATCCCGCCTCTCTGCAGCACCGGCTGTATCACCACTAGTCTCTGCTGCCTCCCTCGCCGACCTCTTGCCTCCCTGACCATCATCCGGCCGATCTGCATCTCCACGACATCGAGCAAGTCCTTGAGCGCCTCGACGCGCGAGCTGCCGACTTCAGGCGCGTCTTCTTTGAGTCTGACCCGACGGTATATTGCAAGCATGTTCGACCAATTTGATGCGGGGAAGCTGTGGTCGCTCGCGACAAAGGCCAGGCAGGCAGTGTTCTCATTGCTACACCTAGTGTAACACACACCTTGCAGATCGACGGGAAGCTGCAGCTCAGCTGATCCGAGTACCACTTATCCATGTAGGTCGACAGAAAGGTAGTAGAACTTGAGGTAAAATCGTCACCTCGATGATGGTGCAGTGACATTGAGTGGTATCTATGTAGTAGCTCTGAAGCAAACATCAAAAAACGAAAAGTGAGTGGCCAAAGCCTCGCCTCAGCGAGCTGCCCGAGCGCCGTAATCAAAAGCCATGACAGCTGTGTTCTTCGTGTGCAACGCCAGCGATCCATTGAGGCCGCATATTCCCATACAAAAGTCCAAGAAAAGGTAAAAGGTTACAATGACGCCTCATCATCCTTCGCGCTCGCACTGACGTATCCGTCATCGACCTCAGCAAGCCCGACCAGTGTTTTGCTAGTCTTGAGGCAGTACTCGATGATCCTGGTTCGTGCCTTGTTCGACAAGTTGCCACGTGGACTCGTCTTGCGACCGATCCACATGCGCAATGCAGAAGCGATGCGCTCAAGGCCAGAGCTGGTCTGTGCCTGCAGCGAAGCGTCTTCCATGAAGCGCGTGAGGATCTTATGGCCGGCGACGAAGCTAAGTAGTGTTGTGGTACATTGAGGGAGGAAAGTGTTGTTGACGACGAAGATGGCCCGCTTGTGTGCGCTGTAGTGATGAGATTCAATTAGAGAGAGACATTTCGCCAGTGTGAGTGCTTTGCGAACGTCGACTGCGACCGTACTGTCGCCGACGAGATTGAGGCCGGTCTCGCTGGCCTTTGAAGATGGCGGTGCAGGTAAGGCTTCCAGCGCTTTGGCGATACGAGCATCGCGATCCTCATCAAATACGACAGCGTCTGCAACGAGGGCTCGCATCTGAGCTTGCGAATTGGCAGGTGCAGTCTGCAGAGCGAAGTCGAGGTCGGCAATGGAGTCTGCCTTCTTCGCGGCAAGATGGGAAGCAAGGCCCCTGTTCAAAACGAGACTAGAGTACCATGCTGCGAGTGCGTCAAGGGGCGAGCTGATGGCGAAATCCTCGACGACACCGTCCATAGAAGCATCGAGGGTAGTATTCTCAGCGTTGGGTCGATTCCAGGCCAGGTTGTAAGCTCGCTGGATGATCGATGCAACCAGTACGTCATCGCACTCCCTCTCGATGAGAGCAGCCAGGTGGTCCGGTAGTGGTTCAGCTTCCTTGTCCTTCGAGTTGCTGGCAATACGGTGCTCGCTGCGGGCAGCATTCCAGCAGCTGCGAGCCATCTTTGCACTCAGCTCATCCACCACTTTCCATCCTCCATAGGTAGCGCAAGAGACCTCCCAAAGCAATACACGAATGTGTAGAGCCTTGAGCATGAGACGCGCAGGTGTGTCTGGTAAAGTACCGGAGGCCATAAGGCTCAGCACAAGTCGGCTCTTGCTGATCTCCGCATCGCCACCCGTAAGCTGAGCGTCCAGCGCAATGTTCCATGCCTTGACTCGTGCAATCTCCTGGTCCTTCGTTGTGCCTGTAAGGTACGCGTACCCATCCCAGCCGATGATCCTGCGTGTGCTGAGCTTCAACATCTTGAGAGCGAGTGCTGCGAGCTCGAGGACAAAGTTGTGCTGCGGCACCCAAACGGTCTGAATGGCAGTGAGCCATGCCGAGCGACGGACCTCGACCGGAGACGCGAGTGATGGCGCGGATGTCAACACAAAGGCTGGGACTGTCTTCTTCTTCTGCTTCGGCTTGTGTTCGAAAAATGGAGCAACGATGTAAAAGAAAGCGCCGAAAATGAGCAACAACTTCGCAACGGGTATCTGCGCAGTCGTGCTGCCGAAAGATGTAGTGGGAGACAAGATCGAAAAGATATTGATAGGAAGAGCGAAAAGACCGTGGACGGATGGCTCCTCTTGCGACTGTTCGCGCGACGAGAATCCTTCGAGGATCATCAGACCAGCGAGAGACCCGACCATAAGCTTGCCTATCATTGCGCTGCTTCGGCGTCCGTTGACCATTGGCGGTCCTGACACCGGACGACCATGTCCGGGGTACTGTGGGTATGCGTGGGCGTAGTGTTGTTGTGGCGGCAGCCCTTGCTGCAGAGCGCGGATATTGTCTGGTACAGGTATCATGCCCTGCGGAGGTCCAAGATTCGCCATGGGATGTACAAATGGGTCTTCCTGGAACCTGCTGCCATCGGGCGTGCTGACAGTCCCATGCAGGGTCATGGGCCCTGAAATGGCCATCTTCTCGTAGCTCTCGATGCGGCCCTTCAAAGTCGCAATCTCGTCCGTGAGACGCTTGTTGCGCTTCTCCAGATGGCGAATGTACTCGGTGGCCTTGGAGAGTACTGTAGCCTTGTTTAGTTTGTGTGCAGGCGTGAGACCTTCGAGGTCCTCCGGGTCGTCGTCCTCTTCGGTCCCGTTGGGGCGCGACATGACACGCAGGCTGGGGACGCTGTCGCGCAGCGCGGCAATCTTGTCGTTAAGGTTGGTTCGGTACCGCTTCTCGATCATGTTGTGCGCTGTCTTCTTCGGCGGCTGCGACCCGCCCTTCTTGCTTGATGGTACATCGTCAGAGTCCTCGGTGTCCTCAGTCGACTTCCTCTTCTTCGAGTTTGTTGCAGGCTCGGGCGACGAGTGCGATGATGATGTGCCGTTGTTAAGGGAGCCAGGGCTGTGGTGAAGGCTCGGCGTCGAGGCAGGTGGGCCGGGCTGCGCGAATGCAGTGGGCATGTAAAGTTGGGGCTGCGGCTGGGGCTGCTGCGTCCACGCGGGCGGTGAGTAAAAGCTCTGCTGCTGCTGGGGGTCAACAGTTGAGGGTGAGCTCAGGGCGTGGCCGTTGAAGTCGAAGGCGGCAGGCATGTCGACGGGCCCACCAAAGGTGAAGGGTGCGCCGGCCTGCGAGTACATGGGAGCAGAGGTGGGCACGGCAGTCGTCTGTGCGGAGGTCATGGGCGGCTCCGACTGCTGGGGGTTCTGAGCAGCAGCGGGATTGAACTGCATCCACTCATTCCAGCTAGTGAGGTCGTCGGCAGGCGCGGCGAGCGTAATGTCGTCGCCCGCAGTGGCGAGCCAAGGGCCGCGCATGCCGCCGAAGGGGAAGTTGCTCGACATCATGGGATCCTCCATGCTGCTGCTGTCGCTGCTGTCGGTACCAGTCCTCGCCGGCGACGGCGTGGGCTGTGGGCGATTGGTCGTCGTCTGCTGCTGGGGGCTTGTGTTGGAGCCAAAGTCCGCGACGCAATACGGGCCAACCTGTGTTGCGCCACGTTAGTACAGCGATCTATTGGGACGGAGCGCGGGCGGTGGCAGCAGCACGCACGGCAATTCTCTCCAGCTCCAGTCCATCGTCAGTGATAACGTCAGTAGCCATGAGGTTGAGCGAAAGTGGTACTCTGGTGGGCAGCGAGCAGACTCTCTACTGCGACAGGGACATGGGAGGGAACGACAACAGAAGGAACACAGCTGCCAGCGCTGCGCGTGTGCACAACAATGACTGCTAGACTGTCTGGGAGTGCATAGAAGGAGAAAGGCGCCGTCTTACCAGCAATTGAGCCACAGATCAGGTCACCATGTATCCAAGGCCCTTGAGTGAGCGGGCAGCGACAGCGCTCCAGGATCGCTGCAGTGCACGAACGGGCACGAACGGACCAGCGTGCAGTGACGGCTATGCAAGAGTCGAATGTTTGCAGGGGCCACAAGGGTGCTGTGGCTGCTTCAACTGTTGAAACCGAGCGAATCTGTGAAAGAGCTGCAGTCCGCGGTGGGTAAATGGCCTGATCTTTCGTACGACTTGAGGCAGTGCGCCTAATGGGGCAGGGAGGCAGGGGCTGGCCTGGACTTGAATGGTGCAGAAGAGGAAGACGCCGCTTATTTGAGGAACTGCTGGAGATGCTGCACCGACGCGCCTGAGACACGCCGCTTTCTGGCCTGCGGTCGTGGAGAAGCAAGTTCAATAATGTCGACAAAGGAGGAAGAGATGGGGAGCCGCAGGTGCCATGGCCTGCACAGCGGCCAATCCCTGTTAGCCGCGCTGGTCTGAGCCCACGCCCGAAAGGCGCCGTGAGAGGCCGAGGGTCCCGATGCCGCGCCTGCTGCAGGCCTTATCCTCGTACATAGTGATCATCATATCGGCGGGGTGATGGTCGTTCGTAAGGGCAATGCTCATCGAATCATAAACAGCATTAACCCCCTAGCTCCAATTCAATATGTAACAAGGCACATTCTTGACGTTTGCATGAGTGGCAGTCCGGTTGCCATGTGCATGTCGCGGGAGATCAGCGTCTGGAAGGCGCTGAAATTGGTAGCTTCGCGCCTGCTGAAAACTCCGATGGTCTACCACTCTTTACTCGGTGGAAGCGAGTCACGTGGACCAAGCCTGCCCTGTGACGTCGATTGACGAACATCAAGGCCCGGTAAATCAGATGGAACGCCAGGCTTCAAGCGCATTGTAGGTCGCGTTCGACAATCAAGTCATGAAGCATGTTTACTGTTTACGTAGTTTTGAAGACCACAAATCTTGCCGATGCGAAGACATGAGACGAAAGTCGTACTTTCAGACACAGGCCGAGAGTCCATATCTTCTCAGAAAGTTCCCATCAGATTCAAAACATTACATTCGATGGCTCAATCTCGATTTTGATAGGACGATTGAGGGAGTGGCTTTTGATTTGACTTGGCTGGTACCACGTTACTCTGGAAGCAGCGGAAGCAGATAAGACAATGTGAACGCACATGACGCCCGACGCCCTGCTCTGAATATTTCTAGTTCAAACCAACAACTATGTGGTCTTGATCTTGCCATTTTGGAACAACCAGTAACAGCACACTATGGCAAACAAAGCCCGGTGCCCACATGCATCATGTCGAGATGGTCCTGTGGAGCACAGAGCCTGCATGGGTTGTGCTGTCTTCATCGTGGAACCTGCTGGGAACAGCAGACACGTTCAGGAGAACCTTGTTTTCCAATGATGAGAACATTCGCTGGTGGAAAGTATGTGGACCCCTGTGACAGATGTGGGCAAGCTCTAGTACCGAAGGGGAGATTCCAAACGGAGTTCGAAAGCAACTGTCCGAAAGCTGAGGTGATAGGTTGATGTGATGTGATGCTACGATACAATGCTGACCTTAGGTGTACCCTTGCTGTCCATCTGTCCCACATCTAAGGCATGCAGCCTGTCAGATGTCAGGTCTACCTTCGTAAACCTAACATCTCCTTGCCTAGCCCATCACGGCCCTCCTGTTTCGTGATCTGCTCCGCCGCCTTGACGAGATCGTACGTGATTTCATCGCTGACAACACTGTCCTTCTTGTACTCTGGATGCGTCTGCACGAAGTTCCTGATCCACTTCGCTGCCGTCCAGTACGTGCCGTTTGCCCTCTTTCTAATGAGATCTAGGTACGTCGCTAGATCGCATCTTGTCTCGACATCGACGTTCATGCTGTTGAGGTACGATTCGACTAGTGGGATAAGACCAGGGAAACCTCCCTCTGTTTGCTGGCCGTTGATGATCTCGTTCACGCTCATCTGCTCGTACTCATCTTCGACTGGACCAGGTGTAGGAGGTCGGCTGGGCATGTTGGCGGGCGTCGATGTGCCGGTTCCGTTCGAGCGGCTTGAGGGCTGCGAGGGAAAAGGTGACTTCCTAAACCAGAACTTTTGGCTCGAGACAGCGTCGCGAATATGTGCTATTTCCATGTTCTCTGACACTCGTGTGATAGGGATATAAAAGTTTAGGTTAAAGGATAGGATTGCGCGGGTAATGAGGACGATGAAGATGGAGAAAGCTGCGTTCTCGAAGTCGGTGATCTGAATCTCCATTGGCCTGAACTCGACTCGCCAGCCGATGTCGGATCCAATTGGTGGTGGCTTGAAACGCATGTGCTGCCAGTTGGTGGATTGCAGGTTTTCGAAGTGATCAGCCTTGGTAAGATCGAGCTCATTGAGGTCTTCATTGAAGACAACGATGGGATCTCGGATGAACAGGTGGGCGAAGTGTGTTGCAAGAGCATCATCCATGCCACCTTCAATCAAGCGCTTCTTGAGATTTTCATCGATGATGAGGTCAGGGTCCAGGTACTCTTTCCTTAGACGTGGATCTTGCGAGATGTATGTCGAGTTAGAAGCGTAACGAGACTTGGGAAGTCGCCAACGATTGTTCTTGAGAGGCTGTTTTGAGTCAGCAAATGACCAACGGCATCTCGATCCCGAACTTACCTGTTCGCCCAGCTCTTCTGGCGTACGATCGTCTACCGCCCGGCTGATCTGATTCCAGCGCACATCGGTATCGGCTAGGAAACCCTTGTATACGGGTGTAGCTGCAGTTAATGCAAGAAGGATGGGTCCCAATGGGCTGAGCTGGTCATACATTGTCCGCCCCTCGTCGATGTTCTTGGCTTGGAAGGTAATTTGAAGACAGCAGCTGCCCATACCAAAAGCCATGGCATCCATATGAATGAAGTTGTCTGGCGCAGCACCATTTCGAACGTCGTCATCCTCGGGCCAATTGTGAAGATCATAATTAACAGTTGGGTCCTTCCACGGCCAGGGTGTGTTCTCGTCCTTGAAGACAGGTACGTTCACCTGCACCTTCCTGCCTCTGCGCCAGCGGATGTTCGCCGCTAATGTTGGGAAACGAATGTGAGGGTTGGCAATCTCGTCCGGGACAAACTGAGACCTCAACTTTGGGCCTGAGGGCGGGTAGTCTGGGACTAAGGTGTCCTTGTTGCCAAGCCGAGGGAAGGTTGTCAGGGTAATGGGGTACTCATTCGCCTCCATATGCTCCTTGGCGATCTTCCGTCTGCGAGAACCCGGTCAGAAAGTACAATGAAGGCTTCTTGGGTCACATACCTCCACTTCATGTTGGGCTCTACATCCAGTAGGTCTTTGAAGCCAATACCCCATGGTTTCCCGGGGGTTGCTTCGAGCATAAAGCGTCCAAACTCGGGGTGAAAGACTGGCGCAGGATTTGCTATTCCTCTACTCTTGTTAGCGTGATCTCTGGCCTTGCAAGGTAGGCCTACTTGGTGTCGCCGGTTTGCACATCAGGTACACCTCCACCTTCGGCAAGAAGCCTTTCATCCGTAGCCAACGCCGTGAGAATGTCGGCCTGCCGAAGTGACAATCGAACTTTGTGGTTATTCTGATCATAGCAAACCACTAGATACTCGATCTTGCAGCCGGTCAGTCCATGTCTGTAGCGCTGTCTGGTCGATGGTATACCTCGTCTCCCCACAGCAGTGCATCTCTTTCCTTGCCCCTGTAGTCTCGCCAGATTGCCAACAGTTGCTGCAAGCCATGTTAGCAATGCTATCATCCATAAGACTATTCCAAGCGCACTTCAATACCCCAAGATCTCACATGACTGGCGACCTTCTTAGCTTCAGGCCACTCGAGGGGCGTACCAATAGCACTTTCCTCGTATTAGCACCTGCAAATAAAGCTGACCACATGTCTCTCACAGTAGACCCATCCCGTCAAGAAATCGGATAAACGGTTGGTCCGCGGGCGTGAAAGAATGGTAATAGGTGGTTTTGCGCACTCACTTGCCCCTCCTTCCGGAAGCACGACAGATTTGAGAGTACGGTAGTGGGGCACAAGTCGCTCAAAGTGGGAAATTTGCAACAACAGGCAAGGCGAGGCTACGTCCGCGGTGCGCTCAAGATCGTCACGAACAAGCAAGAATCGTGATGACGGGAATCTGAGGCGCCAATATCGAACGCTAGGGAGAAGGGCAGCTAGAGCGGGTGTGTCTGGCTGACAAATGCAAGAGAACGTTCTTCGGCACGCCGGCGATGACCCGAACGACGTGTTTGATCTAGCACCATGAAAACAACATCATCGTCTTTGTCGAAGTTATCGTGCTGTCAGCCAGGTGGCTGCATGCTGGGTCGTAAGGTTCCTGGATACAGGAGCGCATCAAAAGTGCAATCATATGAGTGAGCACATACATTTTGCGCTTGTCCATCTATTCGCTTCGACCCAATGCGGCCTCGTTCTCCAGATACCTCAACCTACAAAAACAGGCGTCAAAATGCTAGATCTCTTGAAAGATCAAGAAAGTATCTGAGGACACAGGCTGTAGGATGTTATCCTCGATTGCTGATGCATGAGCTCAAAAATCTAACCCCAAATGCTAGATTGGCTTACCTCAATGACCACTGACCAGGCCGTCCATGCAAGAGCAAGGAGGCAGCCAGCGTCTTGCATACAGACTGATGCCTATCCATCATAAACGTTGAGCGTCCATCTCCGTCCTTCACCATTCACAGTACACGTGTGTATGCCCAGTGTAGCCGCGCGCGAACGCCTGTTCCCTGAACAATCGAGGGGACCCAATATTAGGCGTCCTTGAACTCAGATTCCCATCCCCAATCCCCTTGCGTCTCAGCAAAACCTTCAGTACGCAACACAGCCTACTTCGTAAGCTTCAACCTTCTTCCATCTCGCAAAGTCCATACGCGACCGTCATGAGCGGTCCGGCACGCTCCAAGCACCCCCAGCGCGCCACTCCAAGTGAGAGCCACCAGCGCGCCGCGGCAAGCAGCTCCGCGTTTAAGTTCAGCATGCCCGGTACTGCCAGCCTCTGCGCCACGGATGTCGATCGGGTGATATTGGACTTGATAATCGGTGATGGCAAGTGTTCGTGCCGTACTACCGCATCTGTCCAGTTGCATAGTATCTGGACATGACGATCTGAGATCCGTTGGTACGATAATGTCCGTCTCCAGTATCGCGGGATATCGTCAATGTGCCTGTGTACCCACGAGTAGTGTAGGTGCCCGGTAGTGACTGTCGTGCACCTGGTCTTGTGCAGTGATGAGTCGAGAGCAGTGTTGTCCTGTACGCGCCCATCTCGGCTACGTGCATGCTTGCTAAGTGGGACAAGCAACGGTTGCGCAAGGTTCCTTGATCAGATCTTGCTCTGTGTCACAATGGACGCCAGAAGTGGCCTGACAGCTTCGTCTTTGTGCTGCCTCCCGCGAAACTTGCTGTATTTGTTTGACCCTGCGCTGAAACATACGAACGCATTGCTCGATTCGGCGGACTCCACTCTAAGTTTCTCATCACGATGCGGATGAACGATGCATAACAGGTGTAGTGTAGTCTCAAATACTATAGCAATCATATTGCTAGGCCTGAAAGCCGCATGGTGGTATCTCTGCAAATGACAAACTGTCTGACGTATATGGCACTTCTAGTAAAGTGCAGGTCACACAAGGATGCCTTGAAACACAATCCTCTTGCTCTGTGGCAAGTTTTCGACCTCAAACGCCAGCTTATGAAGGTCCACCCTGGTAGGGGACCGTGTGCGGGGGAAACGCCGTGGACCAGTCGTGGGGCCTAGCAGCCCTGCACGTGTGCCAAAATGCATCGCTGGTGTAAAACAGTAAAAAGAGAACTCAGATCGCCCATAGTTGCTACAATCCTCCAAAATGGTCCTGGCATTTGAGGGCATGAGTGCGGAAGCGTCTTGCAACGCTTACTGCAATCACATAACCCTCTACACGACTAGGTCGGCTGTCCAATTCCACCGGACGTAATCGCACTTCTTTCTGAGCTCGCGTGAGATGGCGTAAATCGCTAATAAGATGCTCTAGTCATTAAAATGTGAAGGCTTTGTCTCTGATAAGACATCCTGTAAATGCGACTGTAGGAACCGTGCGCCAACGCTTCAATGACAAATTAAGAGATGCTTGCAATGCTAGCGAGAGATGTAAGGAGAAGCCGGGCGTTTGTAACGTCAGTCTGTTCGGGCAATATATCGCGTGAAATCAATCGGTCCAAGTAGGATCGATATTTCGATAGGGCGGGACGTAAGCTATCCAGGGTGCGCAGAAAGCTCGAGCTGGATCGATCGTTGTTGCGGGCATCCTTTCTCACACGGCTGGGGAACCATGGTCGATTGATTTTGGCCGCAAGTTAGAGCTTGTCATGGCATCCTTGCCAATCTTTCTGGTCAATTTTGCGTAGTCTGATGTGAGTTAGCAGTTGAATGTCGAAGTGGTGGAGTGTGACATACGAAGACCGCAAGCATTGCACAAGGTTCTAGCACCGTCAGGGCCTCTGCGCCACTCTGGTGTCTCGGCACGATTGCAACTGTGGCACCGGCCAGGAGGAGCGGCCCGCTTTGTTGGAGTTAGATTGACATGGACTGGAAAAGAGTTGCCTTTGGTACTTACACCTCGCTTCCGCGTCTTGTTATCAGCGCCGGTGAAACCACCACCACCTTTCATGTCATCACCGTAGTTGCTTGACGTCTCGTGATCGTATCCATTGGCGCGTCTGTAGTGCGATTGTTGAGGTGGCTCGGCTAAGCTCGCTTGCTGGTGATTGAAGACAACGTCTCTCATTCGCTGGAGAGACATTTGTACTCTGTCGCCTTGCTTAATCATGTCCTCAATGTCTTCCAATCTTGGTAATGACTGAGGAGTCATGCCGATACGTTGGGTTTCATGTGCTCTTTGACGGTACATCTTAGAGAACTCTGAGATGCGTCCACAGCCGTCGGCCATCTTAGAAAAGTCAGCAAAGAACCCCGTACGGAGATCAGCTGATACATACCTCGTTTAGAGACGCCTCGAGATCGAAGCTATCCAGATGACGTTTGACAGACTCTCCGTAAGGAGCTAGGCTGGTGCGGTTGAGCTTCTTCTCTTCAAGACGAGACTCGGTGTTGTCACGCAGTGACGTAGGGTAGTAACGAGAGGGTGGGGGATAGGCCGAGGTTGAAGCGGGATATACTGCGGATGGTCCAGCTGAATTAGGGGCCGACGGCGGATAAGATGCGTACTGCGGCTGCGAGTAGCCATATTGATGATTCAAAGATTCGGCTGGCGGAGGAGCAGGAGGCTCATAAGCCGGCGTCGGCGCTGGCGGATATGAAGAGTATGGCGGGTTTGGTCGAACAATAGGGGGCGGCGGCGACTGCGTCGTCTTGATGGGGTGCAGTGATGGCAGCCTTGAGTTGTGCTGCAATGTCGAGTAGGTACGTGGCTCATATGGTGGTCGTGCTTCCTGGGGTGGAGGTGGGGGTGGCACTTGAGAGGCAGGCGCACCGATGAAAGGACTCCGAGGATGCGAGAATGGGTTAGCAGGTCCTTGGGCGCTGTACGAATCCGGCTCGAATGGTCTTTTGCGTGATTCTGAGGGTGACGTATTCACGGAGACCCGTGCATAGTGTTGAGGTGTTGGTGCCGGGGCAGAGGGTGGAGGTGGGACAGGTCCAGGGTAGGGCAGCGATTGCTCTGCTGCCAGGGCCTCAGATATCGATGGCAACGACTGCCATGCCGCCGGCTTGTAAATATCCTTCTCGTCGCCAGAGGTCCTGCGTGATTCCGGGGGCGATAGCAGACCAGCAAGCGAGCCGGGTACTGCGCTGGCGGGCGGGGATTGGTGGGAGCCGTGCAAATGCGACGGCCCTGAACGAGGGTGCAACGGGCTGATAAGGGACTGTGCCGAGAGCTTTCGCTGGTATTCACTCTCGTCCCGCTTAAACCTGTTGGTATCCATGTGGTTTATTGAGGGAAGGCCGACACTGTGGCAGCACTATTAGCGGATGGTAATCACCAGCATGGCAACGTAAGCCTACCTTTGCCTGGTGGCATCTGGTGCCTCCATAGGAGATTAGGACGAGCAGCAGCGCTCTTTTGGCGATGGTACAGCGTTGAGGGTCGACAGGCGGGGATTGTGGGTATGTGCCTTCCCGCACAACGTCAACGGCGCGGAGACTGATCGACCGTTCCTTCCCCAGCAAACAACTCGACCAAGCAACTCCCTCCCAGTCCGTCTCAGAGGTTTGTTGTCGCAATTTCTAGTCTTTCAAATAGCAACACAACCGAAAATAACGTTGGACCTGTCGCTGCAGTTTCCTTCCTTCACGATAATTTGCGGTGGAAAAGTCGACAGATACGGAGGCAAGCCGGCCATGCAAGTCGATTGTGGTGCTCCTTCTGGCTGGTGGTGGTGGCTGACGTAGTGTCGCAGGCACAACGGCGGGGAGGGGTCGATTCGGGCGAAACACACACAACAGCTGCGCTTTTCAGTCCTTCTCTTCAATGCGCAGTTTTCGTTCAAATGGGCGGCGACGGCGTCTCGGGTGGTGTGAAAGAGCGTTCGACAAGTGTGACCTGGGCAAAGGCGGCGACAGCAGCTAGTCCCGTGATCTGATCTGACAGTTCGGTCGATGCGTCGATTCGGATCTCAGCGCCTGGTCTCGCCTGCAAGCATGGTGTGAGAGGGAAACGAATAATGCTGGGGCACTGACGGCTAAAGCAGATGCAATCGGAGATGAACCGTCCCGGCAGCGAGTAATCGCTAAGTGTGACGAGCTTCTGCAGTGAGCGTGCAAGGATGTTCGACACCAGCACATATGATGTTTGCCCCCGGCACGACGGGGGCGGTCAGCGCTGCCTACTGGGCAATGATTCTCCACAGCTCCAGCAGCCTCCCCAAAGCGTCGAGTAGAAAGGCAAGGATATGCGGCACGCGAATCTGCCCTTGCAAGACCTAGCTCCATCGGTCGCACTCGCCCCTCAAAGCAGCGCAGCACGCTTTCTCTGGCTTGGGATCCGCGCCCCTGCCCACCGCAAGTGTTGTGAGCCCAGCGCCCCTCGTGCACAGTCCTGGCAATTGCTGGCACTCGCAGCCCGCAAATCTCTCCGCCTACACAAACTGGCGCACGTTTCTGGATTTGTTCACTTTCTTTTCTTTCGATCCGCAGCCGTTGCGGCAGAGGGTGGGCATCGCTGGCTACATCCGCGCCAGTAGTGACGCCGCAGACACGAGGTGAGATTGGTCCATACCACAATAGGAACAGCCCGATAATATGGGACGAATCAACGATCGCTGCGATCGAGATGGCAGCCGAGCGACCCACCGTACACATTATGGGGGTTTTGCACCCACGTTCGTCTGTCATCCTTTGCTCGGCAACAGGCCATGTCAACCAGAATGCGTCCAGTGCCACCAGTGTAGGGTCTGTGATTTTCGCGGTCACTACAGGTGTTGCCCACGGCAGCCACCGCACGTTGGGCAGCAATCGCCTCAATGCACGGTACCTCGCCTAGCCACATGGAACCATTCGCAAACTCGGCGCTATCGGGAATCGCCATGTGCAGTGGTGCTGCTCAATCTGAATCGGCCGCGGCACGATCAAGATTGATATTAGCGGGGGCGGCGGACGGTAAGCCGACCATTCACCGTTGCGGAAGAGCTTTGCTCGTCGCCTTCTGAGTCGTGCGTAGGAGCTCCGCTATCGTCGTTCAAGCGAGCAGGTCAGGCCACTTTAACCAGGGAATCCTAAACGCTTCCTCAAGGCTGTGGAACCGCTCGGTTACGTCAGAACACCACATGTGACTTGTGGGCCTGTCGAGGCATCATTCCTGCTTCAGCACATTTTGCACGACTACCTATGTACAGCATGTGGGCACGGTGGGCCACCAGCATCATCGCAGGATATGGAACGCGGTTGTAAGCGATGCTGGGTGCTCTTTCACAGATCGTGGTTCATTCCTGCTCGGCTGCGCGGCGCGCTGTCAGGCAAGTTTGGAACGTGAGCAAGTGGTACCGACCCAAGGATCTTTCCACGGTACCGACAGCTTATTCGACGATTAGTTAGTTGCATTCACGCTACTATTCGGGAGTGCAACGTCAAAATATCGATTTTCAGGTCAATGAGTCGTCCATTTGTTGGCCGTGCAGAATATCCCAATATCTGAAGCAAACAACGTTACAAGTCCAACATGACTAGCGACCATCAAACGTCCGATCAGATGATCGTAATACATACGTGGGCAGCGTTGGCCTGGAAGCGCTGCACGATTTTCTTTATCCCTCGAACATTATTGCGGCTTCCAAGGCTCCGGGATGCACAGTGCAACCTCGTGCGACGTGCACTCACACACAAAATTACGACGATTACCGCGAACGACGGCTTAATGCATCGCTGCCACATCGACGTGATCTGGTCTGATCTCTCAAATGCTTCACCTGAAGTACCACAAAGCTGGCAGCTATTCATGTCAAGGACGTAGCAGAAGCACCGACGCTAGATCTGTGGCTTACATCTAACGTGGAACCTGCATGGAATCTTCCGTGGCACTATCAATTTTCGTTTACGCTCTACGATAGTAATCTCTCTGTGATGGAGATCATGTATTATTACATGTGCGCTGACTGGCTTTCTATCTACCATTCGACAGTCGCATCTCTCGTGCTACGTGGCATGCGCTCCGCGTGCACGCGACATAGCATGGGGTCCAGCACGGCTTTTCCCTAAGCGAACACCAGAAGAGCTCGAGGCGCGTCCTGTTATAACTCGGTCAATATGGGGGTTACCCGCTCACGGCATCGTACCCAATCAAATTCTACGATCCAGCTATCATGCAGGACTCCACCTCAGTATAGCGGTGCGAGGTACTAATTGCGATATGTGTTAACATCAGACGTTTCAAACTTCGGACTTCGCCTTTCGAGGCTGACTGTTGTTGCACAGCAAGTTCCCAAAAGCAATCACGTCTGTATATGCATGATCTACTCCATGGGAAAGAAAGATGGCATTGTCAGAGTGTGGTTCAACATTAAACAGGATTTGACTTCGCGTCGTGCTTGATACGCTTGCTGGGACGATCCAAAGCCTTCCTGTCTTACGGACCATCACTCCATATCTGAATGAACGACACTAGCACGAGGCTTCAGTTTCGAACACCGTCGTCGGGCGCACAAGAGGAAAAACAGCCTGCAGCTCCTTGCCACTGCCGCCCACGCTCTTACTGCGAGTGCCCCCTAGCCTCGCAGCTACTGCATGAAAGCTCTACCTGGTTCTTCTGGTGACAAGTCTCTTGAGCGAAATACCTATTCACAAAGGTGCGTGCAACAACTCAAGTGGCCCGAGCAACCCGAAAAGGCTCCGTATTCCCGGGTATGTTGGAACACCGTGTTTGCGATAGGAGCGAAGCCCTGCTCTTCCAAATACCGGTACACACATTCTCCCGACACGGCGCAGTCGACTGATCAGCAACCATAAGAGGATTCGATCTATGTATGTATTCACATGATGGTGATTGCTGAAACAAGGTCGGCTCGACTTCAACTGCCATCTACTGTACCAACTCAGAACGGATCTCGATCTCGATACAAATCACACCTTGTTCCTCTGCGCGGACTCCATTCCCAGGTAATGGAACACGAGCAACGACCGAAACAGGTGTATTCCCGTGCGGCGAGGCGGTGCATGTCTTATAGCCCCAGCTCACATTCTATGTACGCGTGCGTCGCACGACACTGCTGGAGTGAGCCGTTCGACTGCTTGAAGGTATTTGATAAATTCGCAATGACCAGGGCAGGCGAAGATGCCTCGACCACCTACAACTTCTTTCTGGAAAATATCGTCCTATCCGCGACCGTTATGGTAAGGATTCTGCAATGTCGAGGCGTAGTGATCTTTGCGCGCGGCACGAGAAAAAGAGATATCGTTTTACCGGCCTTCAGGGTCCAAGGCAGCAATCGACAAGGCGAGCATGGTCCACATCCTTTTGGGAGCCGAAAGCTGGTGATCCTCATCAGCATCCCCCTTTTTCTGCTCTAGCCGTCCGTTTTGGGCTTTAGCGAGCACAGTAGAGCACCCGCATTGCAGCAAATCACCACACCGACTTTCAGATGCGTTTGCCGCTATCCTCTCCTGGCACCCCTCGGATTCCTTGACAGGTGTAGCATACGGTCGAGTGGTCACATGGCGGCCTGAGCATGCCTACGTCGTTCGCTGAGGCTGCGTCGGAAATCATGGCACAGCAAGCATTCTGTGCCGCTGCGTCAAGCTGGCCTTGTCCTGGAGTTCACTGAGCAACAAGGTGGCACAGTTGACACGCCCTTCCCATGGCGGCAGCAGTCGCGCGTCTGTATTGGCCAATATCTGCGCAGCCCAGAGGCTACCGCAGCTCGTGCGCAGAGTAACGCCGATCTCGACCTGAGGCAAAACAAATCCACCGCGACATTGTCTCAACGACCGTTGTCGTATCATCGACAGCGCTGACGGAACTATCAAGCCGGTGAGCGGTACAGCAATAGCCGCTCCCATTGCTATGGAACGTGAAGAAGTTCTGATCATTAAGACTGGTCAGATCCATGTGTTGCACATTGGTCAGCACAACAATCACGATTGTTCTGCAGACAATGACATGGCAATTTGGAAGCTCAAGTTGTTTCATAATAGTCCTTGCCATCGCTCGTTTTGAAGTTTTGTTCACGGCGTGGCAGCTTGCCGTTTGACAGCCTTTCATGCATGTAAGCTGTTAGAAAAGACAGTTTACTACACACGTCAGTCTGACCTATTCAGCTTTGCATTCTAACATGCACAGGTGACACGACACAGCGACCTTATTTCGGCGCTTACGAGCATACTCCAAGCGGACTTTGACGGTTCCGAAACTGCAATCATTACTGTTTTTAGCTCTGAGAAGGATCGCACTGCTGATCCGCGACGAGGGTTGAGCTGCAGTAAGCAATACATGATCCTTGTGATGCACAGCGCATCCATTCTTCGGGGTCTTCTTATAGTCCATTATACCTGCAAAGATCCATGTGAAACCAGGATACAAGTCGATTTGTCTTTGCACTTTCTTTTGTCTCGTGGCGGATCACCCGACTCGCGCCATACAGTATTTTTTCCTCTGCGCCTCTGTTGCCACGGCTGAACGTCCCTTGTTGCGCCGCCACCACCCGCACTCCATTTTTGCTTCTTCTGCACGCCCCGCATGTCAAGTTTTGGGCCGCATCCGAAGGCACGAAGGATTGATGTGCTGGAGCCTTGGAGGTACAACGGGAGCGGGCGGAGGTGAGTACCCATGCGGATCGGCAGGAGTGACATCCGCTCGACCTGAAAGAGTCTGCAGACTCCACAGGACAGCAGGTGGCATATGACAGGGTCAAACACCAAGGACCTAGACTACAGATTCTCCAATTCCGACCTTTGGGCTTTTGATGTAGTGGTAGTCGATCTTCTCTAAGCTTTAGCGCCTCGAACCCTGCCGCTTTTGGCAACAAGAACGGCAACGTATCTCGCCGTAAGATCGTGTCGTTAGATCCCCCATCGCGCAAAGTCATCTAATCGCCAGGAACACAGATCGTGCACCTGATCGCGAGGGGCACTGGACCAAATTGCGGTGCTCGGTAGGGCTGGTACGCCAGCTGAACGCGAATTCGAGTCTTGTCCTGGCGGTGTATCAATTTCACTTTACTCAGCATCCGCCGAATTGGGCTTGCAAATTATTTCCGCTGCGGGATCCGATGATCTCGATTGCTCAAGTTTAGAACCTGCGCGATGAGCAAAGTCACAGTACACAACGTTCCGGAAGTTGCCTTTCGGCGAATGACAAGGTTGATCCAATGTGGCAATAAGGGCGACACTATTGATTGGTGGCCCAGTGCCCAGAGATAACGCCACTGCTTCATTCCGCAGGGCGCATTGCTGCTGATCTCTTAAGATGCGGGGTGAGATCGCCCAACGATCTGGGTGTTTCGCCTCGGCCTGTGGTTCAGATCTGATGGGCTTCTCCAGTGGCATGACATGTCGATAATCTTGCGAGCACAGCACAAGAGGTGACCTCCGAGAAGCCTACGATAAATTGGCGAGTGACAGTGGACACGAGGCCTATGTCTGGGATGAGTCGTTCTTCGTCCCATTACTTGTCGAGCGCGGCAATACAACTTCCGAAATGGGACCACACGTAAGACCACTGAGAACCTCTTAAAGATTTTGTCTTTGGTCGACTGGATTACCTGAGAACAACGATTCTGCATTCGAGGATCTATCATGATGGTCTGAACCAGAGACGATACCGCGTTGTCATTGTTGTCGCCCTTTACCTGTCCCCTTTGTGAAGCCTCTTGAACTAACGACGACAAGAAGAATGCGGGATCTCCCTCTCTCATCACCATCTCGAAATGTTTCTACTCCAGAACAAATCCAAACCCATGTCGTTCTATGTCTTTCGTTCTGCAACCCCTGACTCGACACGCTTGCGTGACCCTCTGGATGTTTGGAAGACTCAAACTTCTTATATCTTACAGCAGCTCACCAAAGTTTGCACCTCTGAAATGCAATACCAAACAGCTTCGTCGATCATTGATTGTCGCTGACATCAATCGTTCGATTTCGCATATTATTCCAAAAGGCTACCTCAGATATGCCATGTCTCTATGTGACATTGATCAACTTGTGCAAAGTATGTCCCACTCCACGTAATTTTTTCAAGGCCGAATTACAGATGACTCTGAAAAGAACAGGGAGCTTGGCTGGTCTGCCTATTCTCTTAGTTTATGCTTATGGAATTTTTCAATATGCTTCCGATCCACCTGTTGAAGAAATACCCGAAAGTTTCTGACGAAGCTTTAGTGTTGTTCTGCAAATTCAAGACTAAACACCCATGACTGCTCTGCCCCAGTGTCGCCTTATAACGTTCTTCTGCCCAACGGTTTGGTCAGGACCACAGTCATTTAGGCTTTCCGTTTATCGAAATGGATGAGGCTCATGGTGGTGATCTAGCCAAAAGGGTGAGCGGAGCTCTTCATGCATATCCTTACTGAGAGTTTCCAAACTCAAGACACCAGCATGGTAACCTTGCTAGCCAACTCAAACGACAGTCGGTCTCTATCAAACGGCTTGAGGGACAACATATCCACGTATGGGCAGACAATACCTTCTGCATACTATCTGGGAAATCTTCAAAATGGGCTCGTGGTGTATAGGTCTGACCAAGATACGCAAACGACAAGTAGGCCATCTGCCGTCTCTCTATTTCCATTTTATTCTCGAAATAGTTATCGACAGATGCATGCCTGTCGCTGTTGTCTGAACTGAAAGACAAACATAGAGCGAGACGATGCGATGTCGCGCACTCATTAAATCTGTATACAAGTACCTAAGTTCCTTCTTCTCCCTCGTCGGCTCTCCCCTCACATACTTGATTGGAATCCAAGAGTAGTAGTTCCATGGACCCAAAAGGCTCAGCTACATAGATGCGTTGCTCCCTACCTGAGGAGCAAAAGCTGATCATTACGGTGCAAGATGCTCGATTATCGCTGCAGATGGAGAGTGATCGAAAGTAACGATCGAGGGCTGCTGTACTTTGCTAAAACACCGTCTGGAGCTCAATTGGTTGTGTTGAAAGACTAACAATGGCTCCGAACTGCTTCACACGAAGGTGTTTTGATTAATTGTCCGAAAGAGGATTGGGGAATGCGCATGCTGGCCCCTATTCTGAGTTCCCGAGAAGACTATGGCAGGAAATGATGCATTGTTAGCGCAATACTTGCTGCTGAATTCTTCTTTTTTCCTGCGGAGACATCGTCGACGTTCAGGCTTCTCCGGGCCAGATCTCGTCTGCTACCTCCCGTACCAGCTGTAACTTCTTCTTCATGCCATCGATGTCAATCAGGTTTCCCTCTGCGTGACTTGCAAACCCACACTGCGGACTAACGCCCGTCCTCTTCAGCGCCTCGTCCCTCGTCTCCCCCTGCCCCTTGGCTATAACATCTGCAGCCGCATAGATCCTCTGCTTCAACTCCTCCTTATCCTCTAACTTGGGGAACTTGCTCGTTACGACGCCCAAAATAACATTCTTGTTCTTCGGCAAATGTGCTAGCGGCTCGAAACCACCAGCGCGTGGGGTATCGTACTCGAGGTAGTACGTATGTACGTTCATGTTCTGGAACAGCTTTGTAGCAATCCGATCGTAGCCGCCTTCACTGAAGTGACGCGAGTTGACGAAGTTGCCGCGGCAGAGATGCACGCCAATGTGCATGTCTGAGGGCACCTTGGAGATACAGTCGTTGTACAGCTGGATGTAGAGATCGAAGAGTTCATCGGCGGAGACTGTGTTGTTCTTGTCTGCTGTCCAGCCGGAGAGCATATTTTCGGAGCAGAAGTCTGTCAAGATAAGCTGTGGTGTTGAGGCTGTGGAACAGGGGGTACTTACACGCAAGATTTGGATCGTCGAATTGTACGTTTCTCAAACCGACCTTGTATAGGATATCGAGCTCGACTTGATACGCCTTCGCAACATCCACGAAGTACTCCGTATCGTTCACGTACACATCCTTGGGATACGCCTTCCCATCTACATACCTTAGGTGGTACCAATTTGGCGCAGCGAGCGTCAGCTTGATATCACCCCATCTCTCCTTTGGCAACAGCGTCTTCAAGTATTCAACCTGAGACACATATGTACTCTCTCCGGTGTGCTTGATCTTGCCCGTGCAATATACGCTCTCGCCCGGCTGGTGCCCGCTTTCCAAGAACGCCGCAATGTCAGGCACGTATGTCCTAAAGGTATCCAGCGGTGGGTTCTGCACTTCTTCCATGCCCTCTAGTGTCGGCCAGAAGGTGCCCCAGAACATGTGCCGGCGATACTCGCCATCGCTAATGCCGCAGAAGCCCAGATCGAGCTGTGTCTTGACGATATCCTGGATCGCTTTATCTTCGAGAGGCGCGAGCTCGGCGGAAGACTTATGCTCTTTGTAGCGCGCGTCGAGAAGGTTCTGCGGGCGCTTAAGGGAGCCGAGGTGCTCGGCGCGGAAGGGAGGGCTGCGGTGCAGAGCGAAGGACATGACGAGCTTGAAATTCCGGGAACGGGCGACCACGCCTAGTGTAGTTCTTGACTGTATAATGCAGTTGGCTGATAGAAGAAAAGAAGTTGATGCTCAGGAACTGGTTCTGAGGAAGCTCTGGAGCCAGGTCCCCGTCTAGAGCTCTTCTAAACTACCCGCCTCATCAATTGATTCGAACTTCGCCCGGCATCGCTCGTATCGGTCCGAGTCGTCGCTTTATAAGTGCTTATAAGGTTCTTGGTCATACCGGCAGTTGCAATGGCTGCATCGTAGACGCGCAGCGAAACAAAGATGGAGGCTGCTTGCCCCGCATTCCCCGCCTTTTCAATGACGTAGACAGATGTTCACAGACTGTGCGTATATGGGGATATTGATTGGTAGATGTGCCTCTAATGACTTTAAGGGACGGGACGGTATATGTATGTGCAACGCAGTGAGCACCATGGTGGTAGTACAAAGAGGATCGGATTGTAAGCGTGGAACGCGCAATGTTGCGTCGGCACCAACAGCCATCAAGCAACATCACACATGAAAATCAGCGATCAGAATATATGCGTATGTCATAGAGATTTCGGTTCAGTACATGGTGGTATCATGATGCTACGAACGTGTCGTAGGAATGTCCAGAGGTGTTATCTGGCCAATGTCTCGATGCCTGCCCGCACAACACATGCATGGAGATGAGAAGGTATTACAAAGGAGCACTCTCGCGAGCGATAAAGGAGCAAGTACCAATGATCGTAAGACGCACAGAAAGGCTCGCGGTGATGACAGCCGGCCTCAAACATGCTCCAGAGCGATCTCTTCATGGCGTACAGCGTACTCGCGGTCGATATGAATATCGTAGTCGCCCATTCTCCGCTTCCCAGCAAAACCACGCCCTGAAAGATCAAGGTCATCGCCCTTCTTCGTGTAGCTGCAGGTGGAGCAGCTCGTCTGGTGGCTCTTGTCGAAAGCGGTGATGCTGTCGGAGGTCCCTGCCGCAGAAGAGCCTTGGCCCGACTTGCTGTTGATCAGGTGGTGATGAGCGTCGTAGCTTCGGTAGGCGATGGTGGAATCGTTGGCGACACCTGCCCAGATGGCTGACAACGGCAGAAAAATGCAGAGGCTGGTGATCACCAGAGCACCAATCTCGGGCACCTCATCCAGAACGGGCTGATAGAACTGGAGCGCCGATAGGACAGCTACTTTTGTTAGCGTAGTCAACATCACATCGATGGAAGGCCTACCTGGAACGGTCATGGTTTGGCAGCCCATGATGAAGACAATCTGCATTGGTCCGAATTGCAGCATCTTGAGACGTCGGCGCTGAATGATGGCATGGCCTAGCTTCCAGGTAAAGACGCAGCTGTAGAGAATGACGGCCACGGCTTGTGTGATCCACGAGTAGGCGCTGACCTTATCGACTCCGCGATTGACGAGTTGCACAGTTGCGATGTTGGAGAAGACCATGGAGGCAAACTTGATGCCAATGGAGACCAACGCCGTTGCGGTCGTGATGCCCATGATGATGAATCGTTGCAACTTGCTTGTCGTAACGCAAGCCACCCAAACTTGAAGGCTGAGTGAGGCCATGACGAGTGTCGTGACGAGTACGCTCAGGACGTTGCTAGTGACTGAGAAGGCGACATCTTTGGTAGAGGCACTGTAAAAACCCGACATGAGGTCGTAGGGATGCATGAAGCCGCCGGTAAGGAAGCAGGCCGTGAAGATGCAGCGCCAGATGTTGAGGAAGAGACAGAGAGCGTTGAGAACGAAGATGGCAGACTTCTTCTTCTTGGAGCGTGTTAGCAGGAAGAGGATAACCAGAAGCGTAAACGAAGCTCCAATCTGGGCGCCGTAGCTAATGCCAAATCGAGCCGTGTACAGCCGAGTCGAATTCAGGAAATCCGTATCGCTGTATATAATAGACCCATCTGGAGCATATATGGTCAGGTTCTGGTGTTGAGGGTTGAACGTCGCAGGGTCGAGCGGCGCCAGAGCTGCCGCTGGTGCTGTTTCTGCCATGGCGAAAATGGTAAATGAGCTTGAACACGTGGAAGGTCTGTGGGATTTCAAAAATGCAAAAATCGTTCCAGGCTGAAGTAGCTCGATGCTCAAACAAGAGGATGCACTGGATAAGCCAAAGGGATGAGTTGTAGAAGGGTCCAGACCGAAAGTCGAAAGATTGAAAGTTATGGGAGGAATCGAAAAGTTGGCAAATCGTTGATGGAGGAAAGAAGAAACGTAGGCTGCAAGCTTGAGAAGAAGTACTCAGTCGGGTCTGAAGCACAATATCTGCAGACTCACAGTCGATTTACCTTGAATCTTCAGCTAAGCATTGTCGACGACCAGAACTAATGACCAGTCGACAATAGTAGCTACAGCTGCTGCTTTGCAATTGTGATGAGCTGCCTATACCCGTCTCTTCGGCGAGATCATGTCTTCGCCATCACTTTCACCTCAGACACCCCAGACCTTACTATTGTTCTCGCGCCGTCTTCACCTTCTAGTATGGATAGCTCAACTCACAGCAAACGCCGTGGAGCGGTACGCACCCAGTGCTGTGGGAAAGTCATGTATTGTGTCTCGCGGGAACTGGTAGAGGCAGCCGTAATACGGTCAAAGGCTGGTACATATGCTCCTTTCGGGTTTGAATTCTCAGTTGCAAGATAGCGTGGCCGAGCTTACTATTATTCTTCGAAGCGCAAAGACCCACTTTATGAGACCCCTCGCCGGGATCCTTGCCGGGCGATTGGAAAATCCCCGACTCAATGAAGCACTACCCGGTAACTATGTAGGGCTGATGATGGGATGTCCTCCATAGAACCAGTAAGGAGAAAGATGGTTGTGACGTGTAGCAACGAGAGCGAGAAAGTCGCGTCTGGCTCAAGATGGTTAGCGTGGTGCTACCGGTACCGGTACCCAAATTGCAGCTTCCAAGCCCGTGACACCGCGTCGGCGAACGCGCCTTGCCGAGCTGCCACCACAACGCGTTTGCCTCAATGCCTTCGATCTGAGATCCCGCAATGCTGTGCCTGCAGCTACCCATACCTACGGGTGAGAGCCTCAAAGTTGCTTTCAAGAATGGAGCCGGGGTCCAACTTGTACGTAAAGGCGACAAGATCACGTTCAAGCACGGACACACGGTTTCTCAGGGTGACGACAGGCTTGGATATATCAGTGCGTGTACCACTGCATGACATCGTATGTTATGCTAACTAAAACAGCTTCTGGGCCTGCTGGCGTTAAGCTACAAGCCTTCCAGACGTTGCATATCTTACCTGGCAGCATCGACGCCAGCTCGAACCCTGAAGCCGTTGGAGACGCTTCTAACGAACGCTACCAGCTTGAGCCAATTGTTGATGGCCGTTGCGAGATCATCTTCCTGAGACATGGAGATGTCATTACTTCCCCAGGCACCACTAGTAGTGTGTTCTGCGTGTGGATGGCTCCCGAAGTCCAGGTGAATTCGTCGGCTGCCGATGTCAATCAGACCGAGCGTTTCGAGACCGGGAACAGTGTTGAAGACACGCCTGAGGACGAGACCGAAGATGAAGCCACATTGGACGATACAGTCACCGAGGTTCCTGTTACCCAACCTGTGACTCAATCGACGAAGTCACAACTCTCTGCCACACCACATCTTCCCAAAGACCGGTCATTGGTTGTACATGAGACCCCAACAGCAAACCGTATCTTGGACCATGATGACTTTAACATTGCACCATCGAATGAGGCTCCTCGCGTAGAGGCCACGCCACCACCGCACGGAGCGATAGCCGTCACGGAGTCGTTTTCTGCTGCTCGGGCAGGTCATTCGCCCAATGCCGAGTTGCCTGCAGATCAAAGGCGGCTACAGTGCTCGCCTCAAGTCGCAGTCGGCCGGTCGTCAAGAAAGAGGCAAAACTCTGAACACATCCTCAGTCTTATTGCGCCTGCCGCAGATGAACCGCCAGTGAAGCGTAAAAAGAAGGCTGCTATTATTGGCGAAGAGGAAGGCGATACTGTGCAGGCAAGTCTTTTAGGCAAGATCAATACCGATCAGGACCGCATGACGTACTCCACGAAAGCGAAGCGACGAGCCGCGACAGGTTCAGAAGTGACCCCCACGAATTCATTACGAAGCTCGCAGAGGTCGGCGACAGCTACGACAGTCGCAGCATATGAAGGTCCCATACCACGCGTCGCTACCAGTAACTCAGCCATCAAAGAGGATAGTTCAGCAGTAAAGTTCCTTCGAAAGCAGGGAGGCGCACTTGTCAAAAACGTCGAAGACAAGTGCAATGTCTTATGGTATGCGATGTTTGAGCTGCGATCAACCGAAACTGATGGTGTGCAGCATTCGTGACCACGGTCTCGCGAAGACCATGAAATTCATTCAGGCCATTGCTCTTGGTGTACCCATCGTTACTGACAAATGGCTCACCGAGTCTGCAAAGGCAGATGGCTTTCTTGAGCTAGCGTCATTCAAACCGTCAGTCACTCAACAGGAGAAAGAATGGAAATTTAACCTCGAGCAAGTGTGGGGTGTAGCGCAGACACCATTCAAGGGGTTTGCCATCTACTTCACGCTTGCGCTCAAGAAGACATACACCAACTTTCGTGAGATGGAAAAGGCTTGCCAAACGCTTGGCGCGAAGGTTGTACCCAAGCGGACCAGCAAGAACGACACGATCATTGTGCTTGCAACTGATGATGGTGATCCTGAGGCAGAGGAGATAATCGAGGATGGCGATCCCTGCTACCAGAAGGACCTGCTCACCACGAGCATCCTCCGCGGCAATCTCGATCTTGACAGCGACGAATTCAAGATCAAAGCGAAGCAGGTCGGACCAAGGAGGAAGGGCCAGAGGAAGAGCACGTAGATTTCTCTGCACGTTTGCGCATATTCTTTTCCTTTCTGCGATACCCATCCCTTACGAAGCACAACAAGCGGGATGTTTCAATGAGCAACAGAGCAGTAGACCTCCGCGTCCGCTATGACGGTTTCGATGAACCACCGCTCCTCGACACCCAACAGGACTCCAAACTATCGCAGCCACAGGAATGGCATCTAGCACAACAATAATATCGATATTTACGAGAAGAGCAGCGCTTTCGAGCAGCGGTGCAAGAAGTGGTGGTGCACGATGATTGGGTATGTAAGCGAGCTCGACCCACATCTTCAACATCCACGAACATGAGTTTCATGAGCATGTTCAAGAGTCTTCAGGGACGGTGCATCAGCCCACACTTTTAAAACCAGAATATAATATATACTTTCACACTGCCACTTATGAAAGTCGTGGCGCAACCACCAGCAAGTAGCTGATCCTCCGTGGCGCAATTGGCTAGCGCGTCTGACTGTTATCCGTACCCGCTTGATGGCACATCAGGAGGTTGAAAGTTCGAGCCTTTCCGGGGGAGTATTTTTGCGCTCAATGGCCGCTTGAATGATTGTCATGTGCTTTGTTCTGTCTTTTTGCACGCCTCTTTGACCTCTTACCCTGCCCTGATAATGCGCCCTCTGGTCAGACCATGGCTCTCACGTCGCAGAGAAACTCGACCGCGACACCGAAATGACTGTAGCATCTGTGCAGATATGAGATCTGACTTTCTCTCATATTTTCGAGAGTGCCTCTCACCCCAGCACCTTCTCATTCGAACAATGTTAGGCTCCAAGCTAGCACACTTCACCTTCGGACGGACGCTTGTCTGTACCCGTTTCCTAATGCGTATCGGACACTGGGACATACCGCGACGACGGGTACAGACGGCGTGACTGTGATCACTAGAAGCCCTGACAGTTTGCAAAGGTTTTGTTGGGTTGGAGAGAGTCCCTTGATGATTACAAAGAGGTAGCAAATATCAAAACTCAGCAGGACTTTGTCGATGCTGCAATGGCTGACTTCTTTTCACCGCGTCTCTTGGATAATTTTCATCCTGCTGCGAGACAGTGATCGACAGATCCAGGAATCGTGTCGATTTGCATAAACGCTGCAGCGCACCCACAATGGAGAGCTCACACCGACGATCACAACACCGAAAACCAGCATGTCTACCCGAAAACTTCGCTCTCACGCTAAAGGTTCCGAGACTGGGGTAAAGCGCAAGTTTCACTTCGGCGAACTGGATGACTCACTTCCTACTACCCAGGAGAAGCCCAAGGTACTCTACCACTGTCTTACCTGTCTGGACGACTTGCCTTCGCGAAGCTTTCCCGAATGAAACCCTTCATCTAACTGCGGGCACCTGATCAATACCTGTAGGGGATGCCTTCGGGGCTGGGTTGATGCCCAGATCGAGCAGAATCTAGCCGTCACTGATGAGAACGACAACACTGCTTTTAATCTCAAGTATCCTGAGTGTCCTGCAAGCATGCAGGCTACCGAAGTTCAAGCCGCTGCCTCGACGAGAATGTACGAACTCTTCAACAAAAAAGAGAGCATTCACCTTGCTGAGACGATGCCTGGCTGGTTTCGGTGCTAAACCCCTCGTTGGGACGGAGGAGTCCCCAGAAATAACACAGGGGAGATTATCACCCATCGCAAGTGCTTCTTCGGCTATTGTGTGCCTTGCCAGCGTCCGGCTTATCATGGTGAGACGTGTGTTGAATACAAGGCTCGCATTAGAGACCGTGTTGAGGAGGAGGACGCATCGCTCAAGGCGATCGACGAGGTGACTAAGCCGTGTCCTAGATGCTGTGTAAAGGTCCAGAAGAACGGCGGGTGTGACAAGATCCAGGGTAAGTTTGCTCAATTTCCAATATCGTAGACTAACGGGTGTTTTGCAGGCAGGAAGTGCGGCGCTGATTGGAGTTGGGAGACAGGCTTGATGGGCTCGGAGGTTTCTCGTCGTCCAGTACTTGCGGGAGATCCTTTCTGTTGATACTACTAAGCAGCCATCATGAAATGATGTTGAATAAGCAAGTGGGCACGGTTACGGCTATCGCGAGCATACATGACGGTGATGGCTTGTATAGCAGACGAAACTCAGATGGCAATCAGTGTCTTTCGGAGGAGCGTTTTCGATGGCCGTTCGCCTCTAGAAAACCGCAACCATGAAAGCACAGGGTTTGGAGCATCGAACTCGGGGATATTTCAGCCATGATCCAAAACGCCAGTCACAAACCACTGTAATATCATGTCTGAAGTGTGCGGCAAAATTTAGAGGACAATTCACATGAACGTACGTTTCTTGAATCACCACGCCCAGCCGTATATGCAGACAAAGCCTTTCAATCGTGCTATTACTAGAAAGCTGTCGAATGCCATTCGGTCAAGGCAATCTAGGTGTATTCAATGTGCTGGTGTAGCTCGGCTGCATCAGACCCGTGGGTAAGCATTTCGAATGCTTTCTCCGTTGTTCTTTCATTCACCTTCACTTTCGATATTCATCCGCAAAGTTTAGCGCAAGCGACTCAACCTCCCCCTTGCTTTTATGCAATATTTCTTCTGTCACAACACGACCCCAACCTTAAAAGCTAAACCTTGAAATGTCCTGACGTCTCCAATATGTTCTGACGTCTCCAATATGGCTAAATGCAGAGAGCGATCAGTCGCTGAGTACCTTGACTTCATCAGAGCTACATTAACAAGGACTGATGCTGGTCTGACCACGGATTTTTCGACAAATGGATACTCTCTGACGTCAGACTTCGATTCATCAATGAAGAGAAAACTGCTCGCGAGTGGCATGCTCACAAAGTCGTGCTGTGTTTGAAGTCTGATTTCTTTCGCAAAGCATTAACTGGCAGTTTCAAGGTCAGTAAACAGACGACTACCGCGTTTCTCTGAGCTAATGAGGGTGTCTGAAGCTGATGGCGCTATTATCGAAGTTCACGACAGTGTTCCTGAGCGCTTCGATGTAATTCTCGAGCTCATATACAACCATTGCTACGATGAAGCTGACATCGAAGCTCTGGGCAGCAGTGACGGAGACGACAGCAGAGGTATCACGCTAGTCATGGATCTTTATATCCTAGCTGACAAGTACGGGATGCGCTCGTTCATTGATGCCACGACGAACCATTTGGATACGCTGTTGCACGACTCGGAAGATGTCGCGATCCTCAAAGCAGCCATACACCATCACTACAACTCGGGCCCAGAGACCAACAGCATGCTGGGTAAACACATCACCTCGGCTCTCGTGGAACCTAATTGGAAGCATCTCACCTCTGATTATTTTGAGACTACGGCGATCTCATTCAAATCTTTCGCTACGGACTTCGCCCTGGCTCTTGAGCGCAGCGGTCATCTCGAGTTGGACGATGTCAAGTGTGCCAACTGGGATTCTGGCCACATCAACTGGGTGGACATCCATCAGGTCCGCAGCATGGGCAACAATGGAGTTCACTGTAACCTATGTGGCACGGCTATAGACATTCTCAAAAGTCAGATGATATCTGCTTTTGCCGGGCGTCTGAGGGCTTGAGTATACAGGTGAAGTTGAGCATCGTTCACTGTAAGAAGCGGAGGCTTGGGAGCGAGTGGCATAACCCTTTTAGGGTCCTCAGCGTGAAAGAAGCCCGAAGGTACATGGATGACCCTGAATTCATGAATAACCACAAATCACGTGTGTGCAGCCGGCTCATGAGCGGTGCCGTACTAGCGCCTAGCGACCTTAGAAGCACTGGTTTATTGACGAAAAATAGCTTTTGAAACAATCGCCGCGCTCCTTCTTAGTCACATGCTAGAATATGCCAAGTCTTCAGTCGTGGCATGCAAGCTCTCGAGAGCATTCGCTACTACGAAATTGACCCCCGCAAACACTATCACCGCCTACACAAGACATCCACAAATCTGTTGAACATTAGAGACTGCATTGAAATGTACCATGGTATGTCGCTTTTTCCACGATCTGGAAGACTGCATGGCTACTTTGCAGAAACACTCTTGTCATCCAGCTCTTGTTGTCTTCATCTCCAATTCCGTCAGTGCAGCGATAGCGCTAGTCTATAGTCGCAATGGTCGTCTTCCCTCGCAAATCGCTCGGCAATCACGATGGCTGCACCTGTGAAGCACTCAGCTGCTGAGTATCGTGCTCACAAGGCAGTGATCTGTATAGAGTCTCGCTTCTTTCACAAGGCTTTCACTGGTAACTTTAAGGTAAGTGTCCATCACACGAGCTCCAGAACCTCAAATTAGAAAGGTTGTTGCTGTATCAAGGGCAAATGTAAACGAGTGTATTCTGTTGTTCTGTGCTGTTGTGTTCTGCGTGTGTCTGGCCTCTCCAAGGCTCGCTGCGGGGTCTGTTTTGATGACGTGTTTTTGATGCAGCTGAAGTAGGAGGTGCTCAACAACATGAGGAAGCAGCACTAGACCACCGCCAACAACATGTGATCCGCTTCTCCTTTTAACCGTCACAAAGGTAGACTAACATATATGCAGGAGGCCTCCGATAATATCATCGAGCTCCATCATGACCCCGCCGACCACTTCGAGTCCCTCCTCAAGTACATCTGCACCAACAATTACGACCGGGAACTTATCGAGAAACTCGCTAGGAACAACGCGACAGCTATGATCACTGAGGCGATAGGCATCTACATCGTCACCGATAAATACCAGTTCGACACGGTGCCTGATCTCACGCTACAGCACGTCAAAGCAGTTCCCCTTGGCTCCAAAGACCAGCAAAAGAATGCTACGCTGCTCTCGGCTGCATTGCAGAGACACTACAGCGCGAGGTCTGGTACGGGCACTGTCATGGGCAACCGTTTTGTAGCCATCATCCTCGAGTCTCAGCAAGATTTCACAAATTCGAAGGCGTTCGATTAAGTGCTGGAGGATTATCCGCATCTTGCCGTAGACACTACTGAGGCTATGAAGAAGAAGAGGAAGAGGCGACTTAGCATTTATGAATCCATCTGCTGCCCGAAGTGCAAGTATGGTTAGACGGTCAATACCAAGGATCCCGCATTATCTGGTACTTACTGGGTGCATTGTCAAAAATGCGGTCAGATGGCGTTTGAATGCGGCGTACGATGATCAGTAGCAACATACCAACTGACTACACTGAATATGCCCACAAAGGCCGAAAGTGTACTGATACCATTCCACCAAGTAGAGACTGATAACGATGCAAGAGTATAAATGCAAAACGCTCGCGCTCCATGCTTGTAGAAGCCGTCCGATTCCATATGCCAATCGCAGATCATAAACCTCCATCGCCGCCCAACGCATATTTGCCGTATTCTACACAACTTCCATTCTTTCACTCAACCGCATACTCATTACCCCTGCTATCCTTACTGACATCCCTGAACACCATCGGGCGATGCCCCTCCGCGTTCGCATTTGCGCCGTCCGCGCCATTCACACCATCCCCTCTCCCATTCTCGATAACATCAGCAACCTGCAGATCCGGATTGCGGTTCTTCAAGCTCGCGATTTGACTTTCGCGGAACCTCTGAAACACGACGGGATCCTCCGACTCTAGATTCTTCAACTCCTGCGCATTCTCCAAGACACTGTCAAACGCCTTCTCCCAACCGAGGCCCTGGATCTTGGTCCGCAGCTCGTCGCCTGAGAAATTTGTGAAGTACTCTCGGAGGGCGCGGAGATGCTCGGGCAAGCCCTCGTTGTCGAAAGTGCCGGATAGCAAGGCTTGGTCTGAATGCGAAGACGAAGGGCGCGAGGAGTTGAGCAGGCCGGTGCGGACGCGGTGTCCGAAGCGGTGCAGGGCGCCTTCTTCAATGGCCATGCTGCGTGAGGCGAGACTGACGTCAGAGTTGTGCCGTGAGCGCAGCAGGCGCGGTTCGTCCTCGTCAGATTCCTGGGCGAGGGGGTCGACGAAGGAGTCCGTCATTGTGGGTACGCTGGAGAGAGGGGGAGAGGTGCTTAGCACGGAGCTTGCGCGGGAGTGGAGAGATGTGCTGGAGGGAGAGGCGCCGAGACGCGTTTCGGGGTATTCGTCTTCGAAGCGTTGGATCATGCCTTCGAGGGTTTGGTCGAGGAAGAGGAGGCGGCCTGATCATTGTTAGCTTGTGGTTTGGGGGGGATGTGGAGAGATACGTACGGTAGTTTAAGTCGTTGCCGCCCTTCGCTTCGCGAATAAGTGCAGGCTGGATCCTTGATCTTGTGTTGCGTGCTGTATCGAGCAGGTTCTTCGACATGACCCTTGCCCTACTAGGTTCCTCGACAACGTCGGCGCGGCTGCGCGGAGTGACAGTACCACTAGCAATCTGTGATCCTCTGCGCAGATCCGCATCCTTGTGAGACAAGCAGTAGCTGAGAGCCTTAACGATGCCTGTTCCTCCAACGATATAGTCGTTATCCGGCGCAGTTTGAATGGTGCCGTCAGCGTCACTGTCATCGTTGGGTCCTACCAGATGGGCAAGTACGCCAGGAAGCTCAACTTCTCTTGGTACACCACCAAGCTCAGGTACTTCGTTGATCGACTCGATGTTCCGAAGACAGTAGGCCACGACCTGTTTAGCCAGCGCCCTGACGACCTCATTCATCTCTGGCGATGGAACATCGATGTCGACGCATATGAGCGTCCGAGACAGCTTGGCCGCAAGCGTCAGCGAAGCAAACATCGCCGCAGCCTCTTCTTGTGTCTCTTCGTCTGTTGACGTGGCCACAAGAGCGATAGCTGGGTTATCGAGGAGATCGATATGTGCAATGTGTGGGCAATCTGGTAGAATTTCGGCGATAGCAATAGCGTCTGCAGGTTTCAGGCCAACGTTCTGAAGATGCAGGCGCTTCAGCTCTTTGAATTGAGGAATGTACTTCCGCAACAAGCACAAGGCAGTCTGATCGAAGAGGTCCATGTTGCGCGACAGATCCAGGAATCGAAGAGACGGGAGGTTGACCAGAACAGGGAACAACATCTTGAGATGGTCTTTGGTCAAGCCAGTGTTGGCAAGACACAAGGCCCAGACCATGTTGTCCTTGCCCAGACTCTGGCAAAGCTGAGGTATCCATTCGCGCAGGTCGTTACCGCCAAGATCAATGCCTTCACACACTCCTGAGCGGATGTAGTGTTGTACGTGCTCCAGACCTTCGCGATCAATGTCGTTATCGGCAAGGCTGAGACGCTTCACGCCACTGATGATACAGCCATCAATAATCTTCCTTGTACTTGGCGAAGTGAGACCGCAGTCTGCCATAAGCAGCTCCTGCATCGTTGAGCCACCCAAGCGCTCGGAAATTGCTTTTGACAGAATTTCTGCGACGTCCCTTGTTTTCGTATCCTTAGCAGGCGACGTAAGAGGCGTTCCATTTGCAGGCGGCGACGCAGCTGATTGCGAAGGTACCTGAGTGGGCTGTTTAGGGAACGGTATCATCGACACGTCCAAAGCAGTGACAGATTTGCACATGTATGTGAACAGTGCAATGTGCTTCCATCCCTCAGCTCCGACCTTGGCGTTGTTCTTCAAGACCAGCTTCTTGATTGCGCATCCATGTGTGTCGCTGGGCTCCTCGTCAGAACTGTGTCGAGGGGTAGGCGGCATTTTGGCTGCAAGAAGCCCTGCAAGGATGACTCTGATCTTCTCGTCATTCAAATCGGCATCTTCCAGCAATAGCTTCTTTACTGGCACGATAGCGAGCCAGTCGGATAATGTCAGTACATCCGCGAGCTGTAGCCTCGACCCTGTGAGATCCAGTGAAGTTACCATTCCTGGGTGTGCTACTGAGCACGCAGACAGGCTCGAAAGTTGATCGCTAATGCGCTTCAAGATGGGCGATTCGCGGAGTTGGCAGCATCTTCGGTAGATGCGCAGAGGGTCGATTGTGGGTCGGTCCTGGGGTCTGGGGGGAGTGCTGGTGCCTGGCGCAGCGCAGCGGCCGTCTGCACTGAGGTCGCCTTCGTCTCTGATGAGCTCCATAGGTATCGAGCCATTCTCCTCAGCTTTCTTGCGCTTCTTCTCTTTGCGCTCCTTTCGTTCTGCCTCAGACCGCTTCTTTTTCTCCTTCTTCTTGTTTGGCTCTTGCTGATCGTCATCTAGTACTGTGCCCTCTGGATGTGGTTCCTGCTCGGTGCCAACAGCTTCTTGTGCAGCGGCGACAACACCAGCGGTCTCCTTCGCTTCGACTACAGCGGTGGGATGCTTCAGCGCTTCGCCCTCACCGCGTTCCTTAACCTTGGTGTCCTTTGCTTTCTTCTTCCTGTCGTCCTTGTCCAGGTCGTCCTTATACTTGGGCCCGCCCGCAATCTCGACATCGACGCAGAAAGCGACTTTGCGCAGCTTGTTCTGGTCCAGCTCGGGCACCAGGCATCGCTGGCGGTTCTTGTCGACGTTCATGACCCTTCTAGGACACATGCCGCCGTTGGGGTAGAGCTTGCCGGCAGTGCCAACCTGTGTACCAGAGGACAGCCTTCGCAGCGCATTGGACAGGAAGTTCGCCTTGGGTGCCTGGGGCACGTACGGCTCAAGTCCTGGGCTACCTCCAGCAGCCTGCTGTATGCCATTGAGGGCGCCGTTGGCTGAGGGCGCATGGCCGTGCGCGCCGTTCGCAGCCGCCGGCGACCCCTGGGCCTGGGTGTGTGTGGTCTGGGCAGTGGGGTTCTGCGACGAGAACTTGGAGCTTATGCTAGAGATCCACGAGTTGCGCCGCGAGCTGGCCTTGGAGTCTGGCGGTGTGGTGCCGCCGTTCCGCACGTCGCTACCTCGGCTGAGCATTGTCGGTCGTTTGGGGGGGATCTTCTGGGGCGTCGATGTCGCGCTGCTTGCAGGCGCGGGCGCAGGCGGCGAGGCAGGCCTCTGGACGGCCGGCGCCTTCGCTGGTGTAGGCGCTGCAGGTTCACCGTGGCTCTGCTGCGGCCCAGTGGGCAGCCCGCCGTGGGATGATGTCTTTGGCGGAGCATCCCTGGTCAGGCCCGGTGACGACGGTGCCTGCGTGCGGTGGTGGTGGTCTGCGATATCACAGGCGTTAGTTAGGCCTTCTGCGTAGATATGCGGCTGCCACTATGCGTTCCGCTGGGGCCGAGGGGGTGGAGCGCCCGGTGTAAGCGCATGTCATCTCACCTCTCGTCGAGTTGTGCAGCCAGGAAACGTCAACACCGTGTATGTCCTCCATCGCAGACATCTGCTCGCGCGAGGGCTGAACGGCCGTCATTGTTGTTGCACGGCGACCGTCGCCATCCGTCGATGTGCAAGGCGATCACGGTCACGGGTTCAAGATGCGGCGACCACTTCGTCAGCGGGGTCTCGCGGATCTCGTTCGTGATTGGAATGCTGAGATGGACAGCCAGACAGGGTCTGCGCGGATCGTGCGGGCAGAGCGTGTCAGCGACTAGCCGTACGAAAGTCAGCCGATTATTGAGACAATGATTTCCAATTCGACAAATTTCTGCTGTTGCGAGATCGACTGCTGCGTTGACGTTATGCCCTCAGCATAACCATGCGGGTGAGCTACTGTAGAAATGACGTCCGGCAGCGGAATCGGCTCCTCTTTGGTTCCACCTCACTACGGAGATCGACCGGACTTTCGGACCATAAGCACCTTTTTCCGCCGCCTCCATCTGTTCCTCGGAGCATCACATAGATGTCTATACATGGACACTTGAATCACCTAACAGAAGCTATCATCGTTTCAGCAGCTGACCTGACGTGCCACACTGAATAAATAGCTGACTGAGGAGCATGAGCCGACTGTGCTGAGCGTTACCCGCAACGCCAAAACGACCGTCGGGCTTGCCAGAATGGAACTCCCCGGGGCACCATGCCTGCAGCATGAGCGAGCTAGCATGGTGCTCCTCTAATTATCGGCCGAGCAAATTCGCGCTCGCCAGACAGCTGTCAGGACAGTGAGGTGCTACTTGACGCGTTGAACGTGCATGAAATGGCAGATTAGTAGGCTGGGATAGGGGGCGGCAGTTGCAGCGAGGTAGTGCACAAAGATGATTATTCAGAGGGTATCGTAAAGTGTGTTAAGACATGGTGCCAACTGCAGCTGCCATCTCATCATCTCATTCGAGTCGTGGAAGGCTAAGTACAGTGCCCAGCCAGTACATGTATCATTCCCCATTCATATCCAGACGCCGGGAGCCCTGCTTTTGTTCATGAAATGCGAAGTGATGTGAAGATGCTTAGTTCTTGAGCTCAGCGATCTTAGCCTTGACCTTCTCCTCCTTCTCGGACTTGGTGAGCTTGTTGAGCTTGTACTTCTTGGACTCAGCCTTCCAGTGGTCCTTAGACTTCTTCTCCTCCGCACCCTCCTCCTTCTTCCAGGGGTCCTCGCGGATCTGCTTGTGGGCATCCTGGTAGAGCTCCTCAAGACCATCGGCCTCAAGGTCGTCGTCGATGTAGCCGGAGAACTGGGACTTGTAGCGCTCCTCATCGTCGTCGGCAAGGGTCTCCATGTACTCGGCGACGTGGCCGGCGAAGATGTACTTGCGGAGAGTCTCGGCGTCAAGCTCCTTGGACTCGATGTCGAAACCGGGGAAGCGGTTCTCGGAGTGGGGAACGAGGAGGCCACCGTCAGAGGCACCCTTCATAGCACCGAAGACACGGGCACCGGTGGAAGTACGGGTGAGACCGACATCAAGGAAGACCTTGAAGGGACGGCGCTCCTCACCGTCGATCTCAACGGCCTCGGTGATGTTGTACTCACCGTCAGCCTCCTCGACACCGGTGAAGTGCTCGTCGAGCTCGAGTTTCTTGAGGACACGGCGGGCGAGGAGAAGACCGACGGAGTAAGCGGCAGACCAGTTGGTCAGACCGTGGGTGATGCCGTAGGCCTTGAGCTCGTGGGCATACGCGGCCATGAAGACCTTGTCGCCGGAGATCTCGGAGGTGACGATCTGGGCAACGATGTCCTTGTTGGTGAAGCGGACAACGAGGCGGTACTTGGGCGCATTGTACTTGTTCTTCGCCTGGGTGATCAACCTCTTACGGGCATAGTAATCAGCTGCGCGTGGTCAGTAAGTGCGCGCTGAGTGTGGAATTTGATACACGTACTCTTTCCAGAGCGACGGCGCTTGTACTTCACCTGGTACCTGGAGAAGTAGGCGTTGTTCTTGACAAGCTTGGACTTTTCTTAGAGTCAGCGATTTGCGCTTCAAACCCGCATTCGAAGCAACTCGCGGAGACTCCAGCCAATTTGCGGGGTGGACCTCATACTGAGGCACTTCGAGAGTTCGCTCAGGGTATACTTACGGTAGGCATCTTGTCCTGTTGTTAGTCTGTCGTTCCTGAAAGCTGGAAAGACAAGTTTGCGATGCGAAATAGGTGGTGGGCGTGGTCGCGCTAGCGGGGGTTTAGCGACCCTTCAGTCGCGACTTCCGTGCTCGAGGTGGGTGACCATCAGCAGTGGGTGCCCATTCGACGTGAACACCAGAGCAGACTACTCATACCCTTGGGAAGCCACTCAGTGCCCGTATGGTCTTCGACTGATCTCCAGATTGCGCTTACCTCCATAAAGGTTGCATGTGTTCGGTCGTGCAGTATTCTTGTTGTAGGTTGCTGCTGCAGCAAGCCGCTTGACCCATCCATATGGACAACCAACGTCAGGACTTTGGGCTTGCATAATTTCGTAGTCGTATCTAGATTCTGTTTGCAGTGTTCACATGTGCTCCTGTACTCATGGGTAGTACGCTGTTGCATTCATGTCGAGCATAGGTAGGTTGCCTGATTGAGATCACTCTTGCCCCACCAACTGGCCCGAGTGCTCGAGCGTGCGCGGTGACGACCAACTGTCCAGGCACCGCCGCCCCGGAGCATTCGATCAACATCCCGCCTCTCCACACCCTCTTCCAGACCCCTGCATCTTGCGTCGAGCTTCAGTAAACATGGCGGAAGCTCCAATTGGTATGCTCTGACGCTGTGCGCCAACGGAGCCCTGCTGACACTGAAGCAAGTCCTCGACGGTGGTACCGGTTTCCTGAAAGTTGGCTATGCGGGACAGGTAAGCTCTCCATTCAGACTCACAATGGTATGAAAACTCCAGGCGCTGACAAAGTTTCCATAGAACTTCCCAGAACACCAGTACCCTTCCATCGTTGGCCGGCCGATCCTCCGTACCGAAGAGCGCGATGGCGGCGACATACAGCTCAAGGACATCATGTGCGGAGACGAAGCAGCGGCAGCGCGCTCTATGCTTCAGATCACGTACCCTGTACGTTAGCAATACACCGTTGCTCGACATGGCAGAAGCTAATGCGCCTGACCCTCACAGATGGAAAACGGTATCGTCAAGCGCTGGGATGATATGACACAACTATGGGACTACACCTTCGCCGAGAAGCTCCAGATCGATCCCACCGGCCGCAAAATCCTCCTTACCGAACCGCCAATGAACCCTCTCAAGAACCGCGAGACCATGTGTGAGGTTATGTTCGAGCGCTACAACTTCGGAGGCGTGTACGTGGCTATCCAAGCTGTACTAGCTTTGTACGCCCAAGGTCTGTCGTCTGGTGTCGTTGTCGACTCTGGCGATGGTGTCACACATATCGTCCCCGTCTACGAATCGACCGTCCTGAACCACCTCACACGCCGTTTGGATGTTGCTGGACGTGACGTAACCCGCAATTTGATCTCCCTGCTCCTGCGAAGAGGATACGCGCTTAACCGCACCGCCGATTTCGAGACAGTTAGGCAAATCAAGGAGAAGCTCTGCTACGTTTCCTACGATCTTGAATTGGACCAGCGCCTTAGTGAGGACACAACGGTTTTGGTGGAATCATACACACTGCCGGACGGTCGTGTTATCCGTGTGGGTAGCGAACGTTTCGAGGCGCCCGAGTGTCTGTTCCAGCCTCACTTGGTCGATGTCGAGCAGCCCGGTATTGCCGAGTTCTTATTCAACACCATCCAAGCGGCGGACGTGGACGTCAGGAGTAGCTTGTACAAGGCCATTGTGCTCAGTGGTGGTAGCAGCATGTACCCCGGTCTGCCCAGCCGATTGGAGAAGGAGCTCAAGCAGCTGTGGCTCACCAAGGTTCTTGGTGGTAACCCCGAGCGCCTCAATGTTGGTATACACCTATCCGTACTGCAGTCAATGGCTGACAACAGCACTAGAAATTCAAGGTCCGCATCGAGGACCCACCTCGGCGACGACACATGGTCTTCCTTGGAGGTGCTGTGCTTGCGAACATTGTAAGTGGATCGCAAGACATGGATCTACAGCGGTGGCTAACCTGGCGTAGATGGCTGACAAAGAGAACATGTGGATATCAAAGGCAGAATGGGAGGAGCAGGGAACACGTGCGCTCGAGAAGTTGGGCGCAAGATAGACAAAAGGAGGTCATCTGCAGCAGCATGTGCTCAGGAGCACTCTAGACCACATGAACCAAATACTATGCAGCCATGACTGCAAACAAAGGCTCACTTTTCTTGCTGTGTCCCGTCTTAGCCAGGCTGTTCTTGCCCATGCGACATGGCATTCAAAGCCACTCTGTCTTCATTGAAAACGCTGTGAAACATCAATCCTCCTTCCTTCGCGCCTCAACAGCCGCCTGCAAGGTGTCTCAACGACATTTTGTCGCAAACCGCCAGTCGTACGGGCCGGTAATTCAACAGACGTTGATGGCTTGCCTGCCCGAGCACGTCCGAGCTTTCACTCTCACACCGCAGGCGCAGAAGAAAAGTGGGGTATTGATGGCAATTAAGGGCAAACATCAGCGCAGCTGTGAAGAGAACGAGCCGCTCAATAATTCATGCTCGCGGAGCAAAGTAGTGATTCCGCCACGTTCCTGCTGCAGATAAAACACATCTGCAACGCCATCACATCATCGATCTCCAACGGCAATAGCCGCGCTAAACTGGTCGAAATGTGAGAATCGCATTTCTCCAACCCTAGTCTGTCCGAGGTTCACGATAGGTGGAGAAGGGCCGATGCGGAAACGCTTCTCTAGCCCGCACTTTAAATTCGACGACCTGAGATGCGGATCATGATGATGTCGTGTGCGCCTGGACGGCACTGGAGGCCTGCGCAGATGTTCCTGGCCAGGTCATTCGAAGTTCACGATGCTCAAGACGACGCTAGCTACGTGTAACCAAAATGTACCGAAGAAGCCTGCAGTAGTTGGTATAGGTGGTCAAGCCCGGGATTCGCTCATTTTTATCGAGCCGGGGCGCACTGTGGGCGCTGTGAAGGATCGCGATCAGAGCGCATCATCGGACGTTTACCCAGCCAATATACCTTCTGGGACTTGTGTCGGACCCACTTTGTCATAAAGCCCCCAAATATAGTACCCCAGACACAGGTACCAGCAATGGGGTAATTAGTCGACGACACGACTTTGCGTGGTTCAGGAATGGTTCAGTCATTGACAGCCGTTGACGTCCCTTTCCGTCACGATCATGGCGAGCAGTGAGCGCCGAACTGCTGTTCAGAACAAAGCACTAAAGAAGTGCCCCAATCAGCTCCCTAAAGCTCGGCCGGTGGTAGGCATGGGGTTCGTGATTTCGAATGCGGAGGTCCCAAAGATTAGCGCCCGAGCAGCACGTCACACGTGAGCTGGGTGCCGGCTTTACCGCGTTCGCGACCTGCGTCATGCTCCCTGCTGCACAATGGAGCATTACGAGTTAGACAACCCTTTTGTACCACTAGCGGTTCAAGGCCCCGCTGCGCGAACCAAGGCCAATTCAATTCTGTGATTACGCCGGCGCTCGCATTTGCTCGACCTAGAGGCATAAACGTAAAATCTCTCTGCTTCCGCGTGGTTCGTGTGCAATCATATCTCCTGGACTCCCAACGCGGCAACACACTCGAAACGCCCAATTCCAGCGCGCACCTCTCTGTCGCTGCACTCCAGCCTATTTGCTTTGCAACTGTGGATTACCAGTGCGCTGCGCCATCAACGCCGGTCCACCGCTACCCGTTGCAGCACTGCTTTGATAACCATTTGCCCACTGACACGGCGCTGGTGCCTCCAATCCCAGCGCAACGAAACCAAGGGTCCACCACCGTGCAGCCTCCATCCTTTCAGGGACCGACGTAGCACGACGGCGCACCACCAGTCCCAGATCAACATCGGGGCTTCCAATTAGATTTGGGTGCGTCCCAAGCCCTGTCTTGACACCAAGCATTCCAGGGCCTTCCCGGTGCTAGATATATTAGAGCCCGCCTGGCTGTGCACCTGTGCTCGGTTCTTTCGGATAACCTCTTGCATTCTCACTTCCTCTTCACCATCAAGGTGACAAAGACAAATATCGTTGTTTGCACAGCGTTTACTCGTTGCAATTTTCGAGAGGTCCACGTACCATCACGTCATATGAGACCGACATCGCCTCTGCCTTCGGCTCGTTCGACTCTCTCACACCTGACAAACTCTCACAACCCCAATTCTACGACTATGTCGCCCGCACGCAACATTCCCACTGTGAGCTCACCTCTCTCGCCACGGACTGAGCCTTTGGCTGTCCCTTCCGGCCGTCGACGTCCTCAAGTCAACTCGCGCCAGTCATCGACCAGCGGCCCCGCCATGCACCTGCGCCTGCCTTCTTTGCCACGCTTCCACCCCGCCAACTTCGGAACTCCTAGCTCAAGCGCTTCTGGCACACCCATTACCGGACCAAACAGCCCCAATCCTCCTCTGTCTCCTCGGTCAAGTAATACTGTCAGCAAGTACGAAGCCCAGAAGCAAATGTATCTCTACCAGCAGCAGCTCCAGGCAAAGACCGCTACCCAGGTCCGTGGCTCGCTTTCCGCAAAACCTATAAGCCCCCGTCTGGATCCCTTGGCCAGCCCTGGAGCAGTCACTCCCTTCGAGCTCGAAGGCACTGACAGCTACCTCACTGCTGGAGTCAATCCCCAGGAAGCCGCCTCGCATGTTGAGAGGCTGATCCGCGAGGAAGCCAGCCGCCGCGGTGACCTCTCTCCTGGATTTACGACCTCAGTCGGCGGTAGGTGACTCGCCGAACCCACAGAGCAGCGTGGTCGTGTGGGCAAAAAGACCCGAGCTCAAGCACAGCAACGGTCACAACGGTGACCATCTTCACGGCCTTTCCTCAGCATGATCTTTTGGAGTTCATTACCATCTGGAGTCGGAGCATAATCGGCGTTCTATATCACCACACTGAACATCTAGCACGACAAAAAAGTGGCTGCAGCATCATCACTCTAGAGTTTCCACTTTTCTCCCACTAGCCGGACGATTTGCAACAACAATCTCGTACACAGCGGACAACAAAACTTTCCCTGTCATGGCCTTGCTAGGAGGATGTCGGTCTAGTTACTATGGTCACCACATGGAGCGTGTTTTCCCATGTCTGCTTTTCACATCGCCCACACCCAAGCGCTGGCGTGTGTGGCCTGGTCGATCGCTTAAAGATGCCGAGTACCCCATTTCCCTTGCGTCAGCATGTATTGTATCTCGCCTGTCACAGTTTTGTACCAAGCGCTCCGCCTACTGGCGTTGAGCGAGACAGATGACGAGTCTCATTTCCAGATAGATAAGAATGAACAAACAATCACAAGACGTACACACAACTCGCCACGCAATATAGTGCACAGCCGTCCTTGAGACCTTCCGTAGCAGCCGAATGCCAATTTTGGTGATGCCAATATTGACATCGGATTGTGCCTTCCCAACTCGTCTCTGCGACTGCCGACTGTGCCGTGGAGCTCTCGCTTCCACCACCAGGTGCATCGACATATCAACACGCCCAGCTTGCCCGCAACAGCACAGCCTTGCACACGATCATCGCTGCCCCAAACAGCAATGTCAACCACGTTTCTCTGGAACCCAACAACGCAGCAATTGTGGGCATGGCTTCGGGCCGTATCCACACACCCCTCATCTATCGTCGCCTCTCGAATCTGCTTGCAGCCCTCCAAATCGGTCACTGTCAGTAAGTTGCAGCAACGCACTCCACTGACTGCTGCGATCTTCAAGGCGATCAACGTACGAGACAGTCCCGCCAAGGCAGCGACGCGGGACGATGCTCAACGATCTCCACAACCAGTTTCGCTGGCGCTCCACCACAGGAGCAAGGATAAGCGGCGCTTGGACGATCGTCATATCAAATCCTACATTGGGACGTGTCCACCTTCTAGTGAAGTAAGGGTAATCTTGGCGTTGGTGAAGTGTTTGTCAAGGAGCACCTGTTGTGGGAGGGACATGTGGAGTGGAGTCAGTACGCCCGCGACGTCGTTGTGCACGGTGCGGACGGGGCGCTAACTGTACCACACACGGAGCAGAACAAGCAGGAGGCATAGCACCCACGTTGTAACGGCTTGAATACACGCGTGAACACAAATGCGCAAAAGCAACACTGAGATACGAAGGAGTTCTATTCTTGCCATGGCCATGCGCACAGACAGGTTTGCCTGAACACAAATGACAAAGGAGCGTCCGACTTCCGGTCGTGCTTGCCCTACATGCGGGACTTCAACGAGCGCAATTGCATTACATTCCCGACAAGGCAGGAATTACGTCGATGATGTTATCAAAAGTCTGCTGTCGCAAATCAGCGCGTTCCTGTCAGTGGGTTCGATACTCCTATTATGCAGGGTGAACGGATAACCGCCCCCGGATCTCCAGGAGGAACGTTTGACAGGAGCAGTGGCTTCTTGCGCAAAGGCAACTTCGACGACTGTCGTTGCTGAGATCTTTGACGATTCCAGTGATGGTTTGAAGCATCGAGTTGCAACGATAACGTCAGGAAAAGCGTCGAAACTAACCGGTTGTAACTCGCCGAGTCCGAGCCCGTGTTGTTTCTAGCAGCTCCACATCTTGTTCGCTGTACGAGTACGCGCTTTAGCAGCAGACGGTGCACCCAGTCACCGCTCATCTTTGGCAGCACCTAAGTCTGATAACAGCATTATCGGGCTTCAATCAAGATTCAATGCCTGCCATCTTCACAAAATTTGTCGGGTGCCCTCCTGATCATTCGTTGGCTTCTTGATGTCCTTCGAATCATTCCTGAAATAGCAAACGAGGGATACATACAGCAACTTTCGTTGACTAAGATAAACAGCGTCATCGTCCCAGCAAAAGATAAGATCCGTGCAAAGCGTGACATCGGCTGCACTTACCAAACGATCACGATCCGCAAGCCACTGACAGGAGTTGTGAGGGCAGGACAAGCGACGCCTGCAGGGTGTGGTGCAATGGCCGCTGCCTGGCTGGCTGCGCCGCCTGCGCAAGTCGCGTCGACCTTCTCCGGGGCTACCATGCGATGGAGCAGCATCAGCACCATCACATATGCGAGTGCTCACTTTTTGCGACGATGTCATGGTTCTCTTACAGACGTCTCGAGGAAGGAGGCTGCTACCGTGCTGGACCTTACGATCACCGGCCTTCTCCTGTCTCATACCTCCTCGCACCCTCGCGCGACTTCTCTTTATGGGCAATTCCATCGCTCTGTGCGGCGCCCCACCGACTTATAGTTCACCGACTTTACGCGCAAAACGGCTGGTCGAAACAGCAGATTTGCAAGCGAACCTGAAATTCGATGTCGTTCGGCTATTACGTCGGTGGCGTCAGATGCCGTCTTCTAGCGTGTGACTCTAGCATTAACTGCTTGTGGGCAAGTCTATTCTCCTCGACCTCGAAATGCCGGTCGGCATCTGTGGTGCTGCATGCCCCACTGGGGATATCACTTCACATCTTCAAAACGCGAGGAAAAGGTCCAGAAGCGTATGCGCGATCTCCGGATCTAATACAGCAGGGGTTTGAGCATTCAACGCGCATCTTGTCCTTTCCCATGTTCCAGCCCGGCCTTCGAGAGAGCACCATCGCTGCACGTTAGGCCGATCTTCGTGGCGACAATCAAGCACTCGTTGTCTCAAATAGCGTTCCACTAGGTGAAGGATGGCTGTAAGCCTTTATGTGTGGGCGTTTGTCATCAGCAGCCTGCATCTTTGCTAGTTCTAAGGCAGTGACAGGGGGGGGGGGGGTGCCACGAGTTGTGCATATCGTCCAGGCAGTCTGTCCTCCACTGATGAGAAACACAGATGAGCGACATGACATTGTGCAGTCCCGCAGCATGCGCAGCTCTACCATTGGAAAGAATCTCACATGTCAATTAGTCAATTACTCATTAGCTCCTTTAGTTGGGCATCAATACCTTACCCGCCCTTGTTGAACACGGATAATCCCCATGTTTACAGCAGTACACCGAACGCCCTTCTGTGGAGATGAAGGACAGTTCCATGAGACACTATGGCAGTTCGCCTCAGCTTCTTCGACATCGTGCGCCCTACTATCGTGCAGGAAGAGGCCTTGTGATCTTTTATCTGACCACGTTATCATGCACGTCAGAAGTGTTGTGCGTTGAACGGTGAGAGACATGCAGGTACGGGTGATGCAGCGCATAGGGCGGCAAAGGCCATGATACCTATGACGGAGATGCATATGCAAAGGACCGACTGAACAAGATCTTCAGTACTGTCGGAAGGCATGAGTGATACATCAAGCAATATCAAGCTAGATCATACAGGTCTGTCTTTGCGCTGATTCGAAGAGCAATAAGGTGTCCGTGAGGAGCCCCGGACTGACGAAATCATGGTAGAGCAGGTGGGTTACGCTACTTTTCGCGATGTACTTCCATCATAGTCAGTCCGTGGAGCACACATCACCGAGCATGGTCAATAGACTTGTCAAATCATTTGAATGAAGATGCTGACATTTACCTCAAATCGCTAATAGTAGGATGTTCATACCTTTGTACGGAACCCACCCAGTGTACGATACCCTGCCTTTATTGAGCTTCCATTGTCCAGATCATCACAACTCGACTGTCAGACAGCTGAATTAAGAGATCCACACCGACGCTCAGTCGTCTGGTGGTTTATCTAAGCCTGCGTTGGCACATGCATTTGATGTTGGCAAAAGGCGCAATATACTGAGTGGCCCTTAGCATGCAGGTCCAGGTGGATAATAAAGTGACAGGCGCAGGAATAATGTCGAACATGAACGATATATCGGGCCAATGCCAACGTCACGTCTGTTCCAAAGGCAGCGTTATTTGAGAACAATTCTCGATAGTCACTCGTCTCGTTAAACACGCGACAGTCTCTGACGACTGACGCAAGCAGCTTTCCAATGGGTCCATCAACGCTTGTCATGGTCTTATAGCGAGTATCAATGGCGGATTTGATTAGCTCATGACTCCCAATTGATAAACGAGCGCTTAGACGATCTGCAATGACCTGATATTTCATAGACGCAGCGCACATTGTATTTTTCGGAGACAGTATGGACGCCAATAGAAAAGTGTCCCCATTTTTTATCTTCTCCGGCAGCGAGCTTGTCGAGAGTAGCCTTATCGTAGTAGTAGGTAAAGACTTGAGGACGAACTCCAAGTGATTTCGATCATCAATGATCATCGTGCACCTCCATCACGGACTCGGAGGCCTCCTGCGCGACTATTGACAAGAGGCTAACCATCATTAGCGCAGAGGTGTGTAAAAACCTTGAAGTTGCCGGTGAAAGCTTTAAGAAAGAACGTCGAGTCGGCGCTGAGAAAGGCCTTGTGGGCGTGGTACTCGCGCACCTTGGCGTTGATAATCTGCTTGATGGTAACATCAGGGAGGGTGGGTTTTAAAACAGCCTGAACGTTGTCAGTGCTCCTTCTGATCATTATGCGCGGATCGCTGCAGCGAGAAGCTTACTTGGCTGTTGCTCGGATGATGGGCGCGCTCATGTCTTGAATCTGGTGAATGAACACTGTTTAGAGAATTCTACGACGAGAAAAGATCTACCGGAAGAGCGAACGCAGAGCACTAGCTCGTGCTTGGCAACTGACGTCCGAACGTGCCTGAGGTGAAGGAAGGAATCAAGAATGGAATACGGAAGAACGAGCTGGAACCACACAAAGGACCAAGCGGACCCCGACTTTTTTGCTTCTTTTCGCTTAAACTCAATAACAGCTTTTGTATCTCTGCCGTCGTGCACATTGTTCTTCCCTATTCGTGCTTTCGTTCCGCACGAATACCAAAGTCTCCCTTACAGCCCGGGCAAACGATGTTATGTCTATCTGAAGATCAAGACGAATATCAGAGCGAAGACAAGAACGAAGACTATAGCGAAGGTCAGAGCGAAGAAGCAGAGCATTCTTTCATCGAGGATATCTCGAGGTGATAGAGTCTTGTGCCAGTGCCAACGCCACATCAGCTCCACAGGTAGTGTTATCTGTAATGAGAGTCCGGTGATACCCAGTGTCAGCAGAGGCCTGCTCATCGAGCAGTATAATGAATGCCATCATCTTGCCCATCTTCGTCTCGGTCCGAGGTGTTACTGAGCAGTAATAGTCAATGATGGTCCCGAGCAAATGCTGTGATGACAACGGGTCTCTCTTTGACTTCTAATCAGAGACGTGTTATACATCATCGATCGCTGGGCTGTTGCCGATACCGAGCTCATCAGCTATGATGTTTAGCCGATCACTGAATCGAGGTGGGTGTTATCATGCATTCAGCTGACTTCTCTAGACTGCCAACGTCGTAGCGATGGTTGTAGATTACTTGAAAAGGAATTTGATGTTTTCCGGATCATCGTCATGGATCTCGATTGTCCTTCCGCTTGCTTCCTGGACCTTGGTTAGACGATTGGTTGATTGATTGAGTCAGCTCGCTGCGCTACAATCCTATCACCAGACTCGTCCTTATAGAACATCAAGTGACGGCATCTTCTGAATTTAATGTACAAGAGAATATTTGTGACAGCAGTCTCTCACCACCACCGACCCGGCACTGCTGATAGAGGTGAAAAAAAAACCCCACATGCTCAGGACGCATTGTCAATATGCTGACACCCGGGGGTTTGGGAACGGAAATAGTATGTACCCACACGTTACAGACAGAACGTGAGCTCAGGAGTGGCTGCATGTTTCTGTTGAACACGTTTTCAATAATCTAGTTGCGGATGGAGGACAGGACGTGGCTTCTGACGATACATATCCATGCCAGTTGATGGCATGTAAGCCATATAATTATTATCTCAAAGTCAAGAGGATCGCTGCATTGTGAAAACCAATAGATTCGGAGCGAAGATGAATATGAGGTAAGAAATAACAAAGCCAGCTTCAGCCCTTGAGGTTGGCATTTGTTGTACTCTTTTCAGAATCTGAGGGACCTCTTTCCCGATCTTGCATCGTGTTGAGCCTTGAAATGGGCGATGTACTCCGTGTACTTGTAACAGAACGCATGGTGTGCATGGTTTCGTTCTTCTCCAGATCACTTTCCTTCCCCGCTCGTGATTGCCCGTGTACGAGCGTCTCAATGACGCTCCTTCTGAAACCGACACCTCTCTCTTTCATTGACTGCAACGCCCTCGTTGGCTGACTGACGACACGATAGTCAGGATCTTGAAAAGTCGTCTGCGTTCTCGAGCATTCTTCTGCGGCAAAGTTTTGGATGGTGGAGTCGCCAGCTGTTGTCGAATGGAGAGGGAGACGGCTGTTGAACCTTTTGTGGACACGGTGTAAGGATCCGAAAACGTAAAGATTGCGAGGACTAGATTTCCGTCGCTCGGCGAGGGCTCTTTCTGATGACCAGAAGGTCTCCCGAAACACTAAGTACTTTCATTAGGCGCCGAAAAGTCGAGGTGCATTCTTGTTACTTACTCGGTCGAAGACTTGCACTATTGACGGCAACAAGAGCGATGGCCAGTTCCCGAGCCCCCCAGCGGGCAATGATGCGAACGGTGATGTTCGGCACAACAGTCAGAGAGACGCGAATGATGCAAGCAGACATGACGAAGATGCCTGATGACAGCAGCAGAAACACTCCTATACGTCGACCCAGTGGTATTCGTAGGGTCCAGAGCATCGGAAGTGGTACGGTGAGAAGAAGGGCGTCCGTAAAGGCGTTGAAGCAGCTGAGCGCGATGAAGAAAGTCGACGATGCTGTACAGACGTTGGCGGGGAGCGGTCGGACTCGGAACCTCTCTTCGAACGGTAGACACATCAGACTCAGCATCAAGGTCGTCGACACAAACCCAACAATGCATATCGCGATTGTGAATTTCAGTAATTTTTTCTGCCATGCTCCGAAGGCTAGACGCTCATAAAGGATGATGACGACTGCTTTGAGGCTGAATATCATGGCGATACTGGCCGTAGTTAAGCGCTGGACCTTGAGGCTTTCCTGTGACGTTCAGACTTACTATGCGTACAAAGTAATTATATAGAGCTTGGAACCAAACGATGCCATCTCGACCTGATGTTCCGTAAGGTCCCACACTTCCATTGCTGAATAGTCGATATTCGTAGCCGTGAAATACGTGACATGTATACCGACGACGATGATGGTCCAGCACAGGACGGAAAAGAAAGCAAATCCATCGTCGACCTGCAGTCCACGTAGACCGACCGTTCGTAGCCGCACTGCAAATCGCAACACCACCCACAAAACGCCAATGGAGTATAAGGACCAGATCTCAGGCAGAAATCTCTTGTCCTTAACTGGTGCCATATGAACTGTAATTGTTCGTGTGTAACAAACACACAATATACAGCCTCACGGCTGATATTAGTAAAGAAGGAGAAGTGGTTTGATATGCGGAGAAGACAATCGACATCTCGAGGCACTATAAACTCGTACCCCGAGCGGGAAAACAGCATGTATGAAGACGAGGGGAATCTCGAAGCCCGCCTGTCCGCTACTTAGCGTTGTAAATAGCGTTTGCGTAGCATGCAATTTGTCGACAAACTTTCCTTATCTGTGCCGTGTCAGCTTCAACTGTTTGGCCGGTACGCTTAAATCAAGCTCGACCAATCCCAGCGCCAGCGTCCCGTTCCGCTGAATTGTTCATTCGCTGTTGATTCTGGTCGATTAGAGATACCTAGTTGATGCTGTTTTTCCGTCTGCGCCATCTGAGGAGAGGTATCGCACCGGTCTTCAACAAAAGTCGGTCAAGATGGTTCACATTAGACTTGCGATCGGCAGACCCCGCAGCCTGCCCAACAAGCTTTCTTAGTTGATCATCTAGCGGACGTTTGCTGATGGGTGAATCCAAGATCTGCGAGCACATGCACGCTTTGATGTTCAGAGGAAGCCTCGATTGCAGGACTTCCTGTCCATAAATTTCTAGGAGGCGATGTATCAGGACAGTGTCATTGCATCCTTCTGATTGCGTGGAATAGTCGAGGCCGAACCGTTCCGAACGCCACGGATCAATAGGTTTATTTGTCGGGCGACAGAGAAAGGCATATTCATGGATGCGATGTCGTTCCACACGAGCAAGCGACAATCCTAGCAAAACGAAAGGTGCTGACGCAGGTTGGTCAATGAACATGTATTCTAGTCGGCTTATCACTTGGTTGCTCCTATCTCGGCTGGCAATTGTAGGTTGGTGTACTTGTGAGCAGCTGTGGGAGCTGTAACAACTTTGTCGTGCTGCAGGCAACCGGCCTCATTTTCTGCCGGTAGTACACAGACCTTGTTGGGTGGTGCGGGAACGACAAAAGCGAGACTTCTGATCAGCTTATCAAGGTCCTACAGGGGGTGACCACGTCGGCTGGTACACCTCTAGGCCCGACATCTTTGTAGCAACTAGGAGCTGCCCCCGAAGCTGAATGGTTGGCCCATAGCTCTAGCAGCTGTACAGCGGGACCGGATTGTACGAGAGCCGATGCGGCTATCCCATGTAGAGCGATCCCTCAATCTGTCCACGGATTTGACGACCTCTTAATAGTTCCCGGATGTGTGCGGATACCTCTGACTCTCACACTAAACCTCTTTGCACACTATCCGCTGCCTCTACACTCTTTGCTTCTGGCAATGCCCCTCTCTATCTCGCCCGATGAGCTCTCCTACTGGCAGAAGCTCTTAGTTATTAGCTGTGCCCTGCAAGACGCTCGTACAGGTGCAGGAGTCGCAGAAAAAGCTGCAGCTTTTGTGGACGATCTATGATCTAGAACAGGTGAGTTTCGTAGTGAAGCTAAAATCAGGGCAGTAACGGCGCGGCGCGGCGCGGAAGGCGGAAGTTGATACATAGGTGGACGCTTGACAACGCGGAAGCCTGAAAGCCGCGGAAACGTAGGGTTTGAAGCTGGGGAACACGAAGTGCACCAAGCTTGACAGTGATGCCGTGCACTGAGGCAAAAATACTAATACATACAACAGCGGGTATTCGCTAGTGGTCACCCACCTAACTACTAATCCGCCGGTACGTTGCTTAAATAGGGCTGAGCGAACGGGAAGCCTTGCTTTCAACGTCCTATGGTCGTATGTGAAAGCTTTTTGAGATCATGACATTAATATCCCAAACTCAAGCTAGCAGGTATGATTACATCCATTCAGGCAAACGAGCGATGACACTTACGACTACAGACGCAGAAGCGGGTCACGCTCAATGAAAGTATGTGGCGTAGTTCAGGTGATCGAGGTGGTTGCGGTGTGCAAATGACTGTATTGGTGAGACTAGCTAGCATCTGAGTATGAGTTTTCTGATTTTCTTGTTCGCGTCAAAACGTGTTCGTGGGAACGGACCCTAGCTCGGGTCTTGAGCGTAAGGGAAGTGTGTTGCAGCAATACACTCCCAGCAGCTGCGTGAGCGCTCCATCTGCAGAGAGTTGCCCAAGCGTGACCGCCGCGCTCCGAGTCGAGTGATCGCCGATGACGTGTACCCACGATTTGGGCCAAGGCACTGGGAGATCAATCGTACTTACATGTCCGAAGAGCTAGTCCTTCGGTCGCGCTATCGATCATTTTTGCATCGCAGGCTGAATCCAACGCTTGGTCTGAAGTCCTCGATTGGCCTTGAGGGGCCGGCGGATCCACAGTTGACAGGCATTTGTCTGACGAAATGCCACTTATCCAGGTATTCAGGCTTACTTGGACTTAGGTCGTATGCCTCGAGAAGTTCCCTCTCCTGAGGTTCTGTCAGAGATGTAATCAATCATAGTTGCCAGGCCCACCGATTTGACTAGCGAAGGCAGTAGAGACACTGCGAGCATCATCGTCGTCAAATCCAAGACCGTTGCGCAGACCACGACCGGCGGCAAATCCTCCGCCCATGTTGGGGCCTTGGCGAGTTGATTCGACAAAGCGGTTCAGACGGTCAGATTGACTAAGCGATGTAGGCTTGTTGTAGTCGTTTAAGTTCAAACCAGAGAGACTGATACCACCAGGAGCATCGCTGCGTGTGTCTGTGAGCTCACTCGCCGCAATGGATTCACCGGCAACGCTCTGCGGTGCCCTGGGCTGTCCCCTACCGCCTTGACCGTTGCGGCCAGGTAGGGGCCATGACTCCTGGAAGTTGGAGAACATGGGAGGATAGTTAGAAGGCACACCACCGAGAGCGGAAGAGTGAACGGATGAGACATCATCAGGGATGTAGCCGACGATGGAGCCATTGTCGTTGTATTCCTGACGAGTTGGCTTGCCACCGCTGTAGCTACCTTGACGACCGGAGGTCATAGCATTGGCGTGCTGGTAAGCCATTTGGTAGCGTTGGGGTCCGCGGTAGGTCTGCTTGGGGCGACTGAACTGCAGCAGCGAGACCTGGAGATTGGACAGCGGTCCCTCGACAAGGCAGTTACGCTCCTTAAAGTGGAGCAGAAGGTAGTGCCACAGTGGATGCTTGCTGAGCACCTTAGGATTTCCAAGAATCACAAGACCATACTTGGCACGAGTGAGAGCAACGTTGAGGCGGCGAGGATCGCTCAAGAATCCAATGCCCTGGTGGTCGTTGGAGCGGACGCAGGACAGAATGATGAAATCCTTTTCACGACCTTGGAACGCATCGACCGACGCAACCTCGACTTCCTTGTAGTTCTCCTTCTTAAAGCTGCCAGTTGCCTGCATGGAGCTGACAACGTAGCTGCGCTGACCCTCGTATGGCGTGATGATACCAATATCACTGGGCTGTACACCTGCCTTGAAGAAGCGAGTGACAATCTTCTCGACATTCTGTGCCTCTGTTCGGTTGAGGTAGGAGGTTCCGCTGGCTGAAATCTCCTCAGCGCCAAGATTGGACCAGAACATCATCGGATTGTCAGCTACAGGCCAAGGGAAGTCCACGTCGCGGCGAACACGCTCCTGCATGGTAACACCGTTCTGGAGCGAGCCTTCGTAGAACATGTTCGAGGGAAATTCAGATAGACATGGGTGCATACGGTACTGCACTTGGAGACGAATCGGAGAGCAGCCCAGAATGACCAACCGCTCGAAGAGAGATTGGTTCAACCCTGCAGTAGCGGCCTTCTTGTTCATGATAACCGGGCCAAGCTGCTGGTGATCACCAACAAGGACGACCTGCTTGCATCCAAGGACGAGAGGGATCATGCACTCAGGTTCGGCTGACTGCGTAGACTCGTCGATGAGGACAGTGCGGAACTTCATCTTGGACAGACGTGGGTCGCCAGCACCAACGCAGGTGCAGCAAATGACGTCGGCGGCATTGAGGATCTCGCGCTCGGCTGCACGCGTGAGCTGCTTGAACTTCTTCTCATCCTGACTTGACAGCTCGCCAACGTCGCTCTTGAGCTGATTGAGCTTGTTGAGCTCGACGTTGGTGTCGTTCATGCGGACCTGCTCGTGAAGAGACAAAAAGCCAACCGGAGACTCGACGTCCTCCCTCGACTTGGCAGTTACACGAACAGTCTTCAACCCAGTAAGATGGATACGTTCGCACAACTGGTCAACAGCGACGTTAGATGGTGCGCAGACGAGCACTTGGCTGCCGCTGATCTTGCAAAGGTGGTAGATGATGGTCGCTGATGTGACAGTCTTTCCGGTACCTGGAGGACCCTGGATCAAGCTCAGAGGTTTTTGCAGAACGCTTTTCACAGCGTTGATCTGACTGCCATTCAGCTCCGGCAGACCAGGTACACTGAACTTGCGAGGGATTGTAATCTTCATAGGGGCCGATGCCACCTCATGACCAAGAAGGCGGTGGAAGATGTAACCAGATACACTCATCTCATCGATGGCGAAAGTCTTCATAGCGTGCTGCATGCGGTCGAACGAAGTCGCTTTCCATACGTAGTCGGCGCTGAAGTTGTGGGTGCACTCGGTGGGAACTGACTTGTGGTCACCCTTTGTGCGAAGCTCGATAGTCACCTCGTCAGACTGGTTGTTCGGGATCTTGATCACATATCCAACGCCTTCCCAGTGAGGTCGCAGTTCTCCAGTGTATCTCAGGCGCATTTCGTCTCCTACAGCAAGCTTGACATCGCCCAACTCGAGCTTGGGAAGAATAAAGCTGGCGGTATGCTTGTTGTTCAAGGCCATATCCCAGCGCACGATCAGGTTATCCTGCGACTGTGATTCCTTCAGCTTGCGGTCGTAATCAGCTTCGATCTTGACCAGTGGCCCAAACACATTCTGGTACTGGAACGCGTCGTCGTAGCGCAGCAGCACCTTGGCAATGACCTCCTCTTGCCCAGCACCCTTCTCCAGATCTGCGATTGTAGCGTTTGCATTGTCCTTCCACAGCTCCTCAAGCTTAGCGATCGTCTGCGGACTAAGATGACGAGCACGGAGTTGCTCTTGATCGGTTGGGGGAGGCACAAGCCAAGGGAGGAACGAGCGGTCTTCGATCAGCGGCTGCCAGCGCGAGGTATCCCAGTTCATGTCTTTCTGCGAGGGCATCGAAGCGCATGGCTGACGACAAAGAAGAACTACAACAGTGTCTGACTTCGCTGGGATGAACCCAAGGAGGAAGACGTTCTTGACACCGCAGCTGTAGCATTCAAGGGTGGTGTCACCGAGCGAGGAAGCTGGGTGCAGCTGAACCTCCTTGTGGCGAGCGCGGACAAGATGATTGATGATGTGTGAGGACGAAGAATTGCCACGAGCGCTGCAGAACCACTTGTTGCATGCCAAACACTTGACGACACTGCCTGCATTGTGAATGCCGCAGTACGCGCAAGCGTGAGCTGGGAGCTCGACTTCCTCCTCTTCCTTGACGAGCTGCTGTCCATTTACTCCTCCAACTGTCATATCCATCATGCTCTCCGCATCATCGTCGAAAAGATCGTCGTCTTCGTCGTCAGTCCTGCGGCGGCGAGCGCTCAGCCCGGTGATCTCGTCGTCGCCGGCGCCAGCGTTAATGGTGGCGGCGGAGTCGGAAACTAGGTGATTGCCCATGTGGGTAAAAGCGCCCTCCATGGTGGCGGTCGTGGTGGTGTGGGTGCGCTCGAGGTGCGTCCCGGTGTTTGTTCGATATTCAGATCGCGAGTGCGCAAGGTCGGTGCGGCAACGAATGCCGGTGGCGGTGGGGTCGTGGGGTGAAGAAGTCTTGGGCGTTCACACCATCTCCAGCATATGTTTCTCGTGTGCGCCGTGGGCTGCGCGCAACTTGCGGTGTTGTCGTGGTGGCGACCAAAAGCTTGCTGTCAAAGTCGCGAGCTTTCCCGTTCGCAGCTGCAGCAATCGGCAGACGGAGGCAATCGCCTTGGCACAGCCCCTCCATGAGGAAGGCGCAAGCATGAACACGCTCCACCATCATCACGAACGTCCACTTCACCCTCAAAATTCGAAGGATCACTCTGGCGAAACTCCTTAAAATCACTGATCACATGATCGTGCTCTCATGCACGTCACAGACGCCAGCTGCGGGCATCCTACTCGTGTCACGGCGACATCTACGACCTTGTCCCAGTATATCTTCCAGATAGCGGGCACCTTTTGCGAAGAAGCGATCAACTTTTTCAATCTACAAAGGCTGTTGACCTAGTAGTATTCACTCGAATTTGAACTTCGTTATGGGATTGACCGCATTCAGTTGTTCCCACGTTCAGACTGTTTGCTCCACATCTAGCAGGTACCTCGACCCACATCTCATGGTCAATTGCACACGCTGTCTTGACACCTGTACGTGAGGTGTCGAGCACTTGCAAAGCATAGCTATCTGACGGACTATCAGCATCTTGAGTGTCAGGAAGCTCTGAGAATCACTAGCACACAAATGTACCATGCCTCGTTGGCTCCTCATTTTAGCAGTAAAGTAGGTACTTGGCCGTCTCGGCAGTATCTAAAATATCATTTCTTCTTCTTCCTCCTCCACTCATCGCCACCTCATCGCAGCCGTGCGTGCCACTATCTGTTGGTGCTATCCCAGTCGGATATTCTCAACACCGTCCCATGCCTCGTCACCCTGGTATGTTATCTGATAAGACACGCACGTACATAAACGCCGTCCCACTCATCGACCGCGTATGGGTCAAACGTCCTGCACCGCACCACACTGACAAGCCCTACTCGAAACGCGCGCTATGGAGACGAAGGCGAGTGGATCGCTTGTCTTCATGGCAGGCCTCAAAATCGCCATGCCACAAGTCCGTGACCCTGGCAGGGGAATTTTGAGGAACACTGGGTCAGGGGTCGAAAAATCTCCGAAAATTGATAATGGGCTTGGCCGCCGTGTTGAGTTCAAGCGTGAGCCGTACGATGATAACCCATGCCACAGGACCCATGTCTATGAGCTGATTAGTGTGCAGGTTACCCCGGATCAGCGAACGTTGGGATCGTGTCGCAGGATCCCTGACGTTGGAAGATTCTGGAAAGGACAAACGTGTTTCGAGGTTTCGCCGTGTAGAGTTCAGGGTCCGACGTTGGAGATGGTGAAACTAACGGGTGACAGAAGAGAATCGGTACCAAGGCTGTAGATGAAACACCAGGATCTTCAGGAGACGGAACAGCCGGAACAGCTGCACGAAGGAAAGGTACAAGTCTTGTCCAATGATAGAAGTGTTCTGCTGTGGTACTAGTCTACTTATCTGCATGTGTGAGTAAGAGCAGATCAGTCATAGTAGGCAAAAGATAGTAGCGATCATTGAGTTTACTCGTGATGCATTGCAGTATCTATTTGTGACTGCATTCTTTGCTCGTCTGGTATCATGATGCTACGGTTTATGGATCATGTTATGAAATGCTGTCGGCCGGTGTATGTGGAAGATGAGGAAGATAAATCCCAAACGCCAAGTGCTATGCCGCAAAGAAAACAAGAGAAGTCGAAGAACATGAGCAAAGAAGCCTACGAGGGACTCAGGCCTCTTCTATCACACCAGTCGCAAGCATGCTTTCCTTGAGCTGCTTCTTGTACTCGCGCTCCATGCCGTGCCGGACTGCCTCGAGGACGTTGTCGACAGTGGCCTTGGGAGTGAAGTTAGGCTTGGTACCAGCCTGGTACACACCGGTCTTGACGAGAATGGAGTACCAGTTGGCATCGTTGGTGTGCTTGTCAAACTCGTTGGTGCCTCTGATGTCAGACTCGGGCGTGTCACCAACGAAGTAAACAGTCTCGGGAGCCTCGTTGATACCGTGGGTGTCCTTACGCCACCTCTTAAGAAGACGGGTAGCGAACTCGAAAGTACCGATCTGAGGCTTGCCGAAGGCAGTGGTTTGGAGTTCCTTGCCAGTAACAGCCTTGTACATGGCCTCGAGAGAGACGCGGAGAGCACCCATGCCGATACGGGTGAGATCGTGGGACGCGCTCCAGACGACATCGTTGTGGGAGAAGAAGACCGGTGGACCCTCATCGAAGGTCTCAGATCTTGTACCGAGACGACCATTCTTGGACATGAGTAGGTCAAGAATGATCTGCTGGTCAGAAGCCCAGTCGCGAGAGTCAGCGAAAACGAAGATAGCCTCAATCTCAATCTCAGCAAAGTTGCGGGCTCGCGAGTTCTTGTACTCCTCATCGGTCAGTGTGCGGAAAGGTGTTGTGTCCTGGTTATCCTTGATGATGTCTCCTGGTGTGACGACGTCCTTGAAGCCGTAGCCTTCAGCGACGATGCGGCACTTCTCGCCTTCACCACCGACGACGAGAACGGTGCCATACTTCTCAGCCATCTCGCCCATGGGTGTGTGACCACAGATGAATTGTCCGGGCGACACCTCCATCTCGAGCTGCTGACTCAGCTGGATACAACGCTCAGCTTCGGTCTTACCGCCACCGTTTGTGACGAAGATGTATGGGACCTTGATGCCATACTCGTTCTCGCCGTTGAGCATCTTCATGGCTTCAATAGCCTCCGGAATAGGGCGGCCACCACGAATGAGAACACCGTCAATATCGAAAGCATATGCATATTTGTCGGTGACGGTGGTCTCTGTGGGTGTACCAGTAGGAGATGATGCACCCGACCCTGTGGAGACCTGAGAGTCCAGGCGTTGTCTTGCTGATTCGAATCCTGTAGCGACCTCTGATGCGCCAGATGGGGCCATCAAATGCTTTGGGGGGACAACGACTGTAGGGCCCATTTGCACACTCTCACGTGTAGCCTCAATGGACGAGAGGCGTCGCGCAAAGCGACCCGCCTGGGGCACCGCAAGGGAAGGCGCCGACATGGTGGAAGTGTTGTGGTAGAATCCTTTGGGAGTGAGGATAGTCGTAAGATGTTGCTCTTCCGTTCTGATGATGTAGTGGATACGTGAGAGAATATCGTTTTGTATTCGTGGGAAGTTGTACTCTTCTTATAGGAAAGACCTGGGCAACTCTTTGATGGAGCGGAGATGAAGAGTGGATACTTTGTGGAGGTGGGTAACTGGAGGTGGAAATGTGGGTACCTTTGGTGGACACGGGTGACAGGATGCTCGAGAGTTTATACAGAATCCAAATGCCGCAGCTACAACCTTTTCATTACTCATGGTTACTATCACTTGCAACTGTAGCGGTCAGAATGCTTCGATTGACGTCGATTTGCCGGTCCCTGAACGCAAAGCTTATCAGTTACGGTCAGCTAAACCGCGATTTGGCGGGGCCATTGGCGTCATAGTCTTCACCCAACAATGATCCCAAGGACTTCGTACAGCGACACCTTGTCGCAAGTTGCGCTCCTGGCGCAATCTGGGCGGTGGTGCTGTGTCTTTCGAATCTTATTCGATAGCGGTTGCAGTACAAGTGGGTACTGACCGCAGCAAACCGTCCTGGAAGACACATGGCGCGACGCTGCAGCGGCCTGGATGTGCAACCCGCCTGCCTATGACAGGTTCATGCCGAGCCATTCTTCGACACGGCCGCGCTCGACAGTCGCTGGTGCGGAACGATGTTGCAAAAACCGAAGGATCGTATGCACGATGACGCAACACCGCATTCTCAGGCGCCTCGCCAAAGGAGCCTCAAAACGGGCCAAGCAGTGTCCGAGAGACGATGTAAGGGACTGCAGGTTTTGTCCAATCACAACACGATCGTAGAATAGCGCTTCTGAGCGTAGTATGGATCTTCATGTCATCATCCTTTCGGCGAGAATTTAGAACAGGCCGGCACACCTTCTCGTCGCCAAGTCTTCAGGGTCTGATCTGGCGGCTGAAAGAATAATATTCGGTAGATGTTCCCTCCCATACGGACAATCGTAGAAGGGTTCGATTACATGGCCACCTCATGTTCGGTGCAGTTCGCCGGTGCGAGCGACGTCTTACAAAATGCTACTTGGTGCTTACTTGACCATTCGGCTCACCTATCTTTTATCGATCTTCACATGTCGAATCCTGTTCACTCGTCAGGCTGCAGGACATGCATAACACGGCAGACCGCACCTCACTCGTAGTGGGGCTCTCACCACAATGCCGCCTGCCGGGCTCTCTCGATGCAGCGCTTGACGTAATTGCACTCCTGTGAAGTAATTACCGCTCTGCAATCGCAGCAATTCGGCCGCCGAGTGATTTTCGACGCAACATGTCTTGGCGTCCTGCGACAACGCAAATATGTGCGAAAGACGATCATGTGAAGCCTAGTTCATCGTCTGGAGAGTAATAGCAGTAGAAGCATCGTTTCAATCAGCAACTCGGTGACTGCAGAATGCGATCCGGTGAAGGGGGCAGAAGACAACAATAGATGACCTGTGGGTCTTGCCCAAGGCATGCAGCGATGTTTGGATATCGAAATCCGCTCACTCCTTCCGCTCCGCACTTGAGGCGAAGCACGTTGGAGACTGGGTACATCACCGAACCAAATAGACGGCATACCGAAAGTGGAAGGCCGAGAGGGGTGGAACAACCACTGTTCGGAGACAGGCGACCTCCCAGACACCGACAAAGAGACGGATGTAGCAGCCGAAGACTCCAATATACGAGGGCAGCTTCAGTGCACGAGACTACTGTGCCAATACAACCAAAACCCGCGTGTGAGCATAGTGCTTCCCCGGTGTCGATCGGTGGTTGCGCGCTTCGCGAACGCCCTTGAAGAGGCTCTGGAGTGTCATGATCGACATGAGAATGCTCAGTTGTTCTCTTCAGATGCAGCAGACTGAGCTGCATTGATGTACAGTCGGTGTCTCGGTGAAACGCGCAAATTTTTCAACAGATGTTCACGTTGGACCAGGAAAGCAACAGATGCTGTTGAAGGGATTCTCCGCGTGCGAAGCCTAGCGCGAACATACAGCGACTCTCCATGGGGTTGGCAGCACAGAGGGACCGTTCTCCATGAAACTCCACTGCTTTTGCGGGGAAAGGGTGCCACTGTGGGTGCGTCATAGGTACCGCAGTCAGGCCGACTCACCGAGTGTTACAGAATCGACAATTTAGCCGATCCTTGAACGTTGCTGCTCACCTCTGCTGCTGCTGTAGTCTGCGGCTGACGGTAGCGACGGTGGTGGTAGTCGACTGAGTTGTTGGTGTGAGCTTGGGATGAGGCAGGTGCGAGGTCATCTTCAATGGAAGGCACGCGAGAGTGACGCGCCTTAACAGGCTTCTGCAAAACTCACAACCACCCAAGAAACAGCGACATGTCATGCAGCGCCAGTCGCCGTAATGAATTGGACCGGCGGCACTCTCCAATGCACCAAACACGCTAACAAAGGCGTGATACAGAAACAGAAAGCTCACTTTGCGCGTGCACGCACGCAGCAGCAGCAAAGTCCAGGTATACCAGCAGTGCCATTTCGTCCAGACTATTTGCAGTATGGCGATGACTATGAGCTTGGGCAGCGCCTTATTTCGTTCGACACAGGTTCAGTGCGACATATGGGCCACTCGACTGAGAAACGCCGAGAGGAAGGTCAACGTTTGCCCACAACACAACAGTCTCGACGTACATCCGGCTATAGCAACCTCCAGGGGAGAAGTCTGCGTGCCTTGCCGAGTAGGCGAAACAGCAGATCTGAAAATGGTCTGTGATCTCGCAAGTACCCACAATATATGTTACTGATATGCTACAGAATGGCAGCAGGAGAGGAAGAGGCAGGACGCAAATACTGAAACGGAGACCCAATTCCTCGAGGCTAATAAGAAACGACTGTTGAGGCAACAAGACTGGATTGGCGTTGCCCCCTCACGACCTGTTGATATGCACTTCCTGTCAATCAAGGAAAAGAGTCGTATTGGCAAGCGCAGGAAGCTCGAGGGACATAGCAAAGCATCAACTCGCCACCACAGTCCGACTACATTCCTGCGTCGGCCCACCCAAGATGAGCTCGCAGGTCACGATGACGCCTTTATGAGCGGTGCTCTGCCTGTACTCCCCGCTGCTGACAAGATTCGAATTCAAATTGGATCAGATGCATTGACGACTGCCGCATCAACGCAGCCTAATGAATACGCTCGATCACAGACCAACTCAGACTCCATGCTTTTTGATGAAGAGTGGGAGGATGCAGTGCAAGTACCAGATTCAGGAACTCCCCGGGATCTTACTCGCGCAAACTTGCAACTGACTGTCCCTCCACCTGTACAGCCTGACAGAAGCTACTCGCCGGAGCCGGGCCCTTACGCACGCAACTATCTTACAGAACGCTCGGACAATTATGCAGCTGAGCGTGTTCGACATACTTCAGCTGAGTTGAATGCACTGAATCAGTCTACTCACGAAAGCGAATCTACCGGCCCAAGCTACCGACTCACGCACCATGTAGGAGGTGCCGAGCGTCCTCTGAAGCTAGTCTTCGGCGATGAACATCCTTCAGTAGCCAGTCCTATAGCGTCTGTCACTTACCAAACTGGCGAGCTGCAGCGTGTTCATGCAGACCTTGCTGCCGAAGAAATCGAGACAGGCCATGCACCCTGCTACATCGGTGAGCCTCGTCAGCTCGATGTCAGAAGGTATCCAAATCCACATTCGATCGACGATGATGAGCCATGGAAGCTGTACTTGGACATAGGTACATCGAGCTCTGGCCACGTCCATGTGGAAGATGGGACCGGAACGAGCGTCCCGCAGCCTCACGTTCCTGCACGAAATACACGAGCTGATCGCACAAGCTGGCCACAGCATACTGCCCAGAGTCATCTTACGCACGTCAACTTGTCGAAATTCTCCGCCTCTTTCCCTGCTGTAAATCGGCGAAGTGGACGTGTTCCATACGCACGAATCTTTCCGCGGACCGATGCTGTGAAGGAGGTCGACAATGATGAGGCTCTCTGGCAATCCTGGGTACTCGATAGCGACCCGCAGTCTGCAAACGGGGTAATCCACACTCACGATGAAACAAGTGAGGACTCGATGTCGCACGCAACAAAAGCTTGTGCTTCGACCAGACTGCCGCGTTCCAACGCTGTCACCTCTGTGAGCACGATACCATTTTCATCCACACCGTTCAAGTCGTTATCAGGACAGGCTTCGCGCATAAGCGACGACGTACGGTACTTACTACACTCAGGGTCCCGGTCGATCACCTCAGTGGCTCCATATGGCGTGTCGAGTCGTGTCGAGTCGCCAAGCGAGGACGATGTCCCGGGTGAAAACCAGGGCGAGAAGACACCTGCACACAGCCGCTTCGGCGAGCAGTCGACCCATGCCTCATTGCAAAACCATTTGTCTCATGGTAGTGCTATGTCCAGTGACACAGAAACGTCCCGCAACGATCTGGACCAGTACAGCCGTGCATGGGACGATGGTTCGAGGGGCCCGCACGCGAGTGGGGGCGCTGATTGGCAACGAGGTCGGAGTTCATCTATACGGGACATACCAGACAGCGATTGAGCGGATATCGAAATTGTCGACGCCGATAAGTCGATGTAGGTTTGTTTCATGGCAGGAGGTCGGTGGGGGAGACGCGTCCCTTGATTCGAATTTCGGCATCTTTTCCGTTCGTTGGGGCAGGTGCGTTCATCTTCTGCCCGTGTCAAGAATGATTAGAATCCAGGTTCGCAAATCAATAAATTTCGTTTGACAGATGCTGTGTCACGCTCTTCGTAGCATGAGCTGGGGCTGCTGAGCTGAGCTGACTTCCTAAAGCGATCTGCCTAGCTTCCTTCAGAAGTTCCTGAACACGTGGGGGTGGCTGTGATGTCGCGCTTAGTTCTCAATACCGCTCGACTATGGGCGATTCCTACAAATTCGCATCCTCAACGTCAACCTGAGATCCTGCGTCGATGTAAGGCAGGCGACTCGACAGGTATCTGCTCTGACAGCAGAGCTCGGTATTTGTTCCGTCCAATCGTCAGCCCTGTAACCCTTACGGACAAGGTTTCGCTGCGTGTCATCCAATCTTGCGACATGGAGGAGCAGATAGAGCTACGTGCGTGAGGCTATTTTGAGGCTTGCCCTGTCAGTTCACGGAAGCCACACCTTGCGTACCATGGACTCACAAGGCTGAATCGGAATGTGCGGAGCAAAGTGGGTACAAGGGAGATGAAGGACGTGCCCAACAAGCACCTTGACGGGTTTGACAACTCATCGAGCTTGCTGTCTTCTAGTCGCAGGACTCACAGCAGCGAGCAGACGATTGGTTGCTGGTGTCCGTCGAGAGGAGGAGACATCACACTGCCAACAGGTCACATGGACATGGCTGTTCCCGGATTACGATGTGCGGGGACGGTGGTCTGATTCGTGAACGACTTTAGGGGCGGGAGGGAGCAATCCTACTGACACCTTCTCGAAGGCGGCGCGGGAAATCACGCGACTCTTTACATTCTGCGCCGCATCTGCAATTGCGTGCGTCGCGGCCTTTTTGCGGATACGGAGGCGACAGCGAAATGTTAATGTTGCGCTGCTACCTGCACGGCTCTACGACGTCGCCGAGCCTGCTCTTTGGGGGCATTGAAGCATGGCGTGAAGTTTACACGATACGATACAAGAGCGAGTCGCAAGTTGTGGGCAGTATCGTATGAGGTGGTTGAGACTCGGTACCCTGTTTTTGCGCAGTCGAATGCATCAAACAGGTGTGGGCAGGGATGATTGACAGGGGTAAAGTCAAACCGCTGTGCCGGCTTCGTCCTTTCGTTTCAACATTACGGCAGTCCCGCGCCACGTGTAGGAGAGAAGCCACAGTTGCCTGTCACTGAGTGCGAACTTCGCGGCGCGCTGCAGGTCACTGGAAGCAGACATTGTTGCGATCGCCGCGGTGCAGCCAGCAGACAGACGAACGCTGCGACAAGCTGGCCGCAAGCCCCTTTGCTCACCGCACTGCCGCACGCCCGTTGCTGCGTAAGATTGGGGCCGGTAAGGTCGGCTCTGTCACAAACAGCACCCACGTTAAATGACGAGCGACAAGAGATGCTGAGGGGTTTCTGAGGCCACCACTGCGACCAAGGCGCGGACTAACTGCCTTCTGTCTCGTAGCAGTGCCAACTCAGCACTGCAGGTGGTGTGCCATTGTCGTGCTTGTAGCAGCGCTGCTTCTGCTGCCGTGAGTTCCGACAATGAAAAGAGGAGCGCGTGGAATCTCGTGGATGCCTTATTATGTGGGTGGCAAGGCTGAGCACTGAGCATACCCAGCATGGCAGATCCTTGGTGTTGTGACAGGCGAGCGCACCACCGCACGTCTGGGCTACCACGACCACACCCAACGGCTGCTGTCGAGCAGCTGCTAGGCATGTGGCAGTGATGCCTGGCGGCCTGATGATGCCACTGTGGAGAGAGGCTCTGGCGCTGGCCTGATTGGAGCCCACTTCTTGCAGCAACGGTACGGACGTCATCTGCGAGCGTTTCATTGCTGGGGCGTGCCCAGTGTGCCGGTCCGCGGCTCTCCAAACATTAGGGCTTCGTTAGCAGCTCGCCAGCAGGGAAGGGCTTTCGTGAGTCCAACGTGGCCGGGATGAATCGAATTAGACGGGGCGGCGTAGAGCCCGGAGCCCAATAGCAGCCTGGTCAGGGGCGCGGCTCAAGGGATGCACAAGATGAGCGTGTGCTGGTGGTATTAGCAAAGATTTTTCAGCGGGCTTACCTGCTTCAAGGAGTAGCCCGCCAAGCCGCTCGCCATTTCCTTGACATTTGAGCGTACCTGCCCTAAGGCGACCGTTTCGCCCTCAGAGCTATCCGTCGGTGCCGTGCTACTTACAAAGGGGAGCTGGACACAGACACCATCTCTTGAGCCGTCACCACTCGCCGCGACGCATCCTCACACAATCACCCCGCAGCGCAAGCAAACACAGCCAACATTACACGCGCTGCTTTGGTTTATCCTACGGCCGTGTGCGAACGACCGCATTCGGCATCTGCACCTAACCCCCACGAGCGGCGCCCCGTAGCAACTACCCGAAATACACTACCCTGGTCGTGTCTGCGTCTGCACGTCGCTGCAAGAAATTCAGCTCAGCGCTGTCCGCCTCACCAGCTGACCTGCGTCCACACGCTCACTGCCTGCGCGCCCGCCCAGCGCGCTTGTGCATCCATCCCAACCCGTCGTAGCCGAGAACGCAACGCAGCCTATCGATCCATCTCACGATGCACGAAAGCTCGTAGCTCATGCTCTCTTAGGACCCCAGCTGGCTGTTGATCCTCCTTTGCTATTACTTCCCGTTGGCGCCCGCCCGCCGTATCCACTCCTTCAGTTGCTCCTCTACACCATGAAGAAGCATTAGTACTGCCTCACGTTACGCATCTTGCATTTTACCAGCAAACATGTCGTTGCTCAACGACTCATTCACCAGGCCCCGGATGCCGTCGCCGTCACCAAGTTTTGCACGCATGACGGCGGCCATCAGCATTCCTGGCTCTAGGGGCAGCCCAGCATCCACACCCTCCTACCTCAATGCCTCCCTCCAGTCGACACCAGAGGGCATTGTGCCTATCATGTCGAGCTCGCTACCGGCCGTGCCGTCCTATAGCCTCCCCGATGCGCTTCTGCCGCCACCAATGACAGCAGCGCCTACTTCGTCTCCATCTGCCATGGCTGAGGCTCTCGGCAAAGGACCTGGTCTGATCCGAAGGGTCAGCCGCGGTGCGCAAGGCATCCCAAACAGGTTCCGCCGGAACAACTCGCAGGCACACCGAGATCGAAGTCAAGGACCAGTCGTCATGCGCAGACGAAGTGACAGCAGGACAGCCGCCGACGGCGAGGCCTGCATCTCGGACTTTGACGCATTCGAAGAGGAGGACGCAATCGACGATGCATATGGCGAGCCCATCAACGCGCTGGGCATCTCGAGTACCCAGCCCAGTGTTAGCTCAATACCAGACTCAGCAGTCGTAGCACCGGTGCGCAACTCCCGCTTAGAGCAAGGGACCGTTTTGAGGAAGGTCACAAAGAAGGAGAAGAAGGAAATCAACTTGCGCCTCGATCTAGAATCGGCAAAGGTGTTCTGGGACCCTTCTCGACCATCGAAGTGCTTCTACATCGACGATGTAAGACAAATTCGCTCAGGACTGGAGGCCAAGCACTACCGTGAAGAAGTTGGTCTATCAGAAGCTTGGGCACCCTACTGGTTCACCATCGTATACACCGACACATCACGTACCAAAGGTCGGATACGGACTATGCACCTGATTGCACCTGATATTGGTGTATTCAACATGTGGACTGAGACACTCGAGTCAGTCTCACGCAACCGAATCGATATGATGGCGGGCCTGTTGGGCTTTGCGGATAAGAGTGCGAAGCTTGTTTGGCAACGCGAGATGAAGAAGCGCTCAAATGGCGTCGAAGCACCTGACTCTCTGGACTTCCCAAGCACTATCGAGCTGTGCCGTAGTCTGCACATCAACTGCACAGAAGCAACTCTGCGCATCTACTTTAACAAGGCCGACACTCTCAACACCGGTAGACTGAACCAGACGCAGTTCTTGTACTTCGTCAGGCGCCTGAAGGAGCGCAAGGACATCAAGCAGATCTACAAGTCTTTCCAGTCAGGATCGAAAGTAGAGATGGACAAGATCACTTTCTTTGCCTTCTTACAGCACGAGCAGGGTATCGACGTTACAGAGGATCCGGACTACTGGTCGAACACCTTCGAGAAGTTCGCACGTGCCACGAAGACAAAGCAGACCCCAGCAGAAGGCGGCGAGATCCCACTCCCACTTACGATGAGCTTCACTGCGTTCCAGACATTCTTGACCTCGCCTGCAAATTCGGTCATCAAGCCAGTCGAGAAGGATCTGCAGCTCCATCGCCCTTTGAACGAGTACTTCATCTCCTGTTCCCACAACACCTATCTGCTTGGACGCCAAGTCGCCGGGGAGTCTAGCACTGAAGCCTATATTACAGCACTCCAGAAGGGATGCCGTTGCATTGAGATCGACTGCTGGGATGGCAGCGATGGAAAGCCCGTCGTCATGCATGGTCGCACCTTGACATCGAGCATCTCCTTTCAAGACACAATCAAGGTTGTCAACAAGTATGCCTTCGTCGAGTCTCAATACCCACTCATCCTGTCACTCGAGGTACACTGCACTGCAGACCAGCAGGCAGCAATGGTCAAGACAATGTGTGAAGAGTTTGGGGACAAGCTGGTCCTCAAGCCTTTGGACTTCCATTCTCAGACTCTGCCCTCTCCGGAGGAACTGAAGAATAGAGTTTTGATCAAGGTCAAAGCTGCCTCAGAAGAGTTGGACGCCAAAGCTTTGACCAATGAGCTGACGACAAAGAGACGCGAACGAAGCTTCAGCTCGCCGTGGTCTCGACCTATCCAGTTGAACGACGCCATCATCCCCAACTCACCTCTCATATCAAGCCCGCCGTCCATGAGTCCTCCAGAACGCTCAAATATGTTCTGGGCATCACCTCGCACCTCGACCACCTCGACAAACAACACTGTACCGACTTCAGCACTTGTCAGCTCAGCTGAAGACAGCGACAGCCCGCAAGTGACCGCGGCAGAGGAGCGCAAGAAGCAGCCTAAGAAGAATAAGACCAGCAACATCACAAAACTTCTTGGGGACCTCGGTGTTTACACCAAAGGATACAAATTCACCGACTTTACATCCAGCGATGCACAGACATATAACCACATTTTCTCGGTCAACGAACGTGCATTCGAGAAGATGACCAAGCCTGGCTCACGCGAGAAGCATCTTCTTGAGGCGCATAACATGCGCTGCCTGATGCGCGTCTACCCACATGCATTCAGAATCAACTCATCCAACTTCGACCCTCTCAAGTTCTGGAGACGCGGAGTACAGATGGCTGCGCTCAACTGGCAGACCTACGACCTTGGACAGCAGCTCAACGAAGCCATGTTTGCTAGTGGCAACGACCGCACAGGCTATGTACTGAAGCCTGCGGACCTGCGCCTGGAACAGACACCCACCCAGGGTCACAGCAAAGCACCTAAGAAGGAAGTCAAGTTTGCTGTAAAGATCATCTCTGCTCAACAGCTGCCACGTCCTCGGGGCCTTGCTCAGGATGCCAACATCAACCCGTACGTCGAGTTTGAGATGTACAGCGCCGAAGACAACGGTGCCAATGCTGTCGGTGTTGGCGGACAAGATGCTTCTGCACGCAACGGTCACTCGGGCATCGGCAACCCTCTCCGCAAGCGAACTCGCATTGTTGAGGGCAACGGATACAATCCGGTGTTCGACAGCGAACTGCAGTTGACCGTTCGCACGAGATTTCCGAGTCTAGTCTTTGTGCGCTGGACCGTCTGGAACTCGCTCGATGCGCGCACTACCAACCATGCGCCGCTCGCTACTTTCACTGCCAAGCTCAACAGCCTTCAGCAAGGCTACCGTCATTTGCCTCTCTTCGACAGCAACGGCGAACAGTACTTGTTCTCCACTCTATTCTGCCAGATCAAGAAGCAGGATGTTGTGGACGCTCCAGAGCAGGTATTGGAGCGCACTGGCTCCCGCAGGTCATCCATCGAGCCTGCCAGTCCCTCAATCGAGGCCATCAACGCCAATCCGAAGCGCAACTTCGTCAGGCGCTTGATCAGCCGAGCTCCCAGCGCGGGCAGCAGGCGCAAAGAGGAACGAATCACTAGCGAGTCTCGCGAGTCAGATTTAGACTTGATGAGTCGCTCAAGCACGTTTGAGCGATAACAGGCGCCTAGCGATTTATCCCACCCGGCTGACGACGACATCGACGACATCCTAGACCAAAGACACGCGTCTCCACCGCCAGGACCAGTGGTTGTATTCCTATCACATTTGTACGATTGATCAATTGGTGTTCATCGGCGTTTCGGGTCCACCCAGGCCCTGCTATGGCTTACGCCACGGCAGGAGCCGCGGCATCCTGTTTTCATCTACCTTTCTCGGACGATATACCTGCATTGAGTCACCAACGCCGCACACACATAGTCTATCCACGCGATGTCACCGATACGCATTTGCAAATTGCGCCCGTCGAAACAAGCGGCCACCTCGATGTTAACCCTGGTTTTTTCTGATCAGTCGACACGACGATCTTTGTTTACTTCACTTTGCGTTTCGCATATACCCTTTTCATTCTTGCATTTGGGTTACATTAGGGCCATTGGCGCAGGACCATGCAGGAGCTTGCTTGCTTGCCTGCGGTCATGGCACTGGAGCAACACTTCGGCGATATCCCTAGATTTGTTTCCTTGAGCTTCGTTGCTCAGTCATTCTGACACCTGTTATTTCACTGTCTCTTTTGTTCACTACCGTACATTAACGAAGCTACGACACCACTTTCGATTCGAATCTGCATACTCATTTACCCATATATGGCTCCCGCTCCGAAAGCAGTCTGAAGGGGGTTTAATCAGCATTCTGTGATTGGCTATCCGATCTTCGCTTCTTCATCGTTGGCAAGGTACCAGGTGTATTGATGCGCATGCATGCAGGACATCTTTACAATGCAGCAGACATTGACTTTCACTTCGACTAGGGACGGGCAGGCCTGGCTGGGTTGGGCGCGAGAAGGACGTCGGCAAATGCACTTCTCGGTCCTTCCCGAGCATTTACGAAGATTTTCATTTTCAGAAGGGGCTCGTATAGAGTTAGAAGGGACTAAGATACCAGCTACGTAACAAAAGCTCAAGGGTCAACACAGAAATGATACCATCGGGCTTCTCCACGAATGCCGCACTTTCACCTTTCCACCTTCTCCACCATCGTGCATTGCATTACATCGAATCGACGAGATTTAAAAATTGACATGCAACCTGATAGCGGTCACCTTCCGATTCACGACGTGTGCCGAGATACTGGCCGTGATCTTCATCGTGTTTTTCTTATCGGCTGAGCTTGAGCAACATGCGCATACTTCGGCGGGTGCAGCCGTCGCATTTGACATCGAAGATTTACGTTGACGTGTCTAGCTTCCGTTGCTTCTTCCCTAGTACAGTTCACGCGCACAGCTGCCAGCGCACTGCACTAGCGATCGTGCCGAACAGGCTACTCGGCCAAGGCAGTAACGATTCAGTATCTATGCCACCCTCATACGATCCCACAAGATTCGACGAAAGCAAGACCACGGGTTGGAGGGCCACCGGAATTGTCCGCGGCAGCCTGTTCCGTGCAGCTGGTTACGAGCGGGAACACCGTTGCGGGGGAACACCAGACACGTTCCGGACGCGGGTTCTCCGCAAGCCACGCGCAAGCGTTGCTTGGTCAGCAGTTGCTGTGGGTGTGCCTTGCTGCCTGCTTGGCTGGAAATGACTCCCTCACAAGGCGCCCGTATGTCTGCAATGATTCGGTGTTGTGCTCGAACCATCAACGATTGCGGAGTGCATATGGGGACTGCATGAAACTGGGTAGAGCGGATGCGACCATCTGCGAGCTGTGGCTGAGAGCGGCGTTTCAGCTGTGCTTGTGTAATGTAAATGTGGCTTCCAGGGCGTAGTGCATGCATGCCATGTCGTGTCCATTGAGTGATGCGGGGGTCCTTGACCATGGTAGATTATTGCAGCTTACCCCACGCGTTGGAGATCAAGGTTGCTGCAGCTGCATGTCGCACTGCATGTAAGTGCCCTTTCGGAAGGCGCCAAATGTCAAAGGTCTTTTGATGCGATTCTCATTACCAGCATACGGCTTCGATACGAGGTTAAGATGGTCAGACAGGCTGCTGCATGCAAGCTTCTTTGTCCGCAATAGTGGCAATCTGCAGGATGTGCAGGCACGAACCGCTGATTTGGAACTGCTGAGCTTTGTGTAGTGTCAGGTAACCGCGGAATAGCGATATCTTTTTTGGTAATCGATGCTATTGGCTGGGTGGCCATTACCGTTCACAAGCTTACAGCGAAAAGTGGCTTGTGGAGCGTCGTTCGCAGCCGAATATTACTCAACGCATCAACATCGTCGATGTGAGCCTGATTTTGCCGTCCGGAGTCTGCCGCGGAATTGTATTCGGAGTTGTACGTCGCGGCTGATATTGCGCCCATCAGGAAGCGGTCTACAACAGATCAGACCGTGTCACGCTGTGATCGGTGAGAACGGAAGATGAGCTGAACCCTTAGAGGTATAATTGGCAACATGTAGTGGTAATGCTGACCAAGACATGTGCCCTCGGGGATTATGTGTGCCTGTTCGATGAAAATAAGAGGCAAGAATAGCCTGCGTAGGAAGGTATTGATGCCATGAGCTCTAGAACAGGGTTGAGAACAACGTGTGCCCATCGCGGAAATTCATCAAGTTGCGCAAGGTGGAAAAGACAGCTGTCGTGGGCACAGGTGGAATCATCCACAGCAGTGTCCGTCAGGATTCGTACGTACGACAGAATACACCGTAGTTTGCGTCCAAGTCGCGCGGTTCGATAGAGGCAGACATGTCGTGGTGAGTCACTCAGAATGCCACTTCCAGTGCGCCCAACTGCACAGGTCGAAGCAGGACACCACCGGCCACGTTCCGGTCAAGAACCCCACTGTGCAAATATGGATTTACCTGCATGCTGCAATGGATGTAGCAACCAGCAGACTGTATCGTGGACTCTGCACAGTACCTATGCCTCCACTGCTGGCCAGGTCATGAGCCGGAGTAGCAGTGCATAAATGAGAGTGCTGCATCTTCGCTGCTATTTGTTCATCACTTTTTCGACTTTTGCTCCAGCTGACGTCCTTTGCCCGCAATCAGCCGCGCTGCAATGCAACGTGGCAACCCACATTTGCGGCAGGATTGGGCGGATACCAAGGTCTTGAGGCGTCTTATGTTGTCGGAGTGATACACAAATCCCAAAGTCGTGTCGGTATTATGTTGTCAGCACAAAGCCAAATCGTGCATGGTGTTGACTTGACTCGAATTGTGTCGAAGCCCCGTTTTGGCGCCAGAAAATATCAGTTGCCTAGTATGCTAATTTGTGCCTCCTCTTGTCCTATCAATCGATGCAGAGAAAGGCTAGTATAGGTACACAGCATGAACCCCCACATTGCTCTTCGATCTGGAATGATCGACCGGGCTTTGCCGCGGGCGTGAGTCGCTGTTCCAACCTCCAAGCCACAGGTTGAAGCAAGCTTGATCAGTCCATGTCCGACGTTGACTTCTGCACTACTGGCGCGCATGCGAAGATTGACAATGGCCAACGGCTAACTGCGCGGACGATAGCCCAGTGCGTTACCGGGTGCTAGCCATGACAGTGACCGAAACGTCCTCCAGCTCCAGGTAGACATGCTAAGGCAGGCGATGACGAGAGAGCAAGCTGGTATACCTTCTACAGCCGTATCTAATTGTGTGGCGGGCAATCTAGATGATGAACAGGAGTGCAAAAGCGATATCGAGGTGGTGTTTACGGTTGAACCGTGGACGTGCGTCCCTCGGCTGGTGATTGACCCTAACGCACAGATCATCACCATCACCAAAAACTCAACACTTCCATGGACATGTTGTGAAGATTAAATAAAAAAGAATATCTCTCCGACGGGGAATCGAACCCCGGCCTCCTGCGAGCTGTCCAGGGATGACAAGCAGAAATACTGACCACTATACTATCGAAGATGTCCAATTTAAAATTGGGAAGAGATGTGATCCATGAAGAATCAGCCAATTACCATAAATATAACTTTAATTTTGAGACAAGACGATCGCATTGTCCCCGTCGAAATACGATAGTTGTCGCCAACATACCACTGAAATTCGGCATGCAGTCCGAGTCTTGCCGTGGCAGCTACACTGGACTTGGTCATACGGAGTTGCCTCTCAAGACATTCTTTCCATTCTTACAGGTCTAACATTCCGCAATTAGTGTTTTATCTCCGAGCTGGCCGTGTCATTGTAGTCCTCGTGTTATGGATCAATTTTTAGGAGCACCTGAACCTCCTTATTGGCGGCAGGTTTTGCGGTTTCCTTGAGGACCAGTCTGGAATATAAAGAAACAGCAGACTGCAACGACTGGGGTGACATGGGACGGTTCGTAGCTATCCAAGCCGGCACATTTGAAGGCTCGTAGGTACCAGTGATCAAGATGGTAGATGCCTGGCATTCTTCAACGCAAGCTATGTCCGATATCCTGGAAAGAATCATCTGATGCAAGAAGATTGTATATCGCATGCTTGTAGAAAGTTGTCATTGCTTTCGACTCGCGTTGCCAGTCATCGAGGTCATTTTGGATGATACAGAGTGAGTCGATTCAAATGTACAGATAGACAAGTTGATGTATAACGTGCAAGTGTTTGGAAATAATGCCATAACTTCTTAATTATTGGATGGCTGCGGAAGGTGTGCAGATTTCTCGTCGTCAAAGTAAAGCATATTGGAGGACCCCAAGCATGACTAAGGTGAATGTATTCGACCTCGGTAGGATGTCGAGCATGCTTCCAGACGGGGAATCGTGCGAAGTGCTTGCGAATCGGATCAGCCTCGAAAGTATCTTAGACCTGGTGTCAACGACGCTTGTTTTCTTAGATATAATCCGCGATCCGCGATCTTGCTACTCTGAGGCTTTGCGCTGAAGGAACGCCAGTGCTCCTCGGTGATGCTCAGCTTCATATGCGCTATAAAGTATTAACGTCAGTCCAGTTGTAGCGGAGGATTGTATCTCGAGTAAGCAAAATGCTAACAACCCGGCAGCCTGAGAACAAAGAAGTCGATGTTTCGATCAATACAGCCGTCATGCCGATCAACTTGATGTGGAATTGTTGGGCCTGGATTGCAGGACGTGGTTTGGAGCCGTAGACGAGAGGCTTTGTCAGTGCTGTGTGTGATCATGGACGAGCTGTATTAACCCGAACTGCTCCAGGTAGATTCAGAGTTTGGATGTAATGGCTGACACTGATAGCATTGTTTCCGGATGCGCACACATACGTAGTAGTCTTGTGCTACGGCCTCCGACAAGCCTCGCCATGTCGAGGGAGCTTCCTCTCTGTCCAAATGTTACCTGCCACCATATCTACGGCACAGCTTTGACTGCGCTCCCCGCATGATGTTGAGCAATCAACGTAATCGAAAGACTCGGTGACACGATGTTTGAGCGGTATTCGTGGAATGCCTGGTTAATATACCGCCGACCGGCTGGTCGATAGGATCCTGGGTAGGTTCGCGGTCTGATTCAGATTCGCAGTCACAGTGAGAGGTGCTATTCTCGGCAACCAAATGTATTGTGTAATTGATCAAGGCATAATGCTGTTTCGATCACTCTGGAAGCGCATCATATGATCGCAAGAACGCCTTAACGCCTGTTCCATGCTCTTTTTCAAACACTCCTTCGAGTAGCTCAAGCGCTCTGCGATGCCTTCCACTTCTTCATCCTCTTCTTGATGTCCGACTCCGTCTGTTGCATAGGATTAAGTTTCCTATCCCTCGCCATCTTCCCGTAGTCTTCGCCATACTTATCGTTCAGCCTATCTAACCATTCTCCCTCTCTGTCACTCTGTTTCCTGGGCGCCTTCCTCGCGCCATTCCTCGCCGCTTCTTCCAGTTCGCTGATCACTGGATTCTGCTGCTCGTTCTCCCTGCGCTCAGGTATCATGGCAAATCCGTTCCACTCAGCCTCACCATCGCTGTCTTCCAAATCATTCAGCGGGTCGTTGAGCGGGTTGAACTTCTCCTCAGTCTGCCCTGTTACGCGCAGAATAGCGCCGGTCTCGGGGTCGCGCTCGACCTCGATTTCTTCGATGTCGATTGCTTGGGTGGGCTGCTTAGAGACGATGTTCAGGCGGTTTGCGGTGCTGTCGGCGGCGGTGTCGGAGCGGGAGGACTTGGGATCGTTGAGGCCGAGAAGCTTGATCGTCTTTTCTGTACCGCCTGTTGCGTGGTTGAGGCGCGACGTAAGACCAAGACGGCGGTAGTTCTGGGAGAGTGTTTCCTTCTGGTTCCTGCGGTCTGATCAGTAAGAGCCTTGGTCCTTGTGTTCCTTGGGACATACCAGTGCTTTGCAATGATGGGGTTACTCAGAACCTTCTTCTTAGTCGGACCATTCTGACGCTTCTTGGGGAGCGAGGATTTGTTCTTCTTCTTCTGGAGTTCGCGACCCATTTCGTATGATCTGTGAGAGTTGCGAGGGTTTTTAAGGTAGTGCGAGGTGACGGCGTCAAATTGTCCTCTCGCTCAGTCGCTGCTTCCCAAAATTTCGCACTAGCGAATGAAGCTTATCGATAGCTTAGCGTGGTTTCCTGGCCTGGCTCCGATGTAGGTGTTCACATGCTTTGACCCTGTGGCCTCTCAATTCAACACAGCCCGGGATCAAGCTAGTCAGTACGCGTCCATCATGGTGTCGCACCGCAATCAAACACTACTGTCGTTATCGATATTCCTTGGCGTGCTCGCATGGAATGCTTCTGCAGCAGCAGTTAAGGGTGGGACCGGAGGGGTGCCTGTGGGGCAATTGAGCGTACATGAGATTGAGGAGCAATTGCAGGTATGTTTTGCAACGAAAGTTCATCTGAAGCTCAAGTGCTATCTACTATGATCTTGAAATGTACACTATCAAGGTGCACGTGAAACAGCGTCGATGATGAGCACCATATTGTCGCGTGCTCAACACCAGGCTAACTTCCCCAGGAATGCCCGCTCGTTCATGCCCTCAACGAGCACAAGATCGCTACCAACCCTACGACGTCCTCGTTGAGCTCCCAGATCTTCGCCGTACTCTTCCCTGGCAGCCCGGCTGTGAACGCACTCCTTGCCACGTTGTACATCTCTGGCCCACCCAACTTCCTCCTCGCACTGTGCCCGCCGAACATCGATCCTTCCTCGCTCTCGGTCATGGTTGCTTTTGCTGTTGGCGGACTGCTTGGTGATACACTCTTCCATCTTCTGCCTGAGATCTTCTTGGGCGAGGATGAGCCTGCGAGCGTCAAATTCGTTATGGTCGAGCCAAACAAGAACTTGCTACTAGGTGTAGCCATTTTGGTTGGCTTCGTGACTTTTGTAGCTATGGATAAGGCGTTGAGAATCGCGACTGGGGGAGGGGGAGGTCATGATCACTCTCATGGCCACTCCCACGAAAAGGTCGAGGCTACGGCCAAGGCAAGTGGTGTGGAAACCAGCAACTCGAAGGACGGCGTGCGCTCTCGCAAGCCTGCTGCGACTGACGTGCTTGTCGCAGCTGAGAAAGAGAAAGAAATTAGTGCCACCGTCAAGCTCGGCGGCTATCTCAACCTCATTGCCGACTTCACCCACAACATTACTGATGGCCTTGCCCTCAGCTCGTCTTTCTACGCGTCTCCTACAATTGGTGCTACCACTACGGTTGCTGTGTTCTTCCATGAGATCCCTCACGAAGTCGGAGATTTTGCTTTGCTCATCCAGTCAGGCTTCAGTAAGCGGGCGGCGATGGGTGCCCAGTTCGTAACGGCTGCAGGCGCTTTCCTTGGGACCTGCATTGGCATTGCAGTACAGGAATTCGGTGGTAGCTCAGCCACAGCCGAGGCTGCTGGCGCCGGTCTCTGGGGTACCAGTCTCCAGTGGGGTGATATGCTGCTGCCATTCACAGCAGGTACCTTCTTGTACGTTGGTACGGTAGCTGTAATTCCTGAGCTACTGGAGACCGGACCAAACAAGACCGAAGAGCTCAAAAAGACACTCGCGCAATTCGCCGCTATGTTCACAGGTGCGGGTATCATGCTTGCGTAGGTCACCCCGCCGTACACGCGTCCCAACTTTAACTAACACGTATACAGAATCTCTTGGTCTTGAGCTGCAGTCATCATTTCGAGCAGGTGTCCCATTTTAGTTTGGATTCTACCTTAGTCGCCAGGCGTCTCTCACCGCGCTTTTATCACCATGTCGTATTTCATGACGATCAAAAGCATCCGCATTGCGAGGAAGCTGTAATTAGAAAAGATTTAAACCGAGCCGGCGAAATGGGCACTGGCGCGTGCTACACGGACGTCTCATGAAATAGGTATAACTCCAACGCCGTATCATCAATGGTACATACAATCGCAAATCGCATCGTATGAAACGCTTTCCGGCTGTGACCGGCTCTTCATACGATTCAGATCGTACTCCTGCTCTACTGCGCAAACCAGAGCCCATACAATAGGTACCTGGGATCGGCCTGTTCACGCGCGCCACAATCCCTCACAGTTTTTATTTCTGTCATTTTCACGGAAGAATATGCAAAGCCGGAGCTGTATCTCAGTCTTGTTAATTATGCCATGAGGCCGAGATGCAGAGTCCGGCTAAGTTGCTGCAAAGTAATTGCAGCAGACACCTATGAATCGCAACAGATCTCCAAGCACCAGCTTTCGAGAGTGCCTTACCATGGCTTGCTACCTCAAAGTCTGTTGATGAAGGGTAGTGCGGCATCGCCAAGGCAGCACTATTTTGAGACAATGCTACCGCATCTGACATTGGACAAAGTCAACGATTCGACATGAATTTCGCAGACGTTCCCGCTTTTCAGATTGCAATACTGACGCCGCAATTCAATGTATTGCTCCATGGTAGTTGTCGGATCCTTGCATCAGGACGATTCGAGCATGGTGTGCGACAGCTCTTGACAGAGAGACACGCCGAGATGGGGAGCTTTGATCACATAGCCGATGCTGCATCCCATACCGGTAGCAAGCTACAGCTCGGGGTGACGCTAGTACTGCCGCCTTACCGTACACATGGCACGCTTACTTGCGCTGGCCGGTGAGCAGACTTTATTATATCCACTAGAAACCCCGAAGTGGCTCGATACTCGACCATTGCGTGTGTTCTTTGACCTTGCCATATAAGTTGTCCTACATCCCTCTGTACGATTCTCCGCACCGCATTCGACGACTTAAATTTTGACCTGCAACTCAGCCGCACGACTTGCACGACACTTGCATCTACAGCATTTCAGACACACCATTCCCCACACTTCAATATCCAAACTACTGTATACCAGCATCATCTACCCAAACAGACATCTTGAGAGCAAGAAGAGATGCCCAAGGCCGATATGTACACCATCATTCGCCCACGCTCGACTCGATCACGCCCACGATCGGTCCTCGTTTTCCTCCTCTTCGTTCTCTGCGTACCGATCTTCCTCTACCAGCTCGTACCTACTTTCACGCAGTCTACGGACGCTCTCATCGAAAAGGTCATCGCTCATTTCCGTGAGCAGCCCTGTACAACAGACATGGGAGATGCACACTGCTGCGCTCTCTATATGAAGGCAACTCCATGCGTGGAAGAATGCAGGAAGCAACATGTCGACCGGGAAACCTTTACTCTGACACTCGAGTATGACGAGTGCGCCAACACTTGCTTACGCAGCTGGGAGAGCTGCAATGGAGCTCAAAGAGTTCACACCACATAAGCCGTGCCTCGCAAAGAATAACAGAGACTTCAGTCGGCGGCCTAGCTGCTTTCCGTAGACAGTATCTCGCATCGACATCGACATCACTGTAGCTGGTGTTGCTGCGCAATACAACTGCCAAGCCCTAAGACGGCAGTCGGCCGGATAGCACGGAAGAGTCCAAACTTTTGCATGCACAGTGAGCATGGCAATCTACTTTGTAAATATTGCGGTGCTACGGATGCGAGCGACGGTTTGTCGAGACTCGAGAGGGCAACCGACAGGAACCAAGCGAGCCGAGGATGGTGGAGCTGGGCGCCTACAAAAGTGTGGAGAAGATACAGAGAAAGGATTTTGAATGAAGAATTGAACATCTGTGCGCCGGCAGATCGCTAGGGGGCAAATGAGGTTCGCACGAGATGGTATTCGGTCGGTGCAACGGCCAGCACCTTGAGAATGAGATGGTGACGAAAATTGATGGAAGATGAAAAGGAGAGAATATCCGTGCCCTTGCCGATTGATGCATTACCGGTGAGCGAATGGTGCTACGAAATTTACGATTGATGGATATATAGCCTTGGGAACAAATGCAGACGGTCGGTACTTCGACTTTGTTTCTTGAAGATGCTTTTCGTGCTTCCCGCGAATAACGTACCCCACGGGCGAGTCGGACACACGGGCGAGTCGGACACTTTTGCCAAGACCCTACTAAACCCCACCCTATTATGGCCTAAAACACCACACTCCAGCGCTGCAAGGTGCAGTACAGCTTAGAATATTATTTAGAGACTACTTCTACATTATTCTTGCATATTTGCGCGTTGTGCCTAGTCTAATTACACTGTCTATAGCGTAGTTAGGAGGGCTTAACTACTTTAGCGCGCACCTGCTTCTTTAACTTCTTTCTATTACTACATGCCCTAAACTCCTTTAGAGCTACTATCTACTACCCTTCCTTAACTATAAGGGTCCCTTCCTTCTAGATTTGTTTTCTTTTGCGCGGTTTACATTCTGTGGTAGTTGCTAGAGCTGCGTGAAGCTTAGCGTTCTCCTGTTGCGCTAAAACTAGCTTATGCAATAGAATTGCTCCCCCCTTTGCATAGTGCTTAAGTGCGCTTAGCACAGAATTAGGTAAGCTACCCTACTACTTCTTATACTTCTCTTAAATTAAAGTTAATTGCAACTAAAGTTCTAGGGTATTACTAGGGGTTTATAACTACTAGGGCTTGTTATTATTAGGGAGTTATAGTAACAGAGTGCGTAGCTTTATATTAAGCCCTATTATAACCTATTCTAGGTTAAAGGGGACTAGTCTAGCGCCTTAGAATCCTCCTTAGATATTACTTAAGGTAAATATAGCATTATAGGCTGCTTTAAAGCATAGCAGGAACTTAAGCTTTGTAATATAGTTAATCTAGTTATATATAACGTAAAGCACCACTGAGCCAGACACACCACCAAGCTAGACACTTTTTCTTGGCATTGTGAACACCATGTACATCGGGAAAAGTTTTTCCATTGTTGAAATTAGGAAATTGTGGCATTGTACTGTGGGCAACAGTAGGACTTGTAGGCCTATAATAGTTATTTAATGTGCATTTAATGTCTAGCTAATTTTAAGCTAACAGCTCTAACAGTCCTAACAGCTGCAATAGCTAGAACAACTCCTAATCCTACTACAATAGTAGCTCTACTTAATAAACTATACTTTTATTATATTAATATACTACTAAGTCTCCTCTTTAAAATAAGCTATTAAATAATATTATAGGCCTATTAATAGAATAGTTATTAAGTATAGAAGGTTTTAAGCTTAATATTCCTTACTAAGACACTAAGTTAAGATTCTTTGCTAGGGCTCTAGCAGCCTAAATATTAGAAAATACAAGAATATTATTTAAGAATAGTAGGTAAACTAAGAATTCTACGCCCAGGCCTGCCTGTTCTGCAGTGTGTGCTTGTTAGCAGGTGCTTTGTTGTGTGCTGTTGCAGCTGCAGCTGCTACATTGTGTGCTGGCGCAGCTGCAGCTGCTGTGGTGTGCTGTCGCAACTTCAAAACACAAACCTTCAACAAACAAACCTTCAACGCTCTATAACTTGTGTTGTAGTAGGCCTATAACAATTTTTTTTGCTTATTTTAAAGCTACAATTTCGCTCTATCTGTACGTGAAATTTTGCAATTTTTAAATATTTAATACTAACGTAGATTATCACAGAGCTAGCCATATCACCAAACTAGCCATTTTCTCTTAGCACAACTAACACAAGTTACTGCAACTACAACTACTTACTATTAAATAGTGACCTAGCATACTATGTGCTTACATTAGATTTAGAAGATATTTCTACACCCTCCTAGCACGTTTGTGCGTTGTGTCTAGTCTTGCTGCAGTTCCTACAGCGCTGAACAGTTAACTAAGCTCCTAGTTAACTACCTCTACCCTAAGTCTTCTTAGATAGCTAAGCTGCTACACACGCCTCAGCAGCTACCTGCAATGCTGCTAGGCTATACTTAAATGTGCCACTATACTAAATCTACTTTCTCTTACGCAATTTTCTCTTAGTTATTACTGCTAATTACTCTTTAAGCTCTTGCACGCAGGCCTTAATAAGGATATTTTTATATAGTATCTCTTTAGCCCCTTTTATAAGCTTTAAGAACCCCTCTTATACTATACTTAGTAATTATTAGAAGGAGTTACTTATAAGCTTAGATTAAGACCTAAACTTGTGTGTATTGCTTAGTGTCTTAGATTACTACAGCGTTTTAGGTAGAGGTACTGCTAGTAGGGTATGCAGCTGCACTTTAAGGTAATCTAACACTACCTATATATTAGTAGGAATAAGCCCTAATACCTTAAAGGCCTTTTAGTAGTTAACCTTTATAAAAATATTAAGGAACATATCCCTAAAGGCTAGTAGGAAGCCTTCCTTATTAATATAGAAGATATATTAGTGTGCTAAGTCTTAAACATGTTAGGAGTACTTACACTTTAATAGTAAGAAATAGACTATATTAAGTAGCTAGAGGATATATAATAAGTAAGGTAGTATATATAGAGTAAGGATTTAGTTCTCTAGGCAATAGTCCTTAAACTCCTAGTTAAGATAGCTCTTATAGCTATCTAAGATAAGTAACCTATATACTCCTACCTAATGTGTCTTTATATGCGTGTTAAAGTGCTTTAACTACTTAAGGCTAAGTACGTTATTTATCTAACTATTCTTAGAGACTAAGAGCTTCTAATTATAGGGTATATCTGTCTCCTTATACTAGGCAGAGATATAGATGTGTCCTTCGTAGATAATAAAAGGCAAGGTTGCATACCTAGCAGCGCAGATGCTCTAGATAACAGTAACCTACTCGCGATCACCTGGCTGAACAAGCTCTGGCTAAGCACGTCTCTCTAAGCCTGTTACAACCTTTAAAGACAAAGCAACACCTATCTAGAACCTAGTTTTATTAAAGTTGTGCATATTATTATTACAAACACTATACTTAACTTAAGTATCCTCTACTAGCTTAAACTATATACTAATTATCTTAGGATCTTCCTGTAGTATCCTTTGTCTATCCTTAGCTTAATTAAAGGCTATTTTAAGCTTGTCTAAACGCGTTATAAGCCTGCTAGCCTATAGTTTACTAACAGGCTCTTCACTACGCACACTAAGTATCTTATTAGCTATATCTGCTACCTTACATAGCTAGGGCGCAAATCCTTGCAAATTAAGGTTAAGTATATACTAGACAATTATCTGCTCCTCTAGTATAGTAAGTTTCTAGCAATTAGCGTGTATGTCTAGTTAAAACGTGATATTGTAAAGGCAATTAGAGACCTGCTAATAAGGTACGTTTAACGCTCTAGCAGCGCTGTAGATACTGCAAAATTAGCTAGCATAGAAGGCCTAGATAGCAAGGATAACTCTGCCTTCTCTAGTAGTATTCTGAAGTTGTTATTATTAAGGCATATTGTGTTAGGGTAAAAGGTGGTCGTGCTAAGAGAAAGTGGCTGGTTCGGTGATATGGCCGGCTTAGTGATAATCTACGTTAGTGCTAGCAGAACTAAGGGTAGCTATGCAACAATGTTGTAATGTTGTTTTAAGTTTGTTAAATATAGGCACTTAGCATTTTGGCTGTTAGCAACATTGGCGCGAAATTGGGGCTGTTGGGCGCAAATTGGGGCCGTTGGGGCTGTTGAACGGCCGTTGCACGACCATGCCACGACTGTCAGCAACAGCCAGTCTGGGCCGGATTTCGAAAAACTTTTCCCGATGTACAGGACAAGCAATTACTTACTACTTGCTACAGAACCTGCGTACAACGCACTTGCATCAGATGCAGACTCTTCTTCTGCATCTTTCTGGCACGTACAAGCGTTGTGCCCAGTCTTCCTACAGTTGCTATAGTGCTGTTGAACTGGCTGTGCTCTTTCTTGACTACTACTACTACGCGCTTTCTTTAACACTGTACAAGCTGCAGCTGCGCTTCTAGCTACTAACAATGCTGCTTTACTATACTCTATTGTGCCCCTATGCTAGATCTGCTTTCTTTTCTAAGTCTTGCGCTTATATTATCTCTGCTAGTTGCTCTTCAAGCTCCTATACACGAGCCTTAATAAGTATATTTTTATACAGCATCTCTTTAGCTCCTTTAATAAGCTTTAAGAACCCCTCCTAAGTAGATGTTAGTAACTATATAAAGCGCTCACTTATAATCTTTAATTATAACCTAAATTTGTAGGTATTGCTTAGGGTTCTAGTTTGCTATAGTGTTTCTAGTAGAGGTATTAGTAGAGGGGTATAAAATTACACTTTAAGCTAATTAAGGACTGCCTACATGTTAATAGGGACTAGCCCTAATGCCTTAAAGGCCTTTTTATAGTTCTTGTACATAAACGTGTTAAAAAACACGTCTCTAAAGGCTAGAAGGAAGCTTCCTTATTAATATAGAAGACGCATTAGTGTGCTAAGTCCTAGACGTGTTACAAGTACCTTAGTTTTAATAGCAAGAAACACACTTTATTAAGTAGCTAAAGTATATATAATAGGTAAGGAGGTATATAGAGGGTAAGGATTCTATTCTCCTAGCAGTAGTCCTTAAATTCCTAGTTAAGGTGGCTCTTATAGCTGTCTAAGATAAGCAGCCTGTACAACCCCCTCTAACGCGCTCTTGTATACGCGTTAAAATGCTTTAACTACTTAAGACTAAGCACATTGTTGGTCTATCTATTCTTAGAGACTAAGAGCTTCTAGCTGTACAGGATATTAGTCTCCTCATACTACATCGGGAAAAGTTTTTTGAAATCCGGCCTAGACTGGCTGTTGCTGACAGTCGTGGCATGGTCGTGCAACAGCTGTTCAACAGCCCCAACAGCCCTAATTTGCGCCCAACAGCCCTAATTTTGCGCCAACGTTGCTAACAGCCAAAACACTAAGTGCCTATATTTAACAAACTTGAAACAACGTTGCAACATTATTGCATAGCTACCCTTAGTGCTA